AGTATTGAATATAATATGTAATCAACTATAATCGATATTCTTAAAATGTAGTTTGTGTGTATACTTCTCGACAAATATTTGGTCTCTCGCAGTGGGTAACCGTAAGTAGGGGCTGATATCAAAGAATCTACGTTTTCGACGAACACTTTTTACAATTTTGACTAGAAAGCTATATAATTTCTTTGACGTAAGAAAAGGCAAACTGAGAAGAGTTCGTATGTGGTTTGAAACGAATTAATTTAAGTAACATACATATTGTGGGTGTAAGTGGCCGATAACCATAATATATGGGTTGGATATGGTACTAGTTACCACCCACATTCAATAAAAAAATTAGTTATTAATTTTCATAAACATAAAAAATGAAAAAAAAAAACTCAAATGGTTTGTAGAAAAGTCGGTCCTCTCGTTGCCAAATCTGAAGCTCCTAACGCAGCTTTTTTGGGGTCGTTGATTCGAGTTATCGTTTGAGTTTCGTCGAATCGGCTGTATGACTTATTCGGGACCTGTTCCCACTTAAATTTAAGGATTTTCACTGATTCAAACCAGTATTAAAACCTTGTTCAGAGCAGAGCACCCTTCCATTACGGAGATGCTACGTGCCAACTACAACTACAACCATAGATAAATCATACTCCCTACAACTACCGGTACCACTGACAACTGGCACTGTTGTTGGAGATGAAGGCTTTATTTCCTTGAATGTGGAGACGCACTCACGCAGAATGTGTCATTGCTATTAGGTAGGAATTTTCCATATCAGCTAGCGGAAAATTAACTAAAAGGATAACTTTGCAAGCAGGAAGTAAATAATTTGGAATCACACTTAGCAGGTTTTTTAGCGAATTTCCCATATAGGGAATAAGCTATTACCGTAGTACTCAAGGTAAGACCTGGACGCGGGACCGATTTTTTTTCGTTTTGAGGACCCTAGAGGCCAAAAACACCATTCATATATATATATCTGTGTGTGTCCGTCAGCACGATAACTCGAGCAAAAATGATCCGATTTTGATTAAATTTGGTACAAACGTGTAAACGTACGTTTATTCGAACGAGTTCGCGATCCAGCATGATCGGACCATGGGAACGGGGGTTTACGGGGGGTTTTATGGGGTAAAAATAGGTTTTTCCCATTTTTGACCCAAAAAACATAAAATTTAGCAATTTCTTTCCAAACCATTTTGTAGAGCTTAAAAAAACAAAAAAATTAGTATATTGAAGCGTTATTATGCACCTAATGGTTACGGAAAAAATTCCAAAAAATTGTAAATTTAAAATTCCCATGTTATTTTTATGGAGAATAAGTAAACTGTTGTAGTTTGCTTGTTTATGAACATATTTTGATCAAATTTGGAAAATGTTTTTATTTCTTACTAACTATTCACATTTTCCAAAAAAAAAAACAGTTTTACCCTCCCTGATGCAGCAAACCTTAGTACATGTTAAACTAATTCTATTTAAATCGAGAATAAATGTCATATTTTTAAGTAAACATTTCAGTGTAAATCCAATCAGTCAAATGGAAATTCGCTTAGTCTGCAGGTTTGCTGCAGCGGGGGTATTTTAGTTTTTATGAAAGAACTATTATTTTTATAACTGAGGTATTTTTAACGAAGCTTTCAAGTATGAATAATATGTTTTCAAATACTTTTTAGAGTTGTCTGCCAAATTCTTTTTCTCAAGAACCTTTGTAGAAGTCTTTATCCTCAGAAGCCCCGGGTGCAAGGAAGTGTGTTGTAGTATTGATGCTTTATGGAAATGTAGGTTAGGCGTACACGCAAGGTCACGCACTTTGTTCATCTCTATAGCAACTATAAAAACATGCGTAGGTAACAATACTATCGTTATTGTACAACCGACTACTGTATAGCCTACGGTTATCGCACACACTTCGACCTGGAGTCGATAGTAGGTTGAATCGTATCGGATGGTTGAATTTTGTAAGGGAGCGAACGTGAAAGTTATACCATAGATAAAACTTATTTTGTCTATGGTTGTATGTATGAATGATTCAAACACGGTGTTAATAAGCTATAATTGAATTTTGTCACCTTTAGCCTTGTGCGACAATAACTTTTAATGAGAATTATTTTAATCGGAAAACAAGCTTTGAATTCACTGAGCTGAAATGTTAATGAGATACACGGTTTATTTGCATCTCCTGAAGAGATACATCGATACAGTTACAGTGCCTGTGATACCCGAATAGCGATATAGTGTCATCTATGACCACACACGCTGCGACAGGCGCTATTTCCGGGGTTGTCCATATTTTACGAAATCCACAGGATATCCTACAATATACCGTAATGTCCCGGGATTTGTAAGTTAACCTCAGGATATCCTGTAAAGTCCCGGGATATGTACGAATGCCATAGGATATCCCAGAATATCCCATGACATCCCGGGACATGTACAAAATCCACTGGATATCCTGTAATGTCCCGTAATGTCCCGGTAACAAACTGAAGAAAAAACTACTACCACTGATGAAAGGTATATCTAAATTTAAATGTTTAACAAGGCCTTTATATACAGGGTGGCTGAAAAGTAACTTTCACCCCCCCTTAACTTTTCAACCATTTGAGATATTTGAAATCGGTTTGCGGCAACCTTCTTAGATATGAGGGGCTACAATAATTATGGTCAATTTTGAAAAAAAAATTCTCTTAGGGGTAGCAGGGATAGGGAGTAGCTAAAAATTTCAAATGACAAGTATAGTCGAGTTTGGTATCATTTTACAGGTCTTGACGAAACATAAACATTGACATAAAGAAACCCAAAATTGGCTCACTAATAACAAAATGGCGCCCTAAAACGTGTCAAATCCAAATAACCGTGAGGGTGGCAGAAAAATTCACTTGCACCCTCTTTAACTTTTTAACTATTCGAGATATTTGAAATCGGTTTGCGGCAACTTGTTTGGATATGAAAGGGCGACAATAATTATGGTCAGTTTTGAAAATCTTGCCCTTAGGGGTAGCGGGGGTAGGGGGTAGCTCAAAATTTTCAAACAGCAAGTATAGTCAAGTTTGGTATCATTTTGTAGGTCTTGAAAAAACATAACAATTAACATAAAGAAAATAGAAATCGGACCATTAACAACAAAATGGCAGCTAAAAATGATTGAGACAATTGTTATTTAAAGTAATTTTGAACTATAGTATTAGTTTTCAAATGGTGAATGGTGAAAGAGCGGCCATCAGTTGCAATGGTTGCAATACTTGAATCGTGAAATTTTTGATACTACAGTATAATACGATTCTGTAAATCTGTTTTTCCGTAATTCGTTTTTTAAAAGGTCGCCAGTCGCTAGCACCCTTTTCTAGCCAATCATTCGAGATTTCTATGATCACATTCATTGTCACATATTGCAATTTGAAAAATAAAACCCATCAACCCTTTTTTTCATTTGACCCAAATGTAGCTGCCGAACATGTATACTGCCTCTTAACCATAAGCATATTTTTTTTCTTTACGTGCATGATAGAGTGACACCTCATTCAGAGTACGTATTATTATTAACTTAATTTTAACGCTTTCACAATAGCAATTATCATACAAAAAATGCATGTACAAATTGATAGACACTATAAAAAACAAAAAGATGCAAATTATTTATTTGCTAATTATAAGAAGTTATAGGCTATAGCCTATATTCTATAAATATGTTATTATTTTATTAATAAAAATATCTGACCTGTTTCAAAATATATTTATAAATACTTTAAATATATAATATAGTTTCAAAAATATTTTTTATATATATTTAAAATATTCTCAACACATAACTTTTTTTAATATTTAATAGGAAAAATATACATATAAAATATGTATATAATAGATTCTATACTTATTTGATCAATATATATTATGAATCTATTTTATATATTCAAACTTATATTTAATTTATATTTTGCATTGCTTTTTGGTAATATTTTAAATATATATTTGAATATATCAAACTATTATTAAAGATATATTATTTATATATTTTATTCGAGGCTCTATCAAATACAACTTTAAATATATAAAATATTTATAAAATACATATTTGTGCTACTAGGGTATATGTGTCCGTGAACACGATAACTTGAGTAATTTTTATCCGATTTTGATGAAATTTGGTTTGAAGGTGTAAGGCGGGATAAACTTGAATGAGTTCGCGATCCAGCATGATCGGACCATGGGAACAGGGTTTTATGGGGGGGGGGTTTTATGGGGTAAAAATTGAGTTTTCTCACTTTTGACCCTCAAAACACAAAATTTCCCAATTTTTCTCTAAACCTTCTTAAAGAGCTTAAAAAAACAAACAATTCTGTATATCAAAGTGTTTTTGTACGGTTATTGGTTATGGAGAAAACTATAAAAATGGTAAATTTAAAATTCCCATGTTATTCTTAAGGAGAATATTGTAAAATGTTGTAGTTTGCTTGTTTATGGATATCTTTCGATCAAACTTGGCAAATATATTCATTTTATACTAAGCAATAATTATTTTACTTAAAACACACTTTATTAGTTTCCTTGTAGCAGCAAACCTAGGTACTCGTTAAACCTAATGTTATTTAAATAGATCAATTGAAAATCAATTCAGCCAAATGGAAATCGCTTAGACGGCAGGTTTGCTGTGGCGAGGGTATTTTACAATCTGCTCAGTACTGTGAACAATTAGTAAAAGGGATAATATAAATAAGTGACTTGACCAAGAATCTCCCCAGTGAAAGATCTTGCAAAATTAAATAGTCATGTAATAACTAAAACCATAGATAAAACATACTCCCAAGGCCGTGGCCTGGAGTTAAAGGTGGTCGTGCTTTAAACCATAGATAAAGTTTAAACTATCTCTGATTTCCGCAAAACAACGCTCACTCGTTATAGTAAAACGTCTTTTTGTGCAGTTGGCAATGCTGCATTTATTCGTTCTACTGTCGTCTGTCTTCTTGTCTGAACCTGAAAAAAGTGCAAACAATAAACAATAAACAGAGAAGAGAAAACCCGGGATATTGAGACGGTAAACTTTACTTTTGTGCTGTTTGTTTCGTTGTATGATAATTACGTTTTATAAGTTTATGGACTGTATATTTGGACTTTCCTACATAAAAGAGTGTTGTATTGTTTACTAACATTCAGTCAATTTAATCTCAATTTTTAAAATTGTACCTAGATAATACAGCATAAGGCTAGGTTAAAGACCATTTCCATCCCTTCTCAGCTTTTTATGATGAATGAAGATATTGAGTTTGTCAAACCCAAAGAAAGAAGATACAACCGAAGATCAAGTTTTTTTCAGAGGAGCACTGTTTCTCTCTTCACTGGTAAGGCTTAAGTTATTTTTCCTAATGACGCAAGCTTTAGAGACTACAATTTAAACAAACTGGAAGAGTGACTAACTAATAGATTCAACGTTAGTTAACACGTTCGCTGCGGGCCATCAAATGGCAGGTGTAGCCCCAGTGCGGCGCAGCCCGCAGCGTCGAACAAACCCGATTGCCGGGTGATTGACACTCATATTTCGGTATGACGAATAGCAAATAACGTGCGGTGATGTCCTGCTTTATAACAAGAGTCGACGTAGTTCGCTAAACACTTACAGACAGCAGCACTGCTTGGAACGTAGCCGGTCCCATTGTAGGCCTATTGCCAATTGGAGGGAGAAAGACGGGACAACAAGTTGATTTTTAAGTTTGCCAGACGGGGATTTGATGGAAAAATTTTACCACCAACCTACAACACAACAAAAAGCAAGTCACCCACTACACGCTAACGTGGTATAGGTCCACCTTCGACCGACGCTAGAGCAAAAACGAGAATATATCAAAGGCATTGCCGAGCGTATCCGAACAGTTACGGCAGCACCTGAACAGCGCTCGGCCCGTATCCGATCGGATACGCTCGCAGTGAACGTGTCAAAGACCTTGGTTATTGCAATACTTGGTTATTGTAAGTTAAGGGTGGACTTCCGTATCTGTTGTCAATACCTAACTAACCGAACGATATAGGATCGATCGATATTTTCATTCGGTTGCTTGTGTCAACAGATATGGAAGTGTACCCCAGACGGCTTTGTGCCAACAGATATGGAAGTGTACCCCCAATTTTTTTTAGTTTCACTGCAGTATCAGTTGTGGCTTTAAGCCTAATTATTTTAGTAGATTTCTTATTAATACCTACTGATAACTTAACTTCTGCACTTTTACGAATTGTGATTCATCCATGCATTTATTCATCTTATTATTTCTAGACTCTCCAACCAGTTCATCTGCTAGATCAGACTCCCCGACTGAAAGCAATGTCACTAGACCTGCGGAAAACGAGAAAACTGAGTAAGTTGAAGAATAAATTTACTTACTAGTTAGCAACATTGACATAAATCAACTCTTTTGAACTAAGATAACTTATGTTTAAAAGTATCAAAATTAAGGTTTGGCGCTGAAGTGGTCCTATATTGTCGTATTGATCACAGTAAATTACACGTGGTGTCTTGGGTCTTGATCCCGCTTCGGATCAACCACTACTGTATTTGTGAGACAGTGTCTAACACTTTAATACTTTTCAATGAAATGGTGACCATAAAGTAGGTATTTTAAGCCAAGTATGAATGGAGATGATTGTAGGATGAGTGGCGCGATCTTGTAGTCTTGTTAGTGACTAAGGCCACAGAAAACATAGTACTATAACCCAGAATGCCAACCGCATGGTAAAAAGTGTTAAGTACTTTGAGAGAGCTTTGCTTGTCAATTCGTAGGCAGTGCCACCAGCGTTGCTATGCACTCTGGGTTATAGTACTATGTTTTCTGTGCTAAGGCAGACTTATTCCTTAGACACAGCTGTTAATTAATGGGCCATATAGCTAATGGCAACTAAGGGACCAGTTTATAGTGGAATCCGAACCACATATTTGCCTTGGTAGGCCTAAGAATAGTACTGCGGATAGTCGTAGTACTTGTTTCTCATATCTGGGTGATTCAAATTAGTTTTGCATATGACATTACTTGCTTATCTTCACCAACTATACGTTACGTTACATCTCAAGTTATCTGAACAGGCTAATACTTCGTCATATATAGAATTGCTAACTAGTATTCTTTCAATCTTTTGATCTTATTAATTGCAGTTAATTGAAAAAAAATCCCACAGCTGAAATTCTATAACTGGGCTACACTAGGACTGATTAATACCTTATTATTTTTAGGTATCTCAAGGAACTAGAAAAAGAAAAACGAGAATGGAAGGAACTGTTGCTCCAAAAGAAGAAGCAGCTTAAAGACCTGAAAGAGTAAGTTAAATATAGTGTTTTACACATTCGGTTTTGTTACCTAACCAAAATAATTTCACAAATGTTATTTTTTTATCTAGATTTTCAAGTTTGACCATACTAATATCTAAATCAGGTAAATTGCCAAATGCCGTGACTCGTCCAAATACCTTGATTCCCCGCTTTAAACGTAAATAATAAGCAGACGAAAAAACTGAAGGTACAACACATAGAGAAGCAATAGCTTGCTCTATGTGTCTTTATGTTTGTTACTCTATGGTTCGGTCGTAGCCGGCGCCAAGCATTCTGAGACAGTAGTGTCTAAAATCGTGACCAGTTCAAATGTCGCCGATTTCTTAACGTCTGTTGAGCTTCATGATAGTGATTCAGGTAAGCAAAATAGGATTTAATTCATTACGAATGATAGCTGAATGAATAATTTTGGTGTTATTTCGTAGAGTTATAATAGTATTTAGTTCTTATGCATTCATTTAGTTGATTTTTAAATTTATTAAAGGTTAAATTAGGATCACGTTATTTAGCAGAAATATACTGCGTGAATCTAAACTCCGTGACGAATTCACAGAGTTTAACTTTCAACACGAGTGTTTCAATTGTGTTAGAAATAGCCTAGTTAAATTTACAAAATTAACAGTGTCGGAGTGAAATCTAAACTTATTATTCATCTAGATGTGTTGGCTAAAGTCGGTACGTGAGTTTTCTATTACATTTTAGTAAAACCGGTCCAAAATAACAAGGTTACTGGAACTACGTGTTGAAGACTTCATACTAAAATAATGTTTTAATCACGGCTCTATAATTTTATTACAAGTACTTTCCCGCTTTTTACGGACTTTAGTAACCCCTTCAAAATATATTTATCCAACAGATTTAACATTTTTACAAGTGTTTTTTATCATGTTAGGGTCTTTTAACCGTCAATGAATCGATCAATGCTTCTGCTAAACTCTGTGACAAATTCACGGACGAATTCACGGAGTTTAGATTTTAACACAAATGTTTTAATTGTGTTAGAAATAGTTAAATTTACAAATATTAACAGTGTTGAAGTGAAATCTAAACTTATTATTCATCTTGATGTGTTGGCTAAAGTCCTTATGCTAGTTTTCGATTAAAATTTGGTAAAAAACGTTCCAAGATAGTAGGTTTACCAAACTAGACCTACCTGTTGAAGACTTCTAACTAAAATGATGTTTTAAAACCGTCCGAGTGTCAATCGTCGGAATTCCGACGACTTTAGCTGGTCCGCTAGTGTACGACAATGCAGACACTACACAACTCGCTCTGAATTAACTCCAATTGTACTGAATTGGATTGAATTTTGTGTCAACGGAAAAAAGCTGATTCTAAGCTTGAATTCAATGTCATATAGCCTAAACAAAACTACCTTTGCTGTCTGCTCTTTTGTTGTTTTTGAACATATAGCCTACACCTACTGAACATAACGGAAAGGTAGTAATTTTTATGTTTAAAGATACTCCATTTGATCTACTTTCATTATATATATAGTGTTATAGGAGTAGGTTATTTTATAAATTTGTTAGAGCGGTTTTTATTATACAATAAAGAACTAATCACACACTTTTTAAAAAAAAGTTCTATATTTCGGCATTAGCCTTCTTCAGGAACAAACCAATTAGAGCGGTTTTTGTAAGTGTCTGCAAAACTGTCAAAAATGGCGTGACATTTGAGAATTTTTGGTACCTAGAGGGCTTTATATTTTATTCCAAGTACTTTCCCGCTTTATACGGACTTTAGTAAACCCCTCAAAATATATATATCCTACATATTTACCTCTTTACAAGGATTTTTTTATTACAATAAGATCTAATCTTGGTACAATAAGTATGTATTCTGACTGTTGTAAATCTTTACATCAAAGCAGTAGTCCTTCTGGTGAGTGAGTCTGATCTGCCAAAAAGTACAAATTTTCACGCTTACAACACCAGGCGAGGAAACGACTTCATTCTGCCACTACATCATACCACCCAGTACGCCAGAAAACCATCCTACACTGGCCGCAAAGTCCACAATAGCCTACCACCATCACTGAAGTCACTGAAGGGAAAACCACTGAAAACACAGCTTCACAAGTGGCTGATAGACAGACCTGCTTACTCCTTGAATCCGATCTGAATCCATTGTAGTTTTCTTAATGAAACTACAAAATAAAGAATGATTTTATTTTATTTGATCTTTTAACCAAGAACTAATTGTTCAATGCTTCTGCTTAACTCCGTGAAGACTTTACAGAGTTTTTGATTCGACCACGAATACTAGAATTCGACCAAATGTGCACCTAACAAACCTTAATTTTGTTGTGTGGTTCAGTTGATTTGTAACTAAACTTTGAATTAGTTTAAATATTGTTGTTTAGAGATAAAAATACAACATCTTAAATGCATAAGTGAGTTTATTGATTGGTTTTTATTCAAATGTATATAACTGCGTGTTCAAGACTATCATGAACACTTTTTATGTCACTGTTTTTTATCTCCTACAAAGTTGTGTTGTTTTTTTATAGAATGCCTACTCCAAAACCGTCCAGAAGAGCTTACTCCCAGGAGACTTTGGAAGCGGCCATCGCAGCAGTGAAAGATGGGATGACGGTGTCTGCGGCTTCAAAGCAGTTCTGCATTCCCAGGCAGACTTTGAAGGACAAGATCAGTGGAAAGTATGCCACTTTCTGCAAGATGGGACGTCCGTCTATTTTGACTCCCGACGAAGAGCAAACAATCGTCGACTGGGTTATCACGATTGGACGCGCTGGTTTCCCTATCAGCAAAGACCAGCTTCTCACCAGCGTCCAGAAATTAATGAAGAATTTGGATCGAGAAAATCCCTTTTCCCACAGCGCCCCTGGGGATAAAAGGTTGGCTCTATTTACAGGAAGACATCCTGAAATTTCGGCGAGAGTGTCACAGGCCTTAACAACCACCAGGGATATGTCACAGAGGGCCACATCAGGAAATGGTTTTCAGAAATAAGGGAATACCTAGAAGGCAAGAACCTAATGACCATCTTCGATGACCCCAGGAGGGTGTTCAACTGTGATGAAACTGCCTTCTTCCTAGGCCCTAAAGGCAAAAAAGTATACATAAGGAAAGGTCAGAAGCAGGTATAGACAATCACAGGAAACGATGAAAAGGAATGTCTCACAGTACTTTTCACAGCAAATGCCTCGGGTGACTTGGCACCACCAATGATCGTATACTCATACGAAAGAGTACCATCAATTATCGTCCAGCAGGTCCCAAGCACCTGGGGCATTGGTAAATTAGAGACTGGCTGGATGACGAGGGAAACATTTTTTGAATTTGTCACAAATATTTTCCACCCTTGGTTGCTGGCAAATCAAATTCCCAGACCTGTCGTCCTGTTTTTAGATAGACACACCTCCCACCTTACTCTTCATCTGAGCGAATTCTGCTCAGATAATGGGATTGAGCTGATTTCCCTTTACCCTAACTCGACTCACATTCTCCAGCCTATGGACGTCTCTGTTTTTCATCCACTTAAGTCGGCGTGGAAAAGGACTGTGGAGCAATGGCAGTTGGAGACAGGCGCATCCAAGATTAAAAAAGAGGAGTTTGCTCCTATATTAGACAAATGTCTTAAAGAAGGCATCAATAAGAACGCTATAACCAGTGGCTTCACCACTACTGGGCTTTCAACTCTTAATCCTGATGACATCGATTTCAAGAAGCTGGTGAAGAACAGCAGTGGTATACAAAAAAAAAACCATACAGTCAAAGCCAATGGCTAATGTTGCGTAGCCACCTGACATATGTTGAGGGCAAAATTGGGAAGGAGAGACTTAAGACCTTCCAAGACAACAACATCAAAGTGGAAGACAAATCTCTCTGTGGAGTGTGGCTGGAGATAAAAAAAGAATTTTCCCTGTACAAAGAAGGACTTGATGGGATGCCCAATGAAGAGAAACAACCTGAGGTGAATCCACAGTAGTGGTAAGTTTTACTACATCACGGACTTTGGTAAAAAAATCACGGCATTAATTCCGTGATTCACGGAGTTAAGCCATGATGATCAAATGAGGACTACGGGCTGTTTACTTATTAAATAATTTGTTTTTAGTATTCATTCACACATAGCCACATTGTTTTGTTCAGGAATTCAAAGGAAAAAAATCTGTATAAATATTTTTCATCTTTTTATTCATAATATTTTGGTATAACTAAAAATGTATAGCAATATCCCTTAAGGTCACAGTATTTGGGCAGTTTACCATACCCCCGCTGCAGCAAATCCGCAGACTAAGTGAATTTCCATTTACCCGGCTTCATATCTACTAAAATATTCCCAAAAAATTTTCAGATTTATTTCCTATTTAAATAACATAATTTTAGTAAGTACTTAGGTTTGCTGCTACGGGGAAGATATTGAGGGGTGTTTTTTTATCGAAATGTTGATAGCTTAGTATGAAATAAACAAAATTGCCAAATTTGATTAAAATATATCCATAAACAAGCAAACCACAACAGTTTATTTATTCTCCATAAGAATAACATGGGAATTTTAAATTTACTATTTTTAAAATTATTTAAGTAACCGTTGGACATACAACAACGCTTCTATATACAAAATTATTTCTTTTTTTAAGCTGTAGAAAATGGTTTGAAGAGAAATTATGGGAAAAATCAATTTTTACTCTATAAAACCCCCCATAAACCCCCCTTCACATAGTCCGATTCTTCTGGTTCGCGAACTCGTTCAAATTAATGTAGGTTTACACGTTTGTACCAAATTTCATCAAAATCGGATGATTTTCGCTTGAGTTATCGCGCTAACGGACACATATATATACTGTACTAGCTGTACCCGCGGGCTTTGCCCCGTTTAACTTCTTAATTTTCAAGATGATCTCGTTCGCATGGCTCAATCACGTCCTGGTTGAACTTCGTTCGCTACGCTCACTCACCTTTGGGTTAGAGCTCGTTCGCTGCGCTCACTTGCCTTCAGGTTAGCTCGTTCGATACGCTAACTCGCCTCCAGGTTGAAGTTCGTTCGCTACGCTCACTCACCTTTTGGTTGCAAATTAGCTGATGTCATAAATTAAAGAAAATAATAGTGCTGCACCCTATTGGTAATCCTTGTAACTTTAATGCTATTGAACATCATAGAACAGAACCAACTTGTTTAATTGAAACAGCTGTTAAGATATTATTTTATCCATAAGGATAACATGGTAACTTTGGGAGCCTGAGGGGTGGACCCCAGAGGTCGGAGGGTAAAATCCTTTCTTAGTGAGCGTCTACTATACCCAAAAGGAAGATGCCTGCCAAGTTTCAGGTTCCTAGGTCCTATGGTTTCTGAGATTTCGTGATGAGTGAGTGAATGAGTCAGTGGTATTTGAGCTTTATATACAGGGTGAGTTTCTACTGACGCCCATAACTTCGCCAGTGGATTCTACTGAACAAAATGAACAAAAAAGTTGATATAAACCCTAGTCAAATATTTTTAGAAAACACAAAACTCTCAATTACGACCAAACGGTTCCGAATCAGACTAGGGTTTATATCAACTTTTTTGTTCATTTTGATCAGTAGAATCCACTGGCGAAGTTATGGGCATCAGTAGAAACTCACCCTGTATATATAGAAGATAGATGTATGTACCAGCAGAGTACCCGTCCTTCGTACGGGATAGGCATATAAGTATAAAATGCTTATTGCAGTTATACTCAAGCTTTGCGTTTGCAATGGGGCCAATGGGGTGGAGCCCGAAAGGATTTTTGAGATAAGAATTTGCCTATATGTTAATCGGGAATGCTAGCTATAATCATGCCAAATTTCAGCCCAATCCGTCCAATAGTTAATGCGTGATTAAACTTCAAACAAACAAACTTTCACATTTATAATATTAGTAAGATATATATATATAAATGAATTTGAACGGATGGTGTTTTAGGCCTCTGAGGACCTCAAAACGAAAAAGTAAATCGGCCCCGGGGATAGGTCTTACCATGAGACCTACGGTAATAGCTTATTCCCTATATGGGAAATTCGCTAAAATGAAAGGGTGTGTGTCTGTGTGCAACTCAATCACGTCAGAACCACTGAACCAAATTAAATTAAATTTCATATGGAGGTAGAGTAAGGTAGCTTATATACTTGATTAACCCATATAGGCCTATTCCTGTTCTCATATTTCCCTTGTGCTACGCCTCATGCGCTTCCTAATTCAATGTTTACATTTTGGAAGGTCTTAATACTTAAATAAAGGTGATATAGAGAACCACATTAAGCAAGTTTCACTAAAAGTTGCAAAAGTTGTTTCTAACATAAGGCCTTGGGCACGATACAAGAGACAAGCGGCAATCTGAGCTACATGTAAAAAGGCGGTGGTGGCTACGATACAAGCGGAATACAAGTTGTCAGTGTAGTTCAAGATGTCTGTGCAGGCTAACAGGACGTTGAAAATTTTTATTATCTGACAATTGTCTGTTCAAGAAAAACTTATCTTAGTTTTTGTGTAAATAAAAGGTATATGAAACAATGTGGTACAACCGATTAACAAGATAAGAGTGTTTGAGGAATACCATCATCTAATTCTGTAGCTTAGGGACAACGGCAATAGGTTCTTTGATTACCCAAAGCTGTCCATCCCTACTTTTGACTACATTTTGGCAGGGCCGTCCGTAGGGGGGGCAACCGGGGCAAGCTGCCCCGGGCGCCGCGGCTAAGGGGGCGCCACGCCGCGGTCAATTTTTTTACGATCCTGTAGGCGACCACGTTTGCCCCGGGCGCCGCCTAACCTAGGGACGGCCCTGCATTTTGGGTAGACTGAAATGGAATATTGAGAAGAGTTTGTTTACACAGGCACTACATGGTTGAAAAAAAAATTGAAGCATGATCATCTGAGCGGCATTGTGGCAAAATCGGTCTTGACTTTAAATCATGAGCAGTGCTTGACAGTGTGGCCTTTAACAAATTTACACGCAACTAAATCAAATGAGGCCCGATGTTAGAGCTCACACTGCTCGTATAACATTTACCATCTTGTAGTTATGCTATGCTACCTTTTTTGTTAATGTACAAGTAGCTAATTAATTATTCAAATTAGCGTCCCCAATACTTGCTTACCCGTTATTGTAACTTAACTAAATTTTTGCAGGAAAAGTGCTCAGGTTGCTCCTAGTGTGGATTTCTTGACCCCAGAAGACAGGAAGTTTCTGGAGGACAGGCCAAACTATTTGGCGATTGGAAGACTCTTGGATAACGTTACAGAACTTGTTTTGATCAAAGAGAGACGAATAAATGCCACAATTGAAAAGGTCAACAATCTAATCAATAGCTGTGAGAATACTTGCAATGACAAAGCAGATAGTGTGATTGATTATTTCTTAGATGATTTTGGTGAATTCAAGGAAGATGCTCCAGCAAGTTAGTGTGTTGTCTATTACAAAGGACTTTTTTAAAGAATAAAGCATCTATAATTTAAATTTTGTTTCTATTAGTCTATATCAATAAAGTACTATATTAAATAAATAATTTTTTATTTAATTTCAATACCGAACTCTCTACATTGCCAAGAAGTAGAAAAGTAGACATACCATTCACTGTTAAGCTGTAGCATTGACAAAATACCCCCGCCGCAGCAAACCTGCAGACGAAGCAAATTTCAACTTGTCTGATTACATTTTTACAAAATATTTCTATAAAGAAAACATATTGTTCCCAAATTAAAATAACATTAGATTTAACGAGTGCTTAGGTTTGCTGCTACGGGTAAAAAGCGAGCGAAGGTAAAAAGTGTTTTTTGACCAAACGTCAATAGTTTACTAAACGTTTAAAATGGACATGGGGACATTGATTAGCTAAAAATGATTGAGGCAATGGTTATTTAAAGTAATTTTGAACTGCCATTTTGGTCCGATTTCTATTTTCTTTATGTTAATTGTTATGTTTCGTCAAGACCTACAAAATGATACCAAACTCGACTATACTTGCTATTTGAAAATTTTGAGCTACCCGCTACCCCTAAGGGCAAGATTTTCAAAACTGACCATAATTTTATTGTAGCCCCTCATATCTAAGAAGGTTGCCGCAAATTGATTTCAAATATATCAAATGGTTGAAAAGATAAGGGGGGGTGCAAGTTACTTTTCAGCCACCCTGTAAAGGTGATATCCGACCACCATGTACACAGAAAAGTAGCTTACAATTTCCAGTAATGGTATACCAAATGTGGTTGTGATATCGTTTGTCGTTTAAAAGTTATAAAGTCGTCCTAAGACTTAATGGTCACCTGTATATATGAATTTGAACTAATGGTGTTTTTGACTCTGGGGACCTCAAAACAAAAAATTAAATCGGTCCCGGGTTTCAGGTCTTACCATGAGACCTACGGTAATAGCTTATTCCCTATATGGGAAATTCGCTAGCATAATATGCGGCCCTTTCAGTTTGTAGAAATCAATAATTTGATGTATTGTTCAAGACATAAAATGGTACCAAAGCTTACACGGTTGGTAGCTCGGTTCACTTCATTAAGTTACCACCATTTACGGTTACATAACGAATACTTGAAAAGAACCGGTGAGGATCATAAACATAAACAAAATCATGTTTTTGGCCGGAAAATAAACATTATTTAACATTGCATGGAACTGGCAAAACATGTCAATGCTATTAGTAGGATTCAGGCCAACAACGCCTTTGGTTTATATTTATGATCCATACTGGGTTTTATTCTAGTATTCATGGGTTACATAGTTACAAAAATTAATCCTACTTCCTACTAATATTATAAATGAGAAAGTTTGGATGTATGGATGTATGTTTGTGACAAGTGAACGCGAAAAATACTGGTCGGATTGGGCTGAAATTTGGCATGATGATAGCTCACATTCCCGATTAATATATAGGCATATTCTTATTTCAAAAATCCTTTCGGGCTCCGCCCCAGTGGCTCTGGAGTTTCCCATGTTAACCTTATGAGAAATGGAATTATTGAATCTTAACAGCTGTTTCAATTAAACAAGTTGGTTCTGTTCTATGATGTTCAATAGCATTATAGTCCAGTCAAACTAAGACAAATTACCCTTAAACCTGGGCAAAATTGCTTCACAAGCGATTGAAGTGGTATTCAACTCAGAAAATGTTGCTTTATAACATATCCAAAATCCGACAAAATCCATCCATGGGAAAGTGGCTAAAATCAGAATTTAAAATGGCGGCTTTTCCCAACATTGGACAAATTAAAAAAACATATTTCACATGCATTTATTATGCACATTTTTCGAGATATTGACTTGAAACCACCGCCTGTATTTATTGGGTGGTTAGTACTTCATTTTGATAGGGAACATGTTTTTGGCCGCCATCTTGGATCCGCCATATTGGACATAGATATTGTTTTTTCAATGTAATGATAGTGTTGTGACACATCGTTACCAACTACATTTTTACACTGATTTAAATGCCGAAATCCGTTTTTAAATATCTTTATTCATTTAGAAGATATATTCAAACGAAAACTCTCCACCATACATTTCTTATGGACGTTTCGTAGTTTGATAATTGTTTTAACATTATGTTTCTTATATCTCCAGTTCTTATTGACGCTTGTAATTCGTTCTAGGCTTAAAATATTCAGTAATGTGAGGGCTTTCATTTGAGCTCTTGATCATTAAAGTCAGACGAGTTAAAGACCAGCTACGAACCTCAGAACAATATTAAATTAATCTTTTTAGAAATATATTTTTATTAAAAGATTTATAACTCGGGTTGTTAATACGTCACAAAGTTATTTCTGGTCTCAAATTACTCAGTGAATGTTTAGCTTTAATTTTATTGATCATTAAACAAAATCTGACAATTTTAAAATGAGTCATGGACCATAATTTAACATTAAAATGTATTTATATTGAAATTTGTCTTTAGTTAAAGACGTATATCCCCAATTCTAAATAACTCCCAAAACTCTTTATAGTCTTAAATAATTCGCCAAATTATTGACTTTTATTTTAGCTATGGATTACTTTCCGGGAGTTATTAGGGTTTGGGATATATGTCCTTAACTAAAGACAAATTTCAAAATAAATACATTTTAATGTTAAATTAAGAACCATGACTCATTTTAAAATTGTCAGATTTTGTTTAGTGATTAATAAAATCAAAGCTAAACATTCACTGAGTAATTTGAGACCAGAAATAACTTTGTGACGTATTAACAACCCGAGTTATAAATCTTTTAATAAAAATATATTTCTAAAAAGATTAATTTAATATTGTTCTGAGGTTCGTAGCTGGTCTTTAACTCGTCTGACTTTAATGATCAAGAGCTCAAATGAAAGCCCTCACATTACTGAATATTTTAAGCCTAGAACGAACTACAAGCGTCAATAAGAACTGGAGATATAAGAAACATAATGTTAAAACAATTATCAAAGTACGAAACGTCCATAAGAAATGTATGGTGGAGAGTTTTCGTTTGAATATATCTTCTAAATGAATAAAGATATTTAAAAACGGATTTCGGCATTTAAATCAGTGTAAAAATGTAGTTGGTAACGATGTGTCACAACACTATCATTACATTGAAAAAAATTATCTATGTCCAATATGGCGGATCCAAGATGGCGGCCGAAAACATGTTCCCTATCAAAATGAAGTACTAACCACCCAATAAATACAGGCGGTGGTCCCAAGTCAATATCTCGAAAAATGTGCATAATAAATGCATGTGAAATATGTTTTTTTAATTTGTCCAATGCTGGGAAAAGCCGCCATTTTAAATTCTGATTTTAGTCACTTTCCCATGGATGGATTTTGTCGGATTTTGGATATGTTGTAAAGCGACATTTGTTGAGTCGAATACCACTTCAATCGCTTATGAAGCAATTTTGCCCAGGTCAAATCATAATTTTACTAGACTATTAAAGTTACAAGGATTACCAACAGGGTGCAGCACTATTATTTCTTTAAATTTATGACAACAGCTAATTTGCAACCAAAAGGTGAGTGAGCGTAGCGAACGAACTTCAACCTGGAGGCGAGTTAGCGTAGCGAACGAGCTAACCTAAAGGCAAGTGAGCGCAGCGAACGAGCTCCAACCTAAAGGTGAGTGAGCGTAGCGAACAAACTTCAACCAGGACGTGATTGAGCCATGCGAACGAGATAATCTTGAAAATTAAGAAGTTAAACGGGGCAAAGCCCGAGGGTTACAGCTAGTAATCAAAGAGGAACTATGTATGTATGTGTGTATATATGTATATACGTTATGGACTCCAAAACCGCTCGACAGATTGTAATGAAACTTTCAGGCATTATTACGCATCTTTCAAGGATGGTTTGTGTGAAGTTTGGTGCAGATCCGTCAAAAGGGCTCCACCCCAGAGGGTTTTAAGTGGGCCAATGTCAGACTTTTTGAACTACAATGTTTACAAATAAATACAGTACGACAGCTGTTACCAGGCAACTGTTTTGTAGGTTTGAATAATCACAACATTCTGTATTAGTTATGATTTGAAATAGTGCCACAATGCACAAATAGTACTCACTAGTGCTGACGTTAATCCGCACCAGGGAGTATCGCATCACAGTGCATGCCTATAAATATCCACAATCCGTGACCTCCTAGTAGCTGGATTACAGGACGTCGGCACCGTCCCAGTAAAAAAAAAAAAAAAAAAACAAACTGTTTCCAAACAATACAGGAACTAGGCTATATTTAAGAGTTTGGAGTCAGAGAAGAAGTTTCACTCTGAATGTTGAGGTTTATGTCTAAATGCAACATACCAGCAGCAGTAAGGTTTGGTAATGTTGTGAAACACTAAAATATGCTAGCTACCACTTATTATAGCATGGTATGTTTTCATTGAAATAACTCCGACACTTTTAAATTAAACCTTAAAAATGCTTATTTATAGCACCAGATCCAAAAAAGATTTACAAAAAAATTTTTACTATAGCAGGACATAAAAACACACATTTAAAAAACTGAATAATTTATTCCAATAATAATTTACTCAGTAAATTATCTTACTAACAAACTAAAATAACAACAAATCTTTTTTGGTTTTAAAAAATAAATATCTCTTTAACATAACATTACATCAAAGCTAAAATCAAATGGTACGTTCGTATGAATACAAAATAATGTGAGCTTTGAAAAATAAATAAATAGTTCACTAATGAAAGCGAGGTATGGTACACTACTTACAATCCTATACTGACTAGCACTAATCATCTAGGCCCTAGGTGAAAGCTTTTTCTTCTGTGAGACTTGTGTTCGCGGTGGGTCAAGTATTCTTTCCTTCTCGTCGAAGGCTTCAACTCCAAGATATGGTTGATCTTCTGTACAATGAGGTTTGCGACCTCGGTTGTTGCCTCAAAGTCGTGGTTTTTGAACACCGGAGATGAGGAGGAGCTACTGTCTAAGCTGGCAGAGAGAGTCGAGTGATCGTAGACCAGCCTGTAACACCACAACAATGTAAACACCAGGTTCTTGCAAGTTATAATGTTTAGTAGAAATTCTCTGTAGCTTGTTTGGGATGTAGAAATCCCTTTAAGTTCTGTAAAAAAATTGTAATAGTCTATACATCATTGATGTTTTGAGGGATTACATATGCATACTTATTGTAAAACAAAAAACCTATTTAAAATATTATTTAACCAAATAAAAAAACTAGCAAGTGGTGACTAAATGAACTTAACAAAATATCAAAAAATAAATTAATTAAATGGAGACATAAAGTAAGACAATCAATTTACATATAATGAAAAATTACATGTTTTGAAGAGTAAGTTACACAATACACTTTCATAAATGTTCAAATTCCTGTACATTGACTATTTTATGATTTTGTTTTTAAAACATTACCTTGACCACAGACAATATTTCAAAAATGGAATGGTAATTCCAGGAATATTAAACCTCAGATCGAAATCCTACAAAATAGAATATTAAATCAAAGTAAAATTTTTAAAAACCACAATAAGCAACACTCTGCGATAATCGGTTGTCACTTGTGTACTATACATATTTTTAATAAGTTACATTAGCTTAACATAGTGGCTGACCTGAAAGTAGCTCTATTGTTGGACTTGGTGTCTACAAGATCACAGGCCACCACAGAGTCCATGTCGTGTGTAGAGGCCTTGAGTCTGCCAAAGAACTTGGCACTGACTCTCTGTTGTACCACAGGGAATATCTCTACCTTATCTGCGGATACTCCTGCAACAAACATTCAACCACTTTCTGCGTCAATCCTGTCTTATTAGCATACACTAGTATGCTGAAGTTTCAAAAGAACCAACGGTGAAATGGAGTACATTATATTGAATGATAGCATTGAATATAAAGTGTAGTTTTTGTTGATGAAATTCGTTTGGTCGTAGTTTCATTGTTTTATGATGCATTTTTAATAGTAAATGATTTAAAGGTGCTCAGAGGCGCACTGCACTACCGACCGATTACCGCGACACAAACCTCAGCAGCCCAAATAATGTCACTAAAATCGATATCAACTATTATCAATATCTGTCCCCTATTATACATACTCAATGACGATAGTCAGCCAGCAATAAGATAATACCCATTTACATTATACATAGTTATTGTTCATTTCATCCAGATTCTTATACTGTGTATAATTAGTTTGGATTCAATCATAGTTTATGCTGTCGCTTTATTGCTGTAACCACAGATAATATAAATGGTAAAACACAGGAATTTGACATATTGAATCCAAATCTAAAACCTCAAGTCTTAAATCTTGAATTCAAGTTTCAATTTCATACAACACACTATAGAATATAATCAGTTCTAACTTATAATTGACATTCCAAACAAAGTTGTCAGCGAGGGATAAGTAGAAACGTCTTGAACATCTCTCACGATCACGACAAATCTTCTACGATTTCCCCCGGTCACGGTAACATTCGTGTTGAATTACCACAAGTGTTTGTACATCATTGTAGCATTCATGTCATCACGATCACAACGATGATTTCTTATAACTTCCGTTAAGATCGTTGGCCATTTTCAGTAACTTTCCTACTTCACCGTGAAAAGATGACAAACGTCCATTATTGGTGAATTTTTCCATTATTGGCAACTGATCAAAACAAAAGGTTTACCTATAATTCACAACTTTCAGGGTCAAAAGAATTAATTACAATTTTTGGTTTAATGTATACCATGCAGCCGCTACAGTGTACTCATGGGATTGTACAACCAGTACATGGTTCTCATTTTCCGCTAAGAAGGTAGGAATGAAATCCAAAGGTCAGATAACCAAGACTCTACTGTACTTTATCGCAATGAACCGATTATTATACCGATTTATTATACCGATGGGCAACTTACCTAAATGCACCTCTGTTTTGGCTCGAACTTTGTTCAACATGTACACTTTGAATGATTCGTACATAGGAGCCCGTATCCTAGCATCGATATCACCTTGTTTCTTCTCTGCCTCACTCTCAGATACCCTTTCTGCAACAATTCATGTAGCCTTAGTGGATTTTTTTCATGCAGACTGAATTATTTTCATAATATCAAGAAGTTAAATACTGTAACATAAGGATTGCATTCCTCAACGTACAAAGTAGCATGGAAGTAAAATACTTATCCCAGCCCAATAACATGTTATTTTTAGTATAGGTCTAAGTAGTATAGGCCTATCCCAGTTGAAATCCTCAACAAATTTAACTTTAAAATTCCAAACTCTTTGAATTAACTCATTGATTGATAATTTACCTCTATTTCTGGGAATCTGTGGATCATTGGGAGCTTTGATGACAACACTGTAACATAAAAGCATATCTAAGTCATTTTTTACAAAAACAGTGTTAAAACTAGTGATGTGTCAATAACTAAATTTATCGATTTACAATACCAATACCTGAAAGATCAATTCGCCACCACAAAATCCTTAAATCAAGACCTGTGGTTCGTTCTAAAGGATGGTTTTGTGATTTGGTTATAAACTATAAAGCATGGTAAGTATGGTTTTTAAAGCAAAATCTTTTACTCACTTCTGTATCCAATAGTAAATCGATATCCAATAGTTGTTGTATATTAACAACTTAAATAAAATAATCTGGTCATATAAAGATTATTCTATACACCTCGAGTCCAAAATCTAATACACAGCTATAAAATGAAATAAATCCATCAAAAAATAACTTTGGTGGTTTATTAATCATAATTCAAAACACCCAATTATTTATCAACTATATCTAAATAAACACAATATAAATTCCAATTGTGATTCAATATGTATGTCTTGGCAAAAAACTGTTTTAACTGCAGCACCTATATCAAACTCTCATGGACCATAGGCTTACTCAGATCTACAGCCTGTACATTGGTTTCCCAAATGGGAGTTTTGTCAAAAAACCCATCATGTCCCTTATTATCATTTATACAACAGTCCAACCCCCAGAACAAATCTACTTTTATGTAAAACAAAATTAACTTTTGGTAAAATTTTTATTGTGCCCCAGTTAAAGCCACATTGGACCTAGTTAGTTAAATAAGAACATCATTTACATTTCTTTGTGACGATACCATGACTGTTAGTTAAATTATTAAACCTCTACAAGCTTTCAACGGAGTAAAGCCATTATTTAAACAACCAGTACAGTTGCAACATGATTGTTGTCTCCTAGCGGCTATCAGAGACTCTTGGGTATTATACAGGGTGAATCAGACCACCCGTGCACAACAGTTTGGCTCAACAAGCATTAAAAAACAACCTTTTTTATTAAAAAACTGCCATTTAAAATTGTTTTAGTGGGTTAAAATTTAAAAAGTCACTTCAAGGTTGAGATCATTAAAAGTACAAATATATGTCCAAAAAGTAATTTAAAAAATTAAAAACACATAGAAAATCTAGGAAAGACATTTTACAAGTTTTAGAAGTAGGGCGTTTTTTGAAGGTGAAGGAGAGCGATCGAAAAACGCTTAAGAGTGTCCTGTAAAAAATTTAATTCCTGACCATGAAAATTGTTTCAAATCTTTTCCAGCTCTTACCGTTTTTACAAAAACCAGTTTTTTCTCAAAAAAGGGGGATTTAAGGACTTTTTTGAGGGGGGTTGTAATTTGAAAATGTAACGTTTTGGATTTTCTGGGTGGTTTCGGACCGAGACGGAACTCCACAAGAAATTTCAGATCCCTAGCTATACTAGAAGTGTGTAAACATTTGTATACCTGATCAGTGAGTTACACAAGCAGCTTTATACTCCATTAAAGTACAGGGTGATTCAAAATGAATGACCCAGTTTTAACGCTTTATAACTTTTAATACTAATAAACTTACCTCTATAAAATACACACCAAACGAAAAAGTAACTCAAAGAGTTTATGCCTTTCAAAGACACATCATTTAACAAAATCGGTCCAGCAGAACTGTAGATTTAATTGTACAAAGTTATCCGTCTTCAATGTAGACATTAAACATAGCAAACATTAAATTTCACACTTTTTTTATTTTAAGCCAAATTTAGGCTACATTTATTGAGTATTTATAGTTAACAATGTTTACCTCGTAGCGTGTTTATCCGGAGGTTCTTGCTTTGGGTCCCGTTCCACCAATGCCAGAAAGTTGAAGGTGAATTTAGTGACACTCTCTCGATTGTCAAGACAAGGAAAGTCCCAGTCTACTTCCCCGTCATCTTCTGCGATATGTAATGAGTAGTAGTCCACACTCTCCCTGCAAGACAACATTTAGTTATTTTATTATGTTTTTTGAAGGTTCAAAACTACCCAGCTGTCCTTGATCATCGTGCTTTTAATAAACGGTCCTGACATATGAATCAGCTGGTCTTAAAAACTTAAATAATTGCGGTCAGGAGGATTAGGTGGACCTTTTTTATGAGCAGGTGGCATATGTGAGTTCTGTGTCGTCACTTGCTAATACTGTAGTAATGTACTTTGGCGTTGCAACTGATTAATTACTGTACCCAATATTTAATAATCAGATATTAGGTACAATAATTAACGTAATCAATGAACTACTATTTCTTTTTTGAGGTTTGGATTGAGCTGGACTACTAGTAGGTTCGGATTATCAAGGGCCAAATTATCAAGGGGGTTTTACTGAAGCACTATTAGGGGTTTCAATCCCGGGATTTTGGGATTCCTCTCAGCCGATCCTGGGATCAATCCCGGGATTATATAATATTATGATAGCCTATTTAACTTTTTGGGAGCGTTTCATAAAGTCCAAATTTCACAAAGTCCAACGGTTAAAATATTAAATAAACAGAGCGTTTCACAAGGTCCAAATTTTATAAAGTCCAAAACTATAACATTCAAATAACCACTGTTTCATAATGTCCAAATTTCACAAAGTCCAATGTTAAAAAATCAAATAAACAGAGCAATCACAAGGTCCAAATTTCACAAAGTCCAAAACTATAACATTTAAATAACCACTGTTTCATAATGTCCAAATTTCACAAAGTCCAACGTTAAAATATCAAATAAACAGAGCGTTTCACAAGGTCTAAATTTCACAAGGTCCAACGGTACAGTCTGGGCCAGAAGTCTCTACAGTGGTTGCCACGGTCAGATAGCAGGCACCGTCCGCCGGCGCTCAACTACTGATTACTGATTACTCCCTGTTGCAGCAAACCTAAGTACGGTACTTGTTAAACTAATGTTATTTAAATAGGGAATAAATGTGATAATTTTAAGGAGATATTCTAGTGGAAATCAAATAAGGGAAATGGAAAATCGATTAGTCTGCAGGTTTGCTGCGGAGGGGGTGAATACCACTACTTTACACTCTTTACAACGTATCTACGGACCCACAATGATGTTTTGTGACGCGTGGCAACAACACTAGGTAGTGTAGTGCCTACCTACCGAACCACGGCAACCTCTGCAGCGACTTCTGGCCAAGACTGTACCGTTGGAACTTGTGAAATTTGGACCTTGTGAAACGCTATGTTTATTTGATATTTTTACATTGGACTTTGTGAAATTTGGACATTGTGAAACGGCGATTGTTTGAATGTCATAGTTTTGGACCTTATGAAATTTGGACCTTGTGAAACGCTCCGTTCATTTGATATTTTAACGTTGTACTTAGTGAAATTTGGACCTTGTGAAACGCTCTGTTTATTAAAAATTTAACCGTTGGACCTTGTGAAATTTGGACCTTGTGAAACGCTATGTTTATTTATATTTTAACCATTGGACTTTGTGAAATTTGGACCTTATGAACCTCACCCAACTTTTTAGCCATTTTAAATGAGCGAGAAGTCTCCTCGTTGAGTACTTTAATGTTTTAAACTGGCCTTACCAGTGTTAAACTGTGCAATGTTTCCGTTTTCTAAGTAAATAAATATTACCACGCCAAACTTTTATCGCCCTTATTTCTTATTTACAGTGTATAAATGTTGATATGTCACTCTAGAATATAATAAATACATTTAAAAAAATCACAAGCAACCGCACTCGCACGTAGCCTAGATACGTCACGCTAATAGATAGATTAAAGATAGCTAAGAGAAAAAAATAAAATGGGAAGAATCACGTTGTATTGAGGGAGAGACGCAGACAATTTGTTAAGTAGAGGTTAAATTCGCTATGTAGAGGTTCTGACAATGATAAATTCGTTATATTGAGGTGTCTTATTTTAGCCGGGATCATGAAAAATTTGTTAAATCAAGGTCGTTTATATGGTTTGTTCGTTATGTAGAGGTAAAATATACATTGTGTCTTATGGAGAGTTCTAGGGGATTTAAAAAAATTCGTTAAATCAAGGAATTCGTTATATCGAGGTTCGTTATATCAAGGTTAGACTGTACGAAGATAAAGCTATAGACCCTAAATATAAGCGATCTTAATAGTGTAATGAGATTATAATTGTGTGTTAATAGTTATATTTTATGGCATCAATGAAAATAATACTTAAATTTCCGATTGCAATGTTATGTTTGCTACACGAATTACGTTGTTTACGTTTAATGTCAACAGTAAAACTCAAAATAACTTGAAGGCCTACTGTAATTAAGTTCTAACTAATGTAATAACATTTACAGAAAGTAAATCCAAATCGGCTAAAAACTTAAACATATATTTAGGCCTGCATTCGTTCGCCTATTGAGTTTAATGACAATTAAATTTTCCAATCAAAATTATCATTAGGCCTACTTATACCATTTTGTATAATCGTCCTAAAAATGAAGAGTATATGTGTTTCAAGTGTTATTGGACTATTTTTATTAGTTTTCCTCAAGTAAAAAGTCCCCAAATTCACAAAGAAATCAATATAAACATAGGTTTTGCAATCCCGTTAATCCTGGGATTAAAAGTCACCAATCCCGGGATTTCTAGGTATCAAAAATCAGCCGGGATCCCGGGATTGAGACCCCTAAGCACTATGCTCTTTCGTGGACATTTAAGAAGCTTTAGATCAATTTTGTCAATCTGTGCGACAATAAAACATTGAGATGGTGTGCCACTGCACATTTTTTCAGACTTTTGGCATTATTTTCAAAATTTTCCTGACTTGGCACTTTTTCAAAAATTTTCCTGAGTAAAATCCAAAAATCCAGACTTTGAATTCACGACCCCACTCCTTTTGCAGTCAATGGAAATTCACCAGAGCCAATCTCCTAGACTTGTTTTCAGTAGGTGTACTCTCACCCCAACTGTGGACCTTTGGGTTGAATGGCCTTCTCTGTAAATTCACCAGCTAAAGTATCTTTGCTCAGAGCTAAACAGACCATTATTGTGGATGACACCACTAAGTCAGCCTTAAATATGCCAAAGGATGCCGGCAGAATATCAGAGAGACGGAACATAAATTAGATTAAAAGATGTCCTTTAAATATTGCAGATGAGCACTTACTTGAGCGCCGTCTCACTCAGTGAGTACTCAGCCATGCAGCGCCAGCACACCAGGCCGATGAGATCGAGCACTCGCGCTGTCGCCATCACCGACACCTGCATCGGAAAGTTGCGTTTCTCCCCGTTGAGCATCGTCAGCCATATCTTAAAACAGCGAACTCCGGCGCCCCATTGGGACTAAAATAGGGTTAATTTTATAAGACACAAGTAGTACAATTGACGAGACACAATGCACATGCATGATATAGAACAGAAACTTGATTCCTTAAAACTATTAATTAAGAACATCAGTAATGCTTTTGTTAGTGAGATAATAATTGTAGGTAGAAGATTAAGCAGACTTATTACAGATATTTCAAACAGTTTAGCTACATTTCCAATGTGTTACAATAGAAACGTGGTTGATTTACGGGAAAGTTCTATATCAAAGAGTGGAAATATCAGAATAAAAAATATTCATTTTTAGGCCCCATTATTAGGCTGATGCTACCACTGTCAGAATCCATTGGTTCCTCAACCTAACAACTGAGGATATCACTTATCGTAAGAGAAAATGTCAAAAGTGAATTTGATCTGACATTGCAAATGCATCCTGCAAAATCAATGGATTCTTATTCATAATAATGTAAAATATCATCATTCTGAAAAAGCTTATACAATTTTCATTTACAAAATATTCAGAAACCATCTTCAGTAACTGAAATTTTCTGTGGTGGTTTTAGACTAGAGTCGATAAAACCTAGGAATACTTGAACATCATCAGAACTAGGTCAAACATTGTTCTGCGATGTTCACTAACAAAAGTTTACAAAAACCACTTACATCACCATTAAACTTGGCATAATCACGGAACGGATTTGCTGGCAGTGTTGGATGATTCTGAATAATTTCACTAAGTAAGGAATGCGGTTGCGTTTTTGCAGTGTTTGACGTTAAAGTCTTCTTTGGAAACAATTCGGCCATTTCTTTGCCTGGAAAAAAATTAGTATATTATGGTATGTTTTCTTTGTCGTTTGAAGAGTAGTATTTAAGAAATATTCAAAAGTGTTTACAACTAGAGTATGAAAAATAGGTTCCCAATTTGCGTTACACAAGCTCCATGCAAAACATTTAAATCCATTTCTGTGACTTACCAGTCAGAGTTAGGGGGGGTTTGTCCCAGTGTACATGTCGTATACTGGCTTGTATCCGTCTCTCTTCTTCCATCTTCTGAAGACGAACAGCGGTGTTGGAGCGATACCTGCCGGTAATACGTCGGCAAAAGTCCGAATCTGAAGAACAATTCAATTTGATTTTCTCACTCAAGTTTTCTATAAATATTTGCATGTAGTCAATAGTTACAAAAGCCATTCAAGGGTTGTCTTTTTACAGAAAAAACTTTTTTGTTTGTAAAAAAATTATAGATTAAAAGAATTATACAGTATATTCATGTAAATTGCAGAAGCTACAGAATGATAAAGATGCAGAATGCAGATAAAGAAACATGAAAACACCTTGCAAATGTTAGAAAATGCAGGAAGAAATGTTCCTTTCGCTGAGTGAATTTTGGTTAGGTAAAAAAAAAAAAAATACAATGGGATTTGCAGCAAACAAATTAGGCCTAGGCTAATAAAAAAGCAGTCCCAATGTTTTTTTTTTAGCTTTATTTGAAAACGAGATTATAGTAGGCCTAACTAAACTTTAAAGAAAAATTAATAGCCTACCCTGATTAAATTGGCATAATGGGGACTCTGGGTTTATCGTTTGTGGAGTGTTTCTTATGAAAATACAGTAGAACCTTGATAACAGGACACCCTTGATAACAAGGGTCATTTTCAAATCCCTTGAAATTATTTTACCCCTAAACACAATATGTTATTTCAAACTTCGGTAAGAAGTCAAACTTGATAACAAGTCTTATTTTATAATCCCTATGAGAGTCTCGTTATCAAGGTTCTACTGTATATCCATAAGAAATTACCAAAAATTAAAATTAGAGTACTGTAATTTATTCTCCATACGAGGACTGGGAAACAAATTAAACTGTGTTAGGCATTTTAATCAGGATATAGAGTACAAAACACAAGTTAAGCCTACTAAATTGCTGTGTCATTTTAAGCTGATTTTATATTATTTAAATTACGGTAGGGCTTATTTGAAACATTTTGTTTTTCTTTACAAATCAGAATATTAAAGAGGAAAACTATTCCAATTGCTTACCGGCATGCAAATCATAAGACTGTCCCAATACGTCACTTTCTTCTTCATCATCACCCCCGTCTACACCCGGGTAGCATTCATATTGGGACACATTTAATTGATGAGCGATATTTTCACCACCCATTGCTGCTTCACATATTCCTGTAATAAATTCATAAGAAATACGTCTGAGTGGCTTAGTTCCAATACCTAGAACAATTTTAATTTATTCCTTTGACTTACTGATACTACGTCTTTACCAATGTCAATTTTTCAAGTTCAGTCAATTTCATATGTTTTCTGCATGGCCTAACTTCAAAGTAAAAAATAATAAACCTTCTGTCCTCCACCTCTCTGTACCAGTGTTTAACAGAACAGATCAGGGTTTGTGAGAAATCCTTGACTGAACTTTTAAAGGTACCCAGCAAGCCACGTATCAGTAAGCTTAGTATCAATTGCACAATGGAAATAGAGCTGACACATGTAGAAAAGCCTCAGAGCTACACTAGTCAGTGTAAACTCAATTCAGTTAGCATGTCACCAGACGAATATGACAACAAAGCTTGTAGGCGAGATTCAATAACTTAAGCATCAGTAATGCTAACTTACCATGTTCCAAGTCCTGAGACGGACAAGGTACGTCAAAACTCAAAAGGCACTAAGGGTGTCAAATATCTGATTTTGAAGTTTGTTTTTTTGGAACCACGGTAAAAATTACTTTCTTCTGACTGTAACAGAGCCTACATTTTTTTATGCTACACTTTTGCTGATTAGGCTACCAATCTCTTTTTGCTAGGCTAACTGTTATAAAAGTAAAAACTTGTTACTTTCACGTGGGGTGACTATGGTAAAAAAACGCACATTTTCATTTGGTTTTGAATTCTCAACATAATTCTATGTTCATGGTATATATTTATACCCCCAATCTTGTTGCTTATTGGAAGTTATAGAAAAAAATAATCTGAAAGGAGTTTGGAGAGAAAAAAATTTTTTGGCTGACCATTGTCACCCCGCGAGTGGGGTGACTGGTCACACTTATTACTACTGCATTCACTCTCTTCACCGATATGGAGCTACAATGGTAGGAGAGAGCAGACTTTTGGCTACAATTTTGTATAATTTTTTTTTTTCAAAAATGTTACTCCTAAGTATACAAAAATTGAGATTTAGATAAAATGGGCACTTTTTTTTAAATCATAAAAATAATAAGCACTACAAACTTGAAAATTGGCAGTTTTAAAGATAAATATACATAGTTTATTAGGAAAAAATATCATTAAGTTATAAGTTTTGGATAAAAAGTTATAACCTTTGGAAAATTGACGTGAATTTTTCGGTGATGAAAAACCGCACAACTTTTAATCTGTTTAAAAAAATTCTAAAATAATATAAGAAGTCCTACACACTTTAAACTAACCACTTTTATAGATTAATGTACACAGTTTATTATGAAAAAATATCACAAAGTTCTATAAAATGGCTGAAATAATTTTTTTTCTTGGCTAATATTGCCGTAGTGGGCTTTGAAAGTCCGCACAACATCGAGTGTGTTAAAAAATCAGGATTTTAGAACTAAAATAATAGAAATCATAATATATAATATATACAACTGAAACTCTCAGAACCTCTTTATTACATACCAGGCTGTCACAACAAAAATTAGATGCCAGGGACTACATCTTCATATATTTGGACCGAGGAGTTTGGAGAAGAAAAAAAAATGTAAAAAGTAGGATGATGTGGCGTCAACTTAGCCACATCTGTGATGCCTTTGGTCTATACTTATTTAATATTTATTATGTAACAGCTGTTGCTAGTTTTGTTAAACATTTAGTTTTGACTATGTTATGATACAACACACTTCATCATTCGTTTGTAAATAAAACTTATCAAATATTCGTTCATATAGTGGTGAAATTAATTCATACAGATTAAACATCGCTGTATATTGGTGACCCCTATCCGACTTATTTTTTTTTAAGAAACAATTTTGACTTTGAATTATTGTTTTTTATGTCAAAATGATCACAAAATAGTGGAGAATAAGCGGGTATTTTTTATTTCATAATAGCTTTATTCGTTTCCGAGAAAACCAATATAGGCCTAATAACAAATTTTCAAATTTGACCATAGTCACCCCTCAGGACCATAGTCACCCCACTTGGCGGTACCCATACAAAATAGCAGAAACTATTAAATTTATTAATTACTTGAGTATAATAGCTTATCTATATAAATAAAATTAGAGTTTTGTCTGTACATTGCTTAGAATAATGAACTTTTTGGTTATTTTTACATTTCATAGGTCAGAGAAACCGAATCAAACCTTATCTCAATTTCTGTCTGTCTGTCTGTCTGTCTGTCTGTCTGTCTATCTGTCATTCTCTTGGTAACGCTAAAATACGCACTTTATTACAACTACTCCTCAATAACTATAGCACTGTCCCGCCTGAAACTTATTTTCCAAATACTATACATATATGAGATGGTTTTAGACGTATTTCATCGAATATGAGACAGTTAGATATTTAACAGTAAACCCTTGAAAATCAAGTTTTTGTCGATTTTTGACGTGGAATTTCTGGAAGCCCATGTTAACCTTATGAGAAATGAAATTATTGAATCTTAACAGCTGTTTCAATTAAACAAGTTGGTTCTGTTCTGTGATGTTCAATAGCATTAAAGTTACAAGGATTACCAACAGGGTGCAGCACTAGCACTATTATTTCTTTTACATTTATGACAACAGCTAATTTGCAACCTGGAGGCGAGTGAGCGTAGCGAACGAGCTAACCTGAAGGCAAGTGAGCGTAGCGAACGAGCTAACCTGAAGGAAAGTGAGCGCAGCGAACGAGCTCCAACATACAGGTGAGTGAGCGTAGCGAACGAACTTCAACCAGGACGTGATTGAGCCATGCAAACGAGATCAGATAGTAAAAATAAAAGTAAGCCTACCGTTATAGGATCGACCGGCAGACACAGAGGTAATTTAACCTTTTATTGATTGTCATACCGATCCGGAACAACAAAAAACAACATAAAATGAAGCTATGTATAATAGTTTGGCCAGCATATCTTAAAATATGCAAACCAACTGCTGTTCGTTATATAAGAAGGTTTCAACTGAATATTATAAGATCCCCGTGCGTAGAACGGGTACACAGCTAGTCAACTCTAAAACCTTACTCCATCAATATAAGACAACTGTACTAATATTCCTATGGGCTATTTAAAAAGGTCTATATTAAAAAGATAATAACTGATACTAATTCATGATCTAGCCCTTTGGGGTTTGGCCAACTTTACCTACTTAACAAAACAATGTAGGCCTACGGTATGAAATATCTTTTAATATGTAAAAAAGTGTTCAAGTGGTACATCCAGTTTGCCCAAGGCCCATGGCTGTATATAAGTATATAGGCATATATAATCAATAGGCTAACTAATGACTATTTGAAAAAAGGGGGCAATCTATAACTTTGGTTTTAGACTCTCATTCATGAAATATGTATTGTGCCGTAATTTATTATACAACTTTTACGATATCTGATGTGACTTGTTGGCAACAATGCAAGTCTCAGCACATTGCACGTATCCCCCACCCTCACTTCTCCCTTGTTTCTAACTTCAAACTCTTAGCCTACATAAATTTCTCATCATGATGTTATCCATTGTTCATATTGTAAATGCATTGATTTTTTAGTAAATAAGTTAAACCGCAAGTGTAATTAGTTCTGAGTTTAGTAGGCCTACTGCTACTGTACAGGCGAACTAAGAACAATATTAATGAAACTTCAATCTATTTGAAAAAAATACAGTAAGTTAGGCCTAATATCCTTTTTCTGATATAGTAAGCCCTAACTTACGACTATTTTTTATTATAATTTTTACTTTCAGCCCAAAAATTGAGTTTGAATAAACATTTTATAGGCCTATGGAAGTTTGTGTATTTTGAAAAGATAAAAGTAGGCTAACTTGTAGAGCTTAGGCTATAAAAAATACAGGTCCTCACACTAAATATGAAGTTTTAAATACAAACATTTTCAAGTTCTGGCTGCTTTTAAATCGCTAAACAGTAGTTCTACCATGGAATAACTTAGATTAACTTAATCTGTTCCATTCTGGATGAGGAATACCTACAGTAATACTAATAGCATAAAATCCAGGTGTCTATTAACCTCGGGGAAGCCCTGATTTTATCTGACTAGATCAGTACCAGTACCATAAGGATGAACAACATAATAATTTTTGCCACACTATACACTGTTTTAATAGACTTTCCTCGCATGAAATTAGTCCGGAAAACAGCTTTTTGCCGCTTGCTTAAACTGTAATAGGATTTGGAACCATACACATATTTCGTAAAACACTTTTCGTAATTTTAAACCCCCCTCCCTCCACCATGTAACACACCGTAACACTTGAACAACCCCCCCCCCCCTCCTTGTGTTACGCAACTCGATCGTCACTTTAAAAACAGCTAAAGCATAAGTTAGGCATAATTTTACTAGTGGAATATGGATTTAAATTATTCAATCATTAAACTTGTAATGACATTTGTTTTAACCTTTTTATAACTAAAGCAAAATGTATACAAACAAACAAACAAGATTGTGCCGGTAACTAACTTAATAATATAATAAAACATTAAAATAAATTATCCCAATCAAAACGTAACTAATTTAATTTATAACTGATGAATCACGTCAGATAAATGAATAAATAAATAACGGTTAAGTTACATCATTAAGGACCAAACAACAAAAGATTTATTATCTTATCATGTTAGGTACATAAAATTTTAGTGAAAACTACATAAATGACAAACAACTGTTTGGTAGCCTAACAAATTTTGCCACAGAAAATATATTGAGATTAGGCTATAAAAAGTTTAAAAACTCAAAAGAATATGGATATAAAATATCAATTAGATTATTTTAGTGTTTTTAATGAGGAATGTGCACGTTACCTACGTTGAAACAAACCCATCCCCCATATAACCCAGCGTAACACTATGCCATACCCCCTCCCTACCCCCTTTTAAGAGTGTTACATAATAAGTTATGTGTAGCCTATGACCCGTTTCATTACACACTACTGTACTGTAATTAGTTTTTACCGGAGACCAGCTGATTTTAATTAGCAATAACTTATCGTACAGGAAATAAAAAATATCGATATATTAATAATATCATTGATGATAATGAATGTTCCCTTTAACAGTCAAGTACCAGTCAGTCAACAAAACAATAAAGGAAAAAACAACCTCTCTTAGAAGTTATGAGTAAGTTTGGTAGGCTAGGCCTAACTTAATTGTTAGTTTTCTTTTAGTCGGTGGGAATAGACTGGGACGGGTGGCGTCGTCCTGTAATCCAGCTACTAGGAGGTCACGAATTGTGGATATTTATAGGCATGCACTGTGGATGCGATGCTCCCTGGTGTGGATTAACGTCCGCACTAGTGAGTACTACGACTATCCGCAGTACTATCCTGATAATTAGACCAATTCGTTAATTACAAGGAAAAATGTGGTTCGGATTCCTCTATAAACTGCAAGTCCCTTAGTTGCCATTAGCTGTATGGGCTATTAAATAACAGCTGTGTCTAAGGAATATGTCGGCCTTAGTCACTAACAAGACTAGCCTACAAGATCGCGCCACTCATCCTTCACTCATATTTGGGTAAAATACGCACATAGTGGCGTCCCCATCTTAAATAATTGATAATTGATAGAATATTATGTGTAAGATAAGTACAGTGTTTTTTTTTAATTGTTTGGTTAGTTTAGAAGTAGGTACTTAGGCCTATGGCTTAAAAATAATGTACGTCACTCATCCAAAATGTGTTTACCGTACTCGTATGGTAGGGCCTAGTCCCAATGGGTAAACCATACACGTCCGGTGAACAGTTGAAAATTATGCCTACATTTTTAGTTAGGCTATATTATCTTCGATTACAATAATTTTACATGCTTGGCCTTACCTACGCCTAGCCTAGTTTAAGTCCAACTCCACAGATTATCCTGGGCATTAAGTTAAGGTTAGCCTACAAATACCAAAAGGTAGCCTAAGCCTAGGCCTATGAAATGACAAAAAAATTAATAATAGAATTACTCTGACCCCTCACTTGTTAACACTAGGCCTAGTGAGAAACGAAAACATTTCTAGCTTGAGGCTTCTAAAAATAAACCTAATGGACATTTAATATAATTTAAGATAATATAATTTAACAGACAATTTGTAAACCAATCCCATGGTTTTGTGAATGAAATAAGTTAATCCAAAATACTCTTCTTTTACCACGAGACTTCAAAACATAACCTCACTCTTGTTTCTTGTAATGAGTATAAAGAGATTTCTACTACACAAGTCTATGAAAGAAACTTACCTGTATCATCTGAGAATATAAAACTATTCCTTATATGCGATAAAAGCCAATGTTTGTTGTCGTAAGTAGCCATAATCGGGTAAACATTGCACAACCACGTTTTCCAGCAAATTCACAGAAGATTGTCTTCCATTACAAACATATTTTTTTCTGTTGTATTACTTTACTTGTATTATTGCCAAAGCCTTGTCAATATGCCAATGCCATGCCATTGCCATAGTCCGCTACGCTAATAGTCACCACACCGGTGGGGCACACGGGAGGGACTAAGGCTAACATATCTTGTAGTGTCAGCGTTCGCCGCTAGGACTGCTAAGTTGAAAAAATTTAAATTAATTTTTTATTTTTTGTTGTAAAATTAACTTTTTAATTATTAAATATTGTTTTAAAGTTATAAAATAAATTTTTAATTTTAATTAATTTAATTTTTAATTAAATTTAATTCTTTTCTTTTAAAATTAAACTGTCATAACATAACCTAACCAACCAGACTTGCTGATAATATAAAAGCTATATAAGATATAAATCTAATTAATGATTACTTATAATTTTTAATTAATTATAAAATTAGTTATAAAATTTAGTATTATAAAATTAAACTGTCATAACCTAACCTAACCAACCAAACTTGCTGATATGAAAAATTTGTTGACAAAAAGTTAATGCTGCCAGCGGGTTTCGAACCCCGGACCTCCTGAACAGCAATCCGAAACGCTACCAACTATGCCACGAACGCCGCTGAAATCACATCGTTTCGTTACGGTAATCGTGTCGCCTCAAGAGAAGACAATAACCACTAGATATATGACGTCATTACACATTTAGCCTTAGTCCCTTCCGTGTGCCCATTCCGTCACCACACCACGTCCTTCGCAATAGGATAGGAAAATGGAATTAGAATTGCCATGCCATTTCATGACCAATGACCGGGGTGAAAGGGAAACAGCATTTTAATTTTATCCACATTTTATCAGATTCCGTGTGGCCCAGAGTTAGTAGGGGTAAGTGAGCGGGTCTAGGGTCAAAGGTTATAGAATTCTATGAAGTAACTAATCAAATATAGTTTTCCTTCCATTACAATTTGTTGGAAAGGCTATAAATGCATAATTGGACATACTGTCTTGAAGAAATTCGTTCATATTCATTGGCCTTCGGGGTTTGCACTAGGCCTTATAGCCCAGTCAAATTAATGTAATCAAAAAACAAAAAAATGGTATATTTTTGCAAATTCGCTTAAAATGTCAGCTAAGGCTTCTACTTTATCATACTAAAAGTCCCCTAACGTGAGACTTGAGCTTTCACCGCCATCTTGGATTTTAGGTACAATTTTCTGGTTTTGTTATTACTTTTGCGATTCGTCATTGATCTCTGGCAGAGGGAATATATTGCACTGCATCTAGTTTATTTTACGAAAGGAAACATACAAAAAAAGGACTAAACACACAACATAAATCATAAACTGTACATTTACATGGCTAGCAGGCAGCAGACGTCACAAAAAAAAACTGCCCGCTCCAGAATGTCCTAAGAAAAATCGGTTGCTTTAGCGCAATCTTTCTACCCTATCAGGCATTTCACAGCAATCTTGGATTTCCGGTCGTCCAGCATCAAAATGCTACTCGTTAGAAGGGAGCGGCTCCCTTCTAGCGAGTAGCATTTTGATGATTTTTAAAATTAAAAAACGTTACACATGATGTTCACGCATAATTTATACTCAACTGACATCTATCAGGGCCGTCCAAAGGGGGGGGGGGCAAGCTGCCCGGGTGCCGTGGCCGAGGGGGTGCCGCGCAGCGTTCATTATTGTATTAACATAGTATTAAAATATGCGAATAATGCAACTATTACTGGGGGGGAGCGCCACGACCACGTTTGCTCCGGGCGCCGCCAACCCTAGGGACGTTCCTGAGGGAGCCAGTTAAAAAAACTTGATGGCTAACAAGGGGAAGAAATTCAGCATTCTACCATAGATAAAACATACTTAGATTTCTCATCCTTATGGAACAGCTGAAGACAATGTTATTGTTAGTTCTGTACGGTTTTCTGCAGATGTCGTGTTTTGTTTACAATTTGTTTCCCGTTATTACAGCCATTTAAAACCTCGTTTAACCAAATAATACGATCTAATCATAAACAATAAATTGTCCCCTAGTTATTTAACCAAACAGTAAAGCACAAATCAAGAAATTAACCCTAAAATAATAAAAACTAAATTTCGTCTAGTGTCGCGTACATGAACTAGACATGAAAAACGAGCTTCAAAATTTACAATGGGATGAGAAGTCTAACTCAATCTTGCCTTGTCCCTGGTCTTCTTTCCTTCTTTCCTTCTTCTTCGCTAGTTAAAAACAACGTGAACGGCAAACGTCGCGTCGACCCACGTCGCGTCGATCTACGTCGACCTTGTCCGTTTATATATAGTAGGTAAACCATGGGTAAACCCTCCAAGGTTTATAATTATTTATTTTTAGATTGAGTGTTTTTACGCCAGTGGCAGATTTGAAGAAAATCATTACTCTGGCTACCCAGTCAATTAATGCACTTCAACTTTCAACGTAAAGAATGTTGTTGAAAATCTATAGTATTATGAGATCATGAGATGACCACATGCGCACCTAAAGTCGACAGTGTTGCTGTTTTGCGGGTTTGGTATGGTTATATATAATAGGCAAACATAACAGCTCCTTAAATTATTATTTAGTACAACATTTTATTTCCTTTTATCCATTGTATTGAAATTAAATATTAATATAAATAATATTTAATGAAAGGTGCCAATTATGTTTGCTGGTTGCATGTTGCATATTATTGTCTATTTATGGCTCTTTGTTAGTGTATATATACATTTATTTATTTATTTATCAGTAATTTATTTATTTATTTATCTATAAGTAATAAAAGTTATTTAAAACCAGTTTAAATCTATTTCAATTCAATTGTTAAAATTTTTTATGTGTATGTATCAAAGTTGTATAAGTTGTAATGTTTTATCTATGGTTGTATGCTGTTTGCTGTAGGGTAGTTGTCATGCTTGTAATTTATGTTATTGTGTATTAGCATAGACTAACTAAGGAAGTATGTTTTATCATAGACTAGCTGTACCCGCGGGCTTTGCCCCGTTTAACTTCACAAGTGAGCTCGTTCGCATGGCTCAATCACGTCCTGGTTGAAGTTCGTTCGCTACGCTCACTCACCTTTAGGTTGGAGCTCGTTCGCTCCGCTCACTTGCCTTCAGATTAGCTCGTTCGCTACGCTAATTTGCTTCCAGGTTGAAGTTCGTTCGCTACGCTCACTCACCTTTTGGTTGCAAATTGGCTGTACGGTAGTCATAAATTTAAAAAATAATAGTGCTGCACCCTGTTGGTAATCCTTGTAACTTTAATGCTATTGAACATCATAGAACAGAACCAACTTAAACAACAATTTAAACAGATGTTAAGAAATTCCTTTTAAATATGAAAAATCATAAGGTTAACATGGGAAACTCGAGAGCCACTGGGGCGGAGCCCGAAAGCCCGATCAGAATAAAAACTACTTAGTTTTCCTATTTAATGCCCAAAGAATCGGTGTACCGAATTTCAGCCTCCTAGGTAAATGGGAAGTGGGAGAATTAGTGATGAGTGAGTGAGTGAGTGAGTCAGTGAGGGCTTTGCCTTTTATATATATAGATAAAACATACTCCCTTAGTGTTGACTCCCCTGTGTTGACTTAGTCTATGGTTTTATCTATGGTATTAGTGCCTTATGTTATTGGCTGTATAAGAACACTTAATAAAGAATTTTGAATTTTTTAAATTTTGAATTTGAATTTGTATGTGCCTGTCTAGTAAAAATTCTTGATTGTTAAATATTCAGCCACGATTTTAAAAGTTGGTGTAAGTTTCATGGATAAAACTTCAAAGACAATAAATATATATATTATTAATACAGTACATCAACCACTGAGCATCAGGTATCGTTTATGTTTAGTCGTCGGGGATCGGGGTAATTCTGTTGTTTCTGTTTGTAGTCAGCTGCCTTGGAGCAATGAATGATCACTATTATGCCAAATGAAATGACAAATCGACAAATGTCATAAATGAATGATCGCTATCTTTGTTGTAATCTAACCTCTTGATAATGGACATATTTTAAAGTTATCTTTGGAGTGTATACTATTTAAAAAACGAATGCCTAATCTTATGAGATAAATCTTCCAGATTATAAGTAAGAACTTGTTTGAATTTCAACACCATTGCTTGCTTAGTTTGGGAGTTAACATATTTAAGTTACTCAATTAATTAATCCCAGTGTTCCCTGTCTCTGTGAATGTGAATGTGAATGTAGGCCTAGTTGTTGTTGTTGGGCAGGAATTAGGAAGTGAAGTATTAGTGAAGTGAAGTTGGAAGTGTGTGTGTGTTATCAGACAGAGACAGAATTCATGTGACAGGAATTGTTGGCTAAAGTGCTTGTGTTTGGGCTGGGACAGTTCAAATTCTTAAGCAGCCTGTAGTTAGGCTAATTAAAGAATAACACCATAATGGGTAAGCCATTATTATTTTGCATTACAATACAATGCTCTTGCATAAGTTACCAAAAGTTGAACCAAATAAATGTTAACTAACCTCATTTTTCAAGCTAATAGGGAAACAGCAGGCAGTGGAGTACTGTCATAGTTGTGGACGTGGGCAGTGTAGCCTACCCACACAACCAAAAAAATAATCCCGCTTTTTTTCTTTCTTAATAGAGGGTCAGGCTTACAAGTGACCATGGGATTGCATCGCAGCTGGAACAGCTTATTGACTTATTTCTCCGTCAAATCCCAGGTCCTTAGTGACCCAGGGCCGTGTGAAGGGTCAGTGGAGCTCTGGGCAAACCCAAGAGCAGCGCCCCCCTTTTTTCCCAGTGCCGTCCTGCTGGGTGCCCCCAAACCACCGGCGCCCAGTCTGTCCGTTTATAAAAGCGGGCATGTAGTGACCCATTTGAACCTTTTCGCTATGGTAACCTGTTCTTCCTTTTGATCTCCCGTCAATAGGCCAAGGGATCTCAATAGCACACCTTGTAGGGCTGGGCATATAAATATCACATGGAAGGCTGTCTCCTCTTCCTCAATATACATTTCCTACATAAGAGGCTTTCAACTTAAATTCCCATCTTGTGTAGATGTCCGCGGAATACCCAGTGGCCGCTTATGAAGCCAACCACCTTCCTATACAGCCCAAGGGCAACTGCCGCTATCACACCTTTAGGTGTCTGCAGCATTCTCTTTGACCGTATGTTGTCATTATCAAGACAAGGAGTTGTCCGTCAGGGTTTGAGTTTACCCGACAACCGACCAGTGGTCAGTGTCAAGGTCATTCTGCAGTTTGAGGCCCTGCATCATGTCCTTCTTGGTCATTGCCCCCGTTGAGATGGGGACAAACGCTGATACCTTCACAGCTCTCACAAGGTCTCTGGCTGGTGTAAGCTGTAGCGAGATTTCCCCAAAGGGACTCAGCTCCTGAACTTGCTTGACCAGCCAATCCTTTGTGGCTGTGTTAGCACAGCCAACCACCAAGGTTCCGCCTTTAAGATGGACAGTTGCTTAATCCTGATGTCTTTGCCACGAATGGCCCACCTGAACAGCTCCCCCTTGATTTTGTTGGCTTCAGCCTCCGTCCGTTTCCTGTCCTAGTGTTCAGATCTGGCGATGGCCATCTTCTCCACAGACAAGTGTCTCCGAATAGGTGGGTGCCGGTGCTCTCTGTGAAACACCCGAGCCCTCTCCCTATTTCGTCCTCGTCTTCTTTTTCTCACCCCAGACATGCTCATGTGTCAGGTGCTCTGGCCCCCTTCTTTCCACCTTTCTTCCTGGAGGCTTCATTTTAGTCAGCTTTGAGGGTGCTACCCTCGCTCTGCTTTTTCCCCAGCATCCTGGTTCCCAGAGGAACTGGCTTTGAAGGGAGCAGGGTTCGGGTGCTTGGCAACCACGCCAGCCTCAACTCTCACTTCTGGATAGCACCTATTAGCCTTTGGCTAAAGCATCCGTTATCCTCCGTCTTCGCAACTTGCCCCTGGAAAGTAGAGCTTGTCGTCATCTTCAGATTTCAGTATAGACCTTCCTCCTTCATTGGGGTCAGATCGTCTACGTTGTTCCCACGAATGCCGGGTATCTAAAGTTCACCTCCCCAGTGACCCGATTAGAGAGGTAAGGGGTACATATGACTAGGTTCCCAGAAGGCCCTGTTAAGACACTGAACATTACGTAGGTAGGCGCCCAGTGCCACGAGACTCTCAGCACGGATTGCATTACACCTTAGTCTAGAGCCCCCTCACTTGGTTCTGTAGGTGTGGCCAAATTGCCCTGAAAAGTCGTTTTTTTACAAGTTAACTCCTGGAACAGCGTGAATGATTTCCCACTCCCTAAACCCCCATACCTTCCATCTCGCTTGCTGGGTCAAGAAATCCCGTTTAATCCCACTTTTGAAAAATGGAAAATCCCATTCTATCCCGCATGATTTTTTTTGTGCAATCCTGACTCCCAGTAGCGTAACAGGAGGCGCAGGGCCCGCAATGTGAGGGGGCCCGGAAGCTGAGTAGGGTCTGGAGTTCAAATTGGTGTTCATTCTTATTGAAATGGATTATCAATCATACAATAATTGTATTGAACAAATACCTAATAACATTAATTTTACCAACAATATGCTGTTATAGTTTAATTTTGTTAGGTAGGCCTATTATTGAGGGACAACGCACTAAGGTAAAAGATTTAATGTTTTGGTGTGGGACATTGATTATTATGCAATTTTGCTTTCGTACACTGCTTATGTCTGCAAACATTTTGTAACATTAGGTTGCCTGGAACCTGAAGTCATGGAAATGTTGACTGAGGAGGCTTTTAAATTGTATTATTTTACAATTTAGGTTTGCCCTAATATTAGTTGTATTTAGTTAAATACAATAAATTGCTACTCTGCTGACTTTGTTCGTTAGACTATATCATATTTTACCTCACAATTAATCAATATTAAAAACATGTTTGTAAGGTTAACCCTTAAAATCCATACAAAGATAAAATTTAAAAAATGCAATAAGTCAGGCTGATTTTGTTTTATGGATGGTTGTCTAAAAATAACCCATGAAAGGGGGCCAAAAATAAGTTTGCAGGGGTGCCCGAAAAAATCTGTTACGCCACTGCCGACTCCCGAGTGTTAAATTTGACGTGTCACCATGACGTATCATGTTTAAATAGTTGTTTAAACATCGCTATTATCTTTTGCTAGGTACAGTAGTTTAATCAAAATTGGAGTTTGTTTTTCCTGCTGAAAATCCTGTTTTATCCCGTATCCCTTTTTAATCCCGCCCGTGGTCTAAAAATCCCGATTTCAGGATAATAATCCAGAGAATGGAAACACTGGGCCTGGGGCGGCTTAGATGAGGAGGCCTTTTTACATACATTCATATTTAAACGTGAAATAATTGTACCATATAGTACCTACCCTGTTTAAAATCATGTTGTTAAACAGGGTAACATGGTATTTTTTTAAAAAGGTAACCCTAAATAGTGAACAGAACTAAAAAAAATATATACCGCTTTTAATGTATTTTGTATCACTGGTTAAATGAGCTTAGGTCTATTGGTTCATGTAGGTTACTTCAACTATTTTGAATGTTAAGTTATCATTTTTTTTTATTTGAGAAAAATATAATGATGCAAAATTAAATTTTCCTTCAAGCTTTTAACATTTTACGTTTTTATGAGTTGAAGATTTGTAATGAGCACTATAATTGGTCCTATAACGGGTTATCTTCCAAGATCACAGAGCAATCGTAAACATTTGAACATCTTTCACAGTCGCTGGGATATATTCTACATCTCCTGCCATTAAGACGAAATTGTTAACATCTCCCGATCATCTCGTAATTGTGGCAAAATCGTGAACACAAAACTGAATAAAAAATTAACAATATCAGCCTTCATGACAAATTCGTATTTGAGTCCCCCTGCAGTCGTGGTGAAGGTAAAATTGTGGGCATCTTCTTAAAGGAATCGTGAAAGTATTTTACGTTCACGGTTAAAGAACACCGTCTATTACGATCGTGACAAACTCCTGAACAACTTCTGCATTTGCCTCTTCGTCCCCCGATATCGCGGCAAAATCATGAACGCCTCTGTGGTCTCTGAGCAATCGAGAATATGCCCTGATATGGGGGCCTATGTTGGTGTGGGGTCTTGGGTGGACCGTCCCCCCGTCGGTATGCCACTGATAGCAGGTAGACCTAACTTAAAACTTAAGTGAAAAATATCCTTTTACATATGGCTCAAATTCTTCAAAAATTCTACGGCTGCAGTTCCGTATAGAGCTAGGATGCTCCGGTGCTCCGTATTTAGTTCCATAGAGTTCCGTATTTAGCTCAGGTGCTAGGATAAATTAATTGTAGGCTATGTTATTTGACTTGTAATTAATTTGCAGGTTTATTAAGAGAATATTTAATTATGTTTTAGATGGCTGTACAACATCTTCTGAAAGAAGTCTGTAAACGTTACAAACACATAAACTGTCAACAACGTCTATTTAAGAATTCATCTCAACATTTCACAACACAGATCAGAACTATGTCTGCTCAAAAGTTTACCCTTCCTGAAAGGTTCATCGGCTCTGAAAGTAGTGTCTGGTGAGTTTAACAGTTAACAGTGAGTTTATTAAATAGACTATAGCCTTGTAAAGAACTATTAATTTTGTACTGCCTTATTGTATTTAGTTTTGTTGAGACAAAGTACAGGCAATTATTGTTACGTCCAGTCTTGCTTGGCAATATTTATCTATTATATTATTAAAGTGATACAATCAAATTTTATGTAAATGGCTAGGGCCATTAACCAAATAAAATTATAGGCCAAAGTTTCTGTGCGCGCGACAAGATGTGGTTGGGTTCTAGGCGAGGGGGTCGGTGGGGGTACTTTAGTTAAAACATTTTTGTCAGCACTGCCAATAACCGGTACCTGTATGTTTTAATTCGGATAGTAGCCACCTGTCCGCGCGCACAGAATTTTTGGCCGAACTGTACCCACGTCGGCCACCTCAGGACATAAGGTATGAAGGTCCCACTGTTTTTAACATTCCTTCTGATGAGAATTTCTTGAACTTGGGCCCTTTATATGAAATATAAAGTAAAAATTAATTAAATTGTGGCTTCTGAATTGTACACCCGTGAATTTGCGAGTAGAACCTCTTGTAAGGAGTTATAAAAGTGATATTTGGGTGAGGATGGTGGACTCAGTTGCATTTTGGGGATGAGAGTAAAAAAGAGAGACAGAAAATGCATTTCTTTCAACTTGCATCAACTGCATTAATTGAAAGGGAATCGCCCAGGGTAATTTTTTAGGAACTAATGAAAGGATGTTCTAGGGTGGAGTATATCAAGCTAGCTTTGGAAGAAAAGCCACTCAATCTAGGACAAGGGTTTCCTGACTTTGCCTGTCCGGACTACGTGACCAAGGCCTTGGCAGATGTTGCTAGTGGGGAGAATTTACTTCTTCACCAATACACTCGCGGCTTTGTGAGTATGATCCCTTACAGCCAATCATCTCACTGTGTTCAACACTCACCTGGCATTCAATAATTCATATTCAACTTAAGTTTTTAACTTGTAACAGTAAAAATGAACTCATTTGCACAATTAGTAAACATGACCTCAATAGATAGTTTATGAGGCTGAATTGCATCACAGTTAGTAATTTAATCTAGGTTAATGTTCTTAAACAGTTATTTATGTTCTTATCAGTTTCAATCCTATCCCACTATTTTATGTTATGAAGTCAATACTTTAATACTTTAATACTTTCTTATGAAATTGCGACCATACAATGTAGGTATTTTAAGCCAAGTATGAATGGAGATGAGTGTAGGATGAGTGGCGCGATCTTGTAGTCTTGTTAGTGACTAAGGCCGACATTCCTTAGACACAGCTGTTAATTAATAGCCCAAACAGCTAATGGCAACTAAGGGACCTACAGTTTATAGTGGAATCCGAACCAACCTAGTCATGTAGTTGCATTGAAAACGACATCTTGTTAACAAGAAATATTTAATAACACAATTATTAATGATGCATAATGCATATGCTTAAAGACTAGACCTGAATTCATTACATATGATTTTCCAAATCTAAACTCTGCCTCTATTTTCTAATATGATAGTTAGTTGTGAGACACTCATTGTTGTGGCTTGCCCCTGAACTGGTAAGACAAATATAAAATAATAGTGGTTTATTTAGGCCTACCTTTACTTTTGTCCCAGTTCAATAAAAGTTGTAATATCTACAACCATGGTTTTGACGCTAGTTGCGTCATGGTTAACGTAGTTAGCAAGTCGAGAAGTATCTTGTCATAGTCAGTCGCTTGGACGTCATCATATTTACACAAACACGGACACGTACCTAAACACACACACTCCTGCCGGCTCCCGCGACGGTACAATTTGACTGTTCATCACAGGCCTGTATTCCGTCCACGAGAACCTTTTATTTTAATCTGAATGCACGTGTGTGTTTATGTACGTGTCCGTGTTTGTGTAAATATGATAACGTCCAAGCAACTGACTTTGACAAGATACTTCTCGACTTGCTAACTATGTTAACCATGACACAACTAGCGTCGAAACCATGGTTGTAGAATTTACAACTTTTATTGAACTGGGACGAAAGGAAAGGTAAATAAACCACTATTATTTTATAGTTGTGAGATGTTTAACATTTTTACCATAGGTTTAAATTTAATTATTTGACTGTTCTGATTATCTTTTTGCCGACGGTTTAGTTTGGATAATCGCAACATTACTCTACAGTATGTCAAATATGTACTCAATAGTACATAGGCCTACAATGCAAAACATACAATAAACATGTGTCGACAGGGTCACCCGCGTCTAGTGGCTGCGCTGTCCAAGTTGTACTCGCAGCTGGTTGGTCGAGACCTCAACCCTCAGACGGAGATCATAGTGACTGCTGGAGCTTATGAAGCTTTGTTCAGCTGTATACAGGGCCATACTTCACCTGGGGACGAGGTGATCATCATCGAGCCGTTCTTCGACTGTTACGAGCCGATGGTCCGCACAGTCGGGGGTGTGCCTGTCTTCATCCCTCTGCGGCCGGTGAGTCAGTCACAACAGCTTTTAGTTGTCATAGCTAATTATGTATTGAAAATCTTGAAAAATGCTTGAAATTAACCATAAAAGACTTCCATAATGAAATAGCCAATCAAGTAATTTTCATATTCTAAACTAAATTTTTGTAAGAAATGAAAAATGAGTGAAGAGAACTAAGTTATATCTAGTTATTAATTAAACATTTCCAACCCAAAAGGAGTAATTTTATTCTTGAAAATGAAAATATATTGATACCAAACTTAAAAATAGGACTGTTAAAAGAATTTTCATCACTGTTTTACTTACCTTTTGAATTTTTTATAAGAAATAACTTATATGCAAATCACAAGATGTAAAGTTAACTAACTTTACTAGGGTGAAATTAAATCATAAAATATAACAAGTTGTGATGTACTTTACTTGATTCAGGGATTTAAAAAAATTACAATATGATTTAGATCACTGTACAGGACAAAAATGTAAATTAATTCAATTGTATGCCAATAGTGAACATACAATGTATAAACGAGCAACTCTAACTGGCCTTACTGGAATAAATATGACAATACCTTGGTTCATTTAGGAACAAAAAACAATATTAGCTAATAATTTTAAAATGTTTCCAGTTTCTTAGCCACTATTTTCTCTTTACGCTTCTTTTCTTAACTTTCAGAGGAAACCCACACTAGGAAAGCCGATGATGTCGAGCGACTGGGTGTTGGATCCAGAAGAATTGGCTTCAAAGTTCAACTCTAAAACCAAGTCCATCATTGTGAACACACCTCACAACCCTGTCGGCAAAGTGTTCAGTCTGGAGGAGTTGACTTTGATTGCAGATTTGTGCAAGAAGTGGGACGTGCTGTGCATTTCTGACGAAGTTTACGAACATATGGTCTACAAGCCGTTCAAACATATTCGTATAGGTAAGCTTGTTTTGAATCTCCGTTTTTAATGCTAGTCAGGATTGGTTGTTATGACGTGTAGGCCTACAATACTTTTATTAAAAGTTTGTATATGAAATTGTTGTAGCCTACATGAAATTAAATGTTTTGAAGACCGTACAGAACATAAAGTTCAACACTAAATGTGTACAAAACAACATAATTCCTTCAAACTTCAAGACACACCTTTATGGGGGAGTTCAAGAATTTGTTTTAGGACTGATAGTGGCAAATTAATTCACTGAAATGCATCTCCTGTTAGGGATACATCAGAATCGATAGGCGGACACAAGTAATTTCACTTTTTTCAAATAGGCTACTTTCATATAATTTCTTAAGAGGTATCAAGCGCTGTGAGGGGTGAATTAACACCCCTCACAGAGGGGTTTCGTTGAGGGGTGAGCTGATATACAAGAATGACTTTTACTAATCAATTTGGAGTGAAGGCACCAGGATTTGCATCCAAGACAGAAATCATTTGGTTTCATAGTTCATCTTGTAAGTTTGGTATTTTATATTTAATTTGGGTTTCTTTCTACGTTATTAGAAATGTTATTTGGAATTGTCTAAACCCTGGTCTTGTTATTATCTACTGTGAACCTTGTTCAATAGCACTATTTATTTATTTATTTATTTATTTAAAATTGATCAACATCCCAATGAAAAATTGCACTTGGACCTAATACCTTGACACTATTTTTTGTATGTTTTGTACATGCTATAAAAAAAGATAATTTGAATTTGAATAACACCTTAACACCTTTTGTGTATACTGTGCACAATGGTGTTAGGGAAACTATAAAGTTAAACATATTGATTTACTTTTTTCAGCAACCCTACCTGGGATGTGGGAACGCACTGTAACCATCGGTTCCGCTGGGAAGACTTTCAGTGTAACTGGATGGAAAACCGGTTGGGCTTACGGTTACGAACCCCTCATGCGTAACCTTATGATCGTACATCAGAACTGCGTGTATACATGCACTACCCCACTTCAGGTAAAGCTCTTGCTTTTACTAAATAAGGTGTCTTAAGTTTTAGTTATAAAGCCTGTTAAGGGATGGGTGTTTTATTCCACAAAAAAAGTGTCCTGTAACTTTTTTGAATTTCGCGGATTTAAATTTTTGGGCATAGAAAAGATTTAAAGTCAAGAAGTAGACTTAAAATAGGGAAACAATTTTTGTTTAAATTATTCATTGCAAAAGATGCCAACACTCCATCATTTTATAAAACAAATTTAAAAATACATAGTGGAAATTGTAAGTGTACTGTAAATCTTTTCCTTTGTAATAATTTTGGAAAAAGGACTGTAGGTATATTATGTCTACAACAAATTTTTGTTGAATTATCGTTAAGATTTTTTATAGAATTCTGTAGGCTATGGATAATTTTTGATTTTGGTACACTTGCTTGATTAAGTTAAAACGTATCGATAAGCAGAATTGTGTTGAAAAAAACACTAGCTCAGTTAAAATTTTAAAATTTGTTTACCAACCAAGATGAATGTTGCAGGAAGCCATTGCACGAGGTTTTGAGGTAGAACTAGAACGCCTTGGAACGCCCGAGTGCTACTTTGAGAGTTTAGCGAGGGAATTGGAGTCCAAGAGAGACTACATGGCTAAGTTCCTGACTGACGTAGGAATGGTTCCAACCATACCAGAGGGAGGCTACTTCATGCTGGCAGACTGGACCGCCTTAGGTATATTAAGGGCGATGAGCTCAGTAATTCTGCAATTCACCGTGCATGCCATCACTGTCGCTTTTAGCTCGGTGCAGACCCGGCTTTGGATGCGGGGCCAAGTGCAAACAGTCAGAGCAGGGCCCCTTATTCCAAAAAAGTAGTACTGGAATAAAAATGATGATCAAATCATCAGTATTTTTACTTCCCCCTTTTTATTTTGTCATAACTGACATAATTAATTTAAAATTCACAGATTTTTTACTTTTTTTGTATTTTTTTACCAAGCACTGAGCTTTATGAGGTGCGGGGCCTTCGCTTGTGCCTAAGGCCAGCTCTGTTGGCGATTAGTGCAACATTGTACAGGTGAAAGACGATTTCAAAGAGACAAGTTTATTAAAAGATTTTTGAAGTTTTGGGATGCAAATCTTCTTTTTTTGAAACATTAGGTCGCTTTGAACTTAAAGATGAATTATCATCTTAGGCATAATTTATAAGACATTATTGGAAATTTTCACTTTTTTTCTGCTTGTGGTTCAGACTATAGGTTTGAAGCCCTGTAAGTCTCACATAATTTGTCAGAAATGTTTATTAACCTTTCGTTTGAATTTCAAAAAAAACTTGACCTTTAAAATGCCTTATCATATTGCATTGTCGCCCTTAGAAGGATAATAGAAACGTTGCGGGGTTGTAAAAGTAAGATCAGACAAATAACTGACCTCGAGGAAGACATGAGAGGGATTCAAATCACAATAAAAACTCAGAAATCAAACAAACTCACTATTATTTAAAAGAGAACAACTTTATGTTTGAAATTGTATTAGTTTTCTTTAATTAAATAAGTCTTAAAAGTTACCTCTTTTCAGGCAAAAAAGTTGACCTCAGCAGCGAATCTGATAAATGGAAAGACTACAAGTTTACAAAGTGGATGTCGAAAAATGTGAAGCTTCAAGGAATACCTCCTTCTGCGTTCTACAGTGAACCACACAAACCCTTGGGCGAGAATTTTGTGCGGTATTGCTTTATAAAGGTACAATTACAATTTTATTCATTGAATATATCAAACACACTCTTCAACATAGGTACTTTAAGCAATGGTGAGTGTTGCAAAATGTGTACTTTTACTCATATTTTAATGAATGAAAAGTCATATACCTCAGTCTGGTAAGTGATTCCTTTTTACCCTTTGCATTACACACTTTGATGGCATAATTTTTTGGTCAGTATAAAAACTCATTTCTTTACTTATTAAAACTGTTGTACCATACAATTAGTGCAATACAATCTTCAAACAGTTTAACCATTTAGCCTTCTACTACTGAAAACTGGGAACATGAGTATCAAGTTATGTCCTATCTAAATATTACCCTTGACTGTCAATAGGCCTACAACTTGACATCCCATCCCCATGTTTAAGTTGTTGCTAGTTTTGTAATAAAAATTTTCCTTGTTGTAAGCCACCGACAGATTGCGCTCATGTAACGTCAACTTTGGTCGAATGGGGTAGCTGTATCAGAATGGTTAGTGTTCCCTGATAATCAGAAGGTATAAGACAGTATATTTTTGATAGTTAGAGACTGGACCCAGTTGTCCTTGGTTGTTAGGCTTTTACTGGTTGGTCCTGGCTAAAGAAAAGCTGATATTAGTCAGTAACAAAGGCACCTCACTCCATTTTACACTTGTATTCAGGTAAACATAAAAATGTTTCAATGTTTTGCATGTATGCCAATCTAAACCAGTGATAACATTACTGATTCGGTAAAACAATATTTACATCATGAACATATTTTTAAGTTTTTCAACTTTTACCAAGTACAAAAACTGTTGTCTTATGCAAATTTACATTTTTAACGTCTTATTTAGTTGATATGGGGAGCGAGCTGGTCTAGTGGTTAGAGCAAGGGACTTCGGTCCCTGAGGTCCTGGGTTCAAATCCCGCCAAATCAACAATGGATTTTATCTAAGTGATAATGCCGCAACCCCTAGGTCTTGCCTGAAGTAATGTGAAAAACAATCCCGGGCTCGTGCCTAGCGTCTTAAGACCCAAAAAAAAAGTTGTTGATATAGTCGGATATACAAGTGTATTATAGTAAATCAGCTGTTGTTTTCTGAAGTAACGTAACATTGTAAAATCCTAATAGTTTTTTTTTTTTTTTTTTTTTTTCAACGCCAGTGGCATTTTACGAGAGTTACGAGAGATAAATGTTCAGTGGATGTGCCGGGGATTAAACCCGTCCCTCCCGCACCGAAGTCCGAGACGCTAACCACTAGGCTAGCAACACAACAATTATAGCAATTATAGTTTAGTTGTTTTATTAAACTATAATGTTAATTTTCAGAATGACGATACATTGCAGAAAGCAGCTCAAATTCTAGGCACCTGGAAAGAAAACGCATCCAAGTTATAATATTTAGGTAAGATATTTGAAGGTGAAAGGTATTCGTAAAATATTTATTCTTCGCGTCAGCAAAACAAGAGACAACACAGTTTATGAAAACTAATTATAAATAGGCTACTTTTTTTGACAATTTTTGTAAGTCGATTCAGGTAGGTAAATCAAGTTTATATTGTAGAACTAAATTTAAAAAAAAATTTATGGTCAATTAGTTGTTTTATTCATTTATTAAAGTCTTGAACAAACATAATCTTTGAAATGTAATAAGGTAGGCCTATTGCTTTATTGTAAAAATGCCTCAGAAAAAAATTTTTATATACAGGGTATCCATAAAAAACGTTTCAGGACTTTAGGAAATGAATCCTCATACTAAAAGGAAGAAAAAAGTTTACTTGAAGGTATGTCCGAAAATGCATATTTACCCAGTTATCCGCCAATTTGTTTTTTATACAAAAATATTTTTTTCTGTGAAGTTTTTCATTCGATGATTATGAAATTTAGTAACCATGTTAACATACACAAGAACTATTATAGAAAAAATAATAAAGTTGTTCCAATTGTAAATTTCAAAATGGTGGCCGTTTGAATGTTTATAACTTAAACAACTCAAAAACGGCTAATTCTATGAAAAAATGTCAAGAATAGTTTTTTTTTGCATTTTTATATAACTGAAATATAACGTTTTTTGTTTTAAAATAGACTAACTTTGCCTTATTTTTACATAAAAAACGTTATATTTCAGTTATCTTTTGTCCGATCATTTTGATCTTGGTATCGTATGATAGGAAATTGAAAATCCTAAAAAAAGATACTCGACATATTTCATTGAATTAGCCGTTTTTGAGTTATTTAAGTTATACAAATTTAAACAACCGCCATTTTAAAATTTACAATCGGAACAACTTTATTATTTTTTCCACAATAGGTCTTTGGTATATTAACATGGTTACTAAATTTCATAATCATCAAATGAAAAACTTCACAGATACAAATATTTTTGTATAAAAAACAAAATTGCAGATAACTGGGTAAATATGCATTTTCGGACATACCTTCACATAAACTTTTTTCTTCCTTTTAGTATGAGGATTCATTTCCCAAAGTCCTGAAACGTTTTTTATGGACACCCTGTATAATCCGTTTTGGGTTCCCCTTAAACCAAAAAGTGGGATTTTAATGATATCTGTGTGTGTTGATGTGTCAGACTACAGACTACACTTGTGGTTCGATTTTGACGAAATTTGGTACCTATGTTGGTAATCCATGTTATCTCCAGGGGTTTTTTTCATTTATTGAAATTTTGATTTTGAATGGCCACAGAAAATAAAATTTTCACAAAAACAGTTCAAACTATTTTTATTAAAATTTGGTATGTTATAGTCCATTTAACAAAATGGTACAATCCCCAATGTTCTAAAAATTATGGTTCAAAGTTATTGCAATTATGTGATTTTACCTATTAAATATCATATTTACTCCTACTGCTAACCCATTATAAGGGTTTTTGACAAGCTAATGGGAGAAAGCATCGTGTCAATGTGATGTTGATACAGATTATTTTGTTACAGGTGTGAAAGTCTCGAGTTAACAAGTAAATGCCTATTCCATAATCTTAGGCACAGAAAATTGTCAGTCTTCTTCAAACAAAATATTAAACAGCAAATAAAAGTGATCAACAAGTTTGAAAAAGAACAAGTGATAATTTAAGAAATTTATTTTGTTTGTTTTGCTTTAATTTTTATTTTAACTTCTGTGTAATGATTTTATCTTCACTTGTTCCTTCATCAGACTACTTTAAGTGATATTTGTACAATTGTGATATTGTTTTGTTGCATATATTTTAGTACTCAATTATTTTACGGTGGTTATTTTGAAAGCTTATGAGAATATATTTTGGAATAAATGAGATTTAGATAAAAATATTTTGTCTTATTATAACTGTTAGTCTTTACCCAAGTACAATCTAAATTGTTAAGTAGTTTCACAGTGGTTATGGCAAGTTTGTCAACAAACTATTTCAAATTTAGTATACAATAAAACTCCAAATTTCCAAATTATTAGGGACCGTACCACATTTGGATGGTAAACAATTTGGAAAATAACAAAAATTTGGTGTATTTAATTGAAAATTGGCCGAGTTGAGCCAAGTAATAGTTATCACGATCGCAGATTTACTGATAGACATCGGGAGAAGAAAATGAATGCCTACAAGACCAAGCAAGATATTCAAGATTTTGCCGCAGTTGGGGACAAATATGATGTTGTTTCTGTGACCGAGAGAAAAGATGATGATGTCTACAAGACGGCGGAAGGTGTAAAATATTTTTCCACGATTGCAGATAACAAGGACAAATTTCCATGACCGCGGGAGGCGATGATGATGATGTCTACACAACCATGAGATGTATTCAGTATTTTGCCCCGATCACGGCAAAACGGCACACGGAAGATTTCTCAGGTGCCGTTTGACGTCACTAACTGCTTACGTCACTTTGAGGGAACACCATTACCGCAACGATACGGTTTTGAGCCATCGGCCTCGGTGGTGTAGTGGATAGCGTGTTGGGCTGATAATCCGAATGTACCGGGTTCGAATTCCGCTGGTAGCATTAACTTTTTGCCAACACTTTTTTTCATATCAGCAAGTTTGGTTGGTTTGGTTAGGTTATGACAGTTTAATTTTATAATTAAAAAACTATAAAATTGAATTTTAGGCATTTATAATTTTATTTTATGAACAAAACTATTTTTTAGATTGGTTTTTTTTTTGCTTCATTCGATTTTTCCATTATCAGCACGTTTGGTTGGTTTGGTTAGGTTATGACAGTTTAATTTAATAATAGAAAAATTATAAAATTGTCTGTTTCCTCAGACGCAGCAGTTAGTGACGTCAAACGGCACCTGAGAAATCTTCCGTGTGCCCCACCGCGATCACGGAAGATAAAATAATGTTTCCGTGACCACATGAGACGATGATGATGACTACTTGACCGTGTGATATATATTTAACATTTTACCACGATCCCCAAAAACGATGACAATGTTTCTATGACCGCGAAGAAGACGAAGATGAAATCTACATGACTGCTAGAGAGGTTTTGGATTTTGCTTCGATCTTCTGCCTTCTAAAATAACCATTCTTATTACTCTGGTTTTAAGTTTTTTCAATTCTTTCTGTGAGTGATTGAACAAATCGGTGATTCAGATAGTTGGAGTTAGGATAATTGGAGTTCTACTGTATGTGAAAAACACACCAATTAAGCGTATGGTATCATTTACAAAACATATGCAAGCTATAATATCTGGCTGGGCCTGTGTAGACTGTATCAATCTTTTAGTAATCAACATAAAATACCCTCGCGGCAGCAAACCTGCCGACTAACCGAATTTCCATTTGTTTGAATTGATTTTCAATTAAATCTGTTTAAATAACATTAGGTTTAACGAGTACCTAGGTTTGCTGCTACAAGGAAACTAATAAAGTGTGTTTTTTGGTAAAATATTAATAGCTTAGTATAAAATAAATAAATTTGCCAAGTTTGATCAAACAAAATATACACAAACAACTCTACCATAAATAATATATATATAAACAAGCAAACTACAACATTTTACAATTTTCTCCATAAGAATAACTTGGGAATTTTTAATTTACAACTTTTTGAATTTTCTCCGTTACCAATAACGTACAAAAAAACTTTAATGTACTAAATTATTTGTTTTTTAAGCTCTTTTAGAAGGTCTTGAGAGAAATTGGGAAATTTTGTGTTTTGAGGGTAAAAAAAGAGAAAACCCAATTTTTACCCCATAAAACCCTGTTCCCATGGTCCGATCATGCTGGTTTGCAAACTCATTCATATGTATAAAAATTTGAATGAATGGTGTTTTTGGCCTTTGGGGACATCAAAATGAAAAAGTAAATCGGTCCCGGCCCTAGGTCTTACCATGCCGCCAACGGTAATAGCTACTTCCCTATAGGGAAATTTGCTAAAACAAAAAGGATTTTCATAAAATTCACCCTGTTCCTAGATATCTATTTCACTTAAATGCTACATTTGATTTGTGAAGTACGTGGTAAAAATGTGAATTTTTAGATGAAGTACGTTTTGTATAGAAAGCTTTTTCCTGTATCTCTAATAATAAAGCAACTATAGCCAAAAATAATGAGATATTCCACCATTTTCCAATATGGCGGCCGTAGCACAGCTTTAATTTTAGAGGACTTTTAGTATGTTCAAAAGGAAGGTACACCCTACCCTGTATCTGTACCAAATTCCTTGCTTGCGCTAACTTTTTAAGTTTGTGGAATTTTTTGCTTTTTTTCAAAAATTTTATAGTAGCATAGGTTTGTAAAATTATATAATATAATAATACGAGATCAAAGATACTCAAATTATAAACAACAAATAGGTTACATATTTTTGGACAGTTTAACAAACATGTTTGGTTTCTGTGCCATTTTATATTAGGCCTACCCGTTATTTTTAATACCCAACCAATTAAAATGTGATCTATAAAGTGTTATCCTAAATAGAAAATAGCAAGTAGGTACGCTTCTAAGTAACTGAATTGAAATGTTATAATGCCAATTAATAACATTATAAAACCAAGTAATTAATTGTTTCCCAATTATTTTGTGTAAAGAAAATATTTCTGTCCAGTCCACAAATCAAATCAAAATAAAATTTATTTCCAACAAGGTGTACAGTGTTAAACATAACTGAAACAAAACAGCTTACTTACTAAAGCACATAAATAAAAATAATATGAATGGAAACTTAAAAAGAAAGAAAAATAGTTATGCTTACGATAAATAAATCATATAAGATTCCGACCCCTTTAATAGTCCTTTACAACACAGTGTTTAATATTGAGGCTAAGTTAAAACTTTGTTGGATTTTAGTTGAGATTTCCAATTTTATTGTAGTTTTTGCTTGTACCAACATGCTTAAATTCTCTTTCCTATAATTACAGTTTTTTAATTTCATTATGTGGAAAAAAAACACTGTCTTTTACAGATTTATTTCAGTAGAGTATTATTTTTCTTTAACTTGTTTCTGGTCTTAGGTTTTCAGAAGTAAGTTTTTCTGTGGGAGATTCAATCTCACCTTTATTTGCAGGTCCGACCTCTGCAGCTGTTGAGGATTGAGTTTGCACAACATTTTTTGCGTTGTTTGTTGGTGTTGCCTCAGTCGACGGCTCAACTTGTTTCGTATTTGCAGAGTCAACAGCTGAAGTTTGCCCTTTCTCTGCAGAGGTTGTGGATGCAGAAATAGACTTAGGTGCTGCGGGAGATTCCACCTCACCTTTATTTGCAGGTTCCCCTGCATCTGCTGAGGATTGGGTTTGCACAATGTCTGTGGTTGGAGTTACGTTTTGAGTTGGCGACGACTCCTCGTTGGAGGGCCTAGCTTCTTTTGTATTTGTGGACTCAGTGTCTGCAAAAGTTTGCCTTTTTTCTTCAACATTTGCAGGTTTACTTACTTGACGTGTTTTGTAAACCATTGCTCCTCTTACTGAAACTCTTACACTTGTTCTTACAAGTCCTAGCCTTTGAGGTTGATTATTCATTTGGTTACCGGTACTTGTTTCTCCATTTACTCGAGGATTCCTTACAATAACAACTCCTTTAATGGCTCCAGTATTCTGAAAATAAAAAGATGTAAGCATAGGTTGATATGCACGTCATTTTAAAGATGTGGTCAAGTGGAGTTCATTGCCGGAAACCGCGTCAAAAAGGTTAATCCGTTACAAAATGGCAGCAGTCCAAAGTTCTTGCGGAATATACCTGCAGAGGCCTTAGAATTGGTAAATACTCATATTCAACATTAGCCGGGAAATGTGAAACCCGTTTAAATATGTTTTGAAGATTGAATAATATTAGTCTATGAGCTGGTTGACTTTAAAATACGGTTTCAGCTCTCAAGCTAATGTTTAAAACGAGTATTTACCAATAGTAAGGCCTGTGCAGGTATATTCAACAAGAACTTTGGACAGCCGCCATTTTGTAACGGATGAACCTTTTTTGACGCGGTTTCCGGCAATGAACTCCACTTGACCAGACCTTTAAAATGATGTGCATATCAACCTATGCTTACATTAAAGATTATGTAACTACTCCTCATGGGTCGTCCCCTGGTAGAGGGAAAAAAATTATAATTCTTGGAAAAAGTAGTTTTTATACATGTAAGTTGATGTGAAAGGTTTGAATTTTCTAACGGATTTAGTTAAAAAGATATTAAACCGTTTCCAGACATTTTTGTCACCCTGTATATATAAATAGGATATAGCTGTCTCTTCAGACAGACTGGCAGGTGCTTGAGCAGTAACCAGATGTTTTCGCGGTACCAAGGCGCCAATTTACTGCTCTTTCCATGACTGCACTCTCCCCCGCACTCCCCCCTCTCTCCTGTGCCAACCCCTCTCCTACGCTCCCCCCTCAGCGTTTCGCGCTCAACATTACGTTGTCTTTATTTATTGTTTACATATTGTTCTTTATTTATTGCCTAACGTTGTCATGGTCATATCTTCAAAGACGGGTGGCGGATATATCCGCTGCATTTCTACTCATCCGCGGACGGGTAGCGGATTTCTCAGCATAGTTAAAAACGAGTAAAAAATTATTTTGACAGTATGAAGTGTTCCATTGTGTTTATTTTATGTATACTTGTATAACAAAACACAAATAAGGAAAATTAATGTTTATTTTTTCCTTAATTTTTCCCCGTCCTATGTCACAATTTTGCCCGTCCGGGAAGGGTTAAAATATGTATGAACTTATTTCTAATCGTAGTTTACGCAATGATTGCGTAAAGTTAGTATTAACGACACAAGTAGAAAATTTAAGGTACGAGCATTGGCGAGTGACTTAAAAACTTCTACGAGTGTCGTTAACATTATTTACACAAGTTGCATACATAACTTTACCTACGACAGTGTTTTAGTTACAATTAAAAATCAATAATAAACTTCTAACAGAGGTTGTGTTTTCTTTTATAACCTCTCATTGCCACTGACATTGATGCAACGAAACATTGTACCAAACACTAATTGCAACACTCAACAAATAAATTGGCCTGAACAGCTGATTAGTTGAAGTTCGAATCATTACAATTTTACTTTTTTCTCTCAATCCTTGAACCTCATTGGTCTGTTACCCCTGTTGTTATGAGTAAAACTATATGCTTATTATGTACTGTAAGTAAACAATGCTGTTATGTGAAACAGCAAACAATTCTAAGAACTGAACTGAAATGGCTACTTTAAAACGGTCATAGGTAAAACACTTTTCATGGAGGTCTTGTACCTTTTATGGTAGTTCATTACAAAATTTACTTGAGTTTATGTACAGAGTCTTTAGTCTGTTTTATGCAGCCTTCTAACATGAAATTGCGATCGAGACTCGTATGTGTGGACCGCTCCCCGCACACTAACAAGGTCCAAATTTCTTTTTCCCTTTATATAAATTAAACAGAGGTGGATATAAAATACCCCCGCCGCAGCAAACCTGCAGACTAAGCAAATTTGAATTTGCCTAATTGGATTTTCACTATCATATCTCCTTAAAAAAAGTCATATTTATTCCCTTTAATTAGCATTAGTTTAACAAGTAGGTTTGCTGCTACTGGGAAAGTGTTTGTTTTTTATATTTAAATGTTAATAGTATAGTATGAAATAAATACATTTTCCAAATTTTATCAAAATATGTTTATAAACAAGTAAACTACAACAGCTTTTTCTCCATAAGAATAACGTAGGAATTTTCAATGTTTTTTGGAATTTTCTCCAATAAGTGCATGTCAACACTTAATACTAAATTATTTGTTTTTTAAGCTCTACAAGTGGTTTTGAAAATGTTTTGTTTTTAGGGTTGAAAATGGGAAATTCCCTTTACCCCATAAACCCTCGTTCTCATAGTCCGCAAACTTGTTGGAAAATGTAGGTATATAGGTTTATACCAAATTTTTGCGGATCATTTTTTCTCGTGTTCTCATGCTAACTGACGCATATACAGGGTGGTAATAAAGTCCGAAGGCAGTTAAATATTTAAAAAAATAGTGTAGTTAGAGCTACAATACTTGGTGCAAAGTTACATAGCATAAAACTTTATTTTAACACATATTCAGTGATCCAATAACTCTTCAGGGGGACGGCCCACAGGGCGTTGGAAAAAATCTTAAGTGGAAGCATAGGTCATTATGCACATCAAATGAAAGGTCTTTTTTAGTAGAATACAATGCCGCAAACCGCACTTAAAAAGGTTGATCCTGCGCTAAATGGCAGATGTTCAAAGATTTTCAAAATTAGCCAATCTATATATTAATAGACAAGCATGTTTCTTTAAAATCTTCCTTTTATCTTAGCTTGTGTGCATCATAGGGAAAATCTACCTATACTGATAGAAAGATATTTTCCTGTAGATCCTGCAGAATCTCTTTAAAAATTAAAATAGGCTCAATATAAGCACAAAAAATGAATTTGAAATTTTATAAATATTAACATGGCCGGGCTTTATGGGTTGCCATGCTAGTGACGCAATAACAACGAAATATAAACAGAAAATCAAAACAAATGGAAGAAATTACAATCACATGTTTTATTTACAGTGTGGGGTGAAAATAGAGAAGCCTATACCTTTGACTTACAACTAGACATTCCATCCCTATGTTAAAGTTGTCGCCAGTTTTAATTAAATTCGTCGTAGTTGATGTGGGCCACCAACAGATTGCGCTGATCTAAATGACAAATTTCTCTCAAATACACGATGATTTTTACCAAGTCAAACTTATGGAATGACTTATTAAGAGCTATAGCAAACTGTTTGACCCATCAACTTTGTTAGCAACAAAAGTAAGATACAAAATATAATTTTAGACACCCATACTGTGACTGGTTCACAACTACATGTTTTTAATAAAAAAAATGGCGACAACTGGTCCATATCAATGGAATGTCTACTTCAGTATCCAATATTCAATGCGGGTACATGACATATTTTTGGTCCATTTTTCGACCACTGGACGACCACTAGTTTCTTTAAATTAAAACACTATTATAAATCTTTAAACAACTGTTAATTTTTAACGGAGGGTCCTTTTGAAGTGCGGTTTGCGACATTCTTCTGTGCTTAAAATGCCCTTTAAAATGATGCCCATATCAACATTATGCTTACCCTTAAGATTACCTACTGACTCATCATGGGCCATACCCTATTAGATGATGAAAGTTAGCAATAACCTTAAAAAATTAGTTTGTAACATAGGGTGGTAATTAAGTCCAAAGACAGTTAAATTATTTAAAAAAAATAATGTAGATAGAGCTACAATACTTGGTACAAAGTTACAGGGCATAAAACTCTCTAACACTATTCAGTGATCCAATAACTCTTCAGGGAGTCAGAAGAAAATCTTAAAAGGAAGCATATAGGTTGATATGCACATCAAATTAAAGGTCTTTATTAGTAGAATACAATGCCGCAAACTGAACTTCAAAAGGACCATCCTTTAAAAATAACAGTTGTTTAAAGATTTAATTAAAATAGTGTTTTAATTGAAAGAAATTGGCTAATTTTGAAAATCTTTGAACATCTGCCATTTTGTGCAGGATCAACCCTGAAGAGTTATTGGATTACTGAATATGTGGTAAAATAAAGTTTTATGCTCTGTAACTTTGTACCAAGTATTGTAGCTCTATCTACATTATTTTTTTAAATATTTAACTGTTTTCGGACTTTATTACCACCCTGTATAAAGTATTTGAGGAACTGTACTTAAAAATAGGCCAACAATGTTCATATTACTCCACACAGTCAATAATAGACCATTAGTAGACTAGATTTTAGATTAGAACCAGGCCAGCTTGTCTGAACTTATTTGATAAAATTATCTTTGTTACTATTTTGTGTGAAATATTTAATAACATTTTAATATTATGTAGCAAATGAAGAACCTTATTGCACTGTAAAATGTTTAAAGGGTAATTCTTATTCTAATGCACACAGCATGTTTTTGAATTAGTAAATGTCAGCCCCACACCACTGTTATGTATGCTGAAATATTGTTCTTTAATTTATTTCAATCAGATGTTTTCATAAAAACAATGTTTGTTTACTTGTTACTTTTGTTATGAACGTTTGACAATTAAAGATTCTTAATTCATATATTTCATTATATTTAAATGTAATAACGTTACATAATGGCGCTGCACGGACATAAGGAATATGAGAATGACGACGCATCATCTACATTAACAATAGAACAACCTATTACACATAGTTGAACTCATTTCAAGTTTTAGAAGTTTGATGCTACCAAGGAAACATGGAAGTACTACTACCAGAGGTTTGAGTTGGAAATCATTGTTTGTGGGTTACAACACAACCAAGAAGCTAAGAGAATTTTACTTCTGAAATGGATTGGTGCTGAACATTATAGAATTGTGGTTGATAACTTTTATCCAACACATATTTTAACAGTAGATTACGAGGAAATTGTTGAGTTTATTTCAAATTTCTATAAACCAAAAACGTCCTATTTGGCTGAAAGACTAAAATTTGGAAAAATCGTCAAGAACAAAAATCAATCAATAAGTATATTTGTGAATAATTTGAGAGCTGGTGCGACGGAATGTGAGTTTAAAGACACACTTGACGAAAGACTGTGAGATCAGTTCTTATTGGGTTTAAGTGATCCTAAAATGAAAGAAGAGCTCATCAGAAAACATCCTGAGGAAAAAGCAAGACTTGTCGACATCGTTAAAGACGCCTACCTCATGGAAATGGCACATGCTCAACAACGAGAAATAGAAACACTTGGGACATTTTCATGTGACGCACGGGTAAGGTAAAAAGGTAGGGGCCACACGAACTACTAAACCGTTATACAAAAGGGACATTATTAGAATCAGCTTAAATCCTGAGACACAGTGTTTGAGGTGTGGTTTATCAAAACATAAAACAGGTGAGTATTGCAGGGCAATGAATATTCAATGTAGAGCATGTGGGAAAATGGGGCATTTTGAACGAGTTTGCCTGAAATCGAATAATGTGGTCATTGAGAAAAATCTTTCAAGACATGATATCAAACAGATTGATAAGTTTGCTGGTGTGAGATATTTGAGTGACAATGTAGACTTTTCCCATCATAATAATAATCATAAACTGTTTGAAACAATCCTGCACGCAATAAGCTCACAACAAACAAGACACCAGGACATACACCAATTCAACACAAGGCATGCCTCAAACTTTGCCTTGCCACCACACCATCTCAGCCTATTTTAAAGGAAACCAGCGTACAAAGGAGCTTTGTATTACAATCATCTACCTGAGCAGCTCAAGACACTACCACTGCCACACTTCAAGAACAAATTGACATCATGGCTACAGGACAGACCATTTTACACAGAAGCCGAATTCCTTTAAAAAAAGCAGCACCAGTGGATCTTCCCCTCAACCCTACAATGTTGTAAATAGTTTTAAGTTAACCATCAAAAATTTGTTGACACATTACTATTCTCTATGAATTATGTAAATAAAGAAATATTGTCTATTGTCTATTTATAAAATACCTAATTATATTTATTGTAGGCCTACTTATATTATTTTTCCTAATTTGTTATATGTAATTATTATCTATATTGTCAAATCCTTATGTTTATCTGTCTACTGTACCTTAGATTTTATTGGGAATACTAGAATGCCAGCTTTCAGAACTTTTCTCGGTTCCTTTGCCTTAAAACATACAAATTAACAATTTAAAAAAATCTAGATTAATAAGTGGTAAAAATATGCGATGTAGAGCCAGTAAAAATAGAACAAAGAATATAAAAAACTGACAAGATTTTTCCTAAAAAGGACAAACTAGAAAGATCTATCAAAAATTAATATCAAAAATCTAGATTAATAAGTGGTAAAAATATGCGATGTAGAGCCAGTAAAAATAGAACAAAGAATATAAAAAAACTGACAAGATTTTTTCCTAAAAAGGACAAACTAGAAAGATCTATCAAAAATTAATATTTTTTTACATAAAAAGCATTCTTTACAAAAATTTTTAAATTTTAATGATGGTTGTGTTAATAAGATTTCAAATATTAGTGGCTGTCAGAATTGCGACCTTTTGTATTCTTTAAACAATAACACTGTTTAACTCATTAATACGTAAAAAAGACAGCCAGCATAAGTGTAATTTTTTTTTTTTCCGAGTCTAATGCAAAAATTCAGACTATAAATGTGAAAGTTTGTGTGAAGTTCAATCACGCATCAACTACTGGTCGGATTGGGTTGAAATTTGGTGTGATGATAGCTCACTTCCTCGATTACCATAGACTAATTATTCTTATCTCAAAAACCCTTTCGGGCTCCTCCCCAGTGGCTCTAGAGTTTCCCATGTTAACCTTATGAGTATCTATGTTAATCTATACTAGTGTACATGTTGCTCGAATTTGAGCAATTGCAAAGTATTACAGGAGTTATTTCAAAACGAATAACAGTCATATTTACAATGAGTTTAAAGAGTCAACTCAATAGCTGAGATTGTCCCGGGTCAGGTGCTGACTGTGATGAGTTAAGCCTTTACACGCTACTGTTCTGTAGCTGCGGTTGTTATCACGATTACGCCTCCTGTCTGTGTTTCGTTGTCGTCGGGTCGGAGGCATTTAAAAGAAAAAAACAACAAATAAACAAATTATAGCTACACAAAACAACGATAAATACACAAATATAAGTTACAATCATGCTAACACGATCCGTCATAGCGACACAAAACAACGATAAATACACAAATTTAAGATACAACCATACTAACATGATCCGACTTGGGGGTCATGTTTACACAAACTCAAATAGTAAATAAATGTACTCAATGCGTTTCATTGAATAGAAAAATAAATAACAGCAATTAAATTATACAGCTGATCAAAATATAAACAATTATGTTCTTCATAAGGATAACATGGGAACTTTCAAAACCACTGGGGCAGAGCCCAAGGGACTTTTTCAAAAATGTAAGGCCAGTTTGCAAATCTACGCGACACGCTCTTGCCAATGAGACGTCAATGGATAAAATCGGTTAAGAAATGGCGGAGGAGTTCAACCGACAAAGTTTCATGTGGCGTATTAATTATATAGATACCGGTAGATATAAATAGGCAAGCATGTTTCTTTAAAACCTTTTTTCTAAGCTCGTTTGCATTGTAGGTAAAATCTACGCATACTGTTAGAAAGATATTTTCCTGTAGGTGTGCAGAATCCCTTTATAAATTAAACTAGGCTAAAAAATAAGCGCAAAAATGAATTTAAAATTTTAAAAAATTAACATGGGCCTTTTGGGTTGTCATCCTGGTGACGAAATAACAACGAAATATAAACAGAAAATCAAAAGAAATAGAAGAAATTCTAATCACACGTTTTATTTACAGCGTGGGGTGAAAATAGAGAAATCTGAACATTAGATATTTTTGGTTGAGTTTTCGACCACGGGACGACCTTTCGTTCAAATTTAAAAGGAATTAAAGAATTTTGCCAGCTGTTTCAACTACACAAATTGGTTCTATGATATTCAATAGCATTATAAGGTTTACCAACAGGGTGCAGTGTAGGTAGATACATGTACTATTAATTCTCTTTTTGCATTTATGACAACAGCTAATTTGAACCAAGAAGCAACAAAAAGCTTTGAGAACTTTACTTTTTTCTATTGTTTAGGTGCAGTGGTAGAACATTATGGCTATGGTAGATGTGCTATACTATAGTATACACTAATTTATAGCAAACCAAATTTCTTAATATGTGTCCTCGCCCATTGCAAACTTAAAGCACGAGCTTGCATTTTAGCACTACATTTATTTTAGTTTGCATTGATAGCATTTTATACTTATACGCCAACCCCGTATGAAGGACGGGTACTCTGCTAGTTAAAGTATAATTTATATTACATGACATAAATCCCCTATATGACTCATTGCGTACATGGGAATTATAAAAATTATTTTCGTAACTCTTATTTTTATCTTTTGCAAAAAATATTCACCCTTTTTAGAATTTTTGTCACATGATTAAAAGAAAAACAGCTGTTCCTTACCGAGTTATCAGGTGCTTTTTCTTGGCCGGTCTTTTCATTTGGTTCTCCGGAGCTTTCTGTTGGCTTTACAGATTTTTCTTGAGTTCCTTTGGATATTTCTTCTCTCATCTCAGATGCTTCAGTGACCTTATTCAATGAAGTCATTAGAATAAAAAAAGATTATAAGTAATACGTCTAGATTGATTTTAAATTTTAATACATTTCAATCCATACGATGAATGGAAATTTTAATTCAGACAGAACTACACTAACGTTATACTTAATTAGTTTTAATATATTGGCTACCGATGACTCGAGGCTCATAAATGAGGTGCACCAATTATATTTGTATAGTCCAGCTATATATGTACAAGAGTCTTTCAATTAGACCAATGCTTAACAAATTTGTTTGAACACCCATGCCAAAGCAGGACTGGTCCTTGTTTTTTAATTGAATCTAGAAACAACTTATCTCCACCAAAGACCTAGTAAATTATGTAATCAACACAGTTTCTTCTAGATCAATGTGGAATTTAATTTGAAACTAGAGACAGATTGATAATAATAATCAATTTAGTAAAATACGATAAATGAATCATCAGTCTATAGTCATGAAATGATTGGGCTAATTTATGAGCCATCAGTATGTGGTAGGAATACATCCGGTCTATTAGCAACAATCATATTAAAGACAATTGATTATCAACCTGTTAAATTATGGTAAGTATTAAAACTACTTAATAGTAATTTCAAGGGCACGTAGTTGTATACAATTTGTGGCAAGAAACTTAATACTTTTGTTAACACTCCTTAAGTAGTAAACATTATTTTTATGAATTTCATATCAAAACCACTGGGGCAGAGCCCAAGGGACTTTTTCAAAAATGTAATTCCAGTTTGCAAATCTACGCGACACGCTCTTGCCAGTGAGACGTCAATGGATAAAATCGGTTAAGGAATGGCGGAGGAGTTCAACCGACAAAGTTTCATGTAGCGTATTAATTATATAGATACCGGTAGATATATATAGGCAAGCATGTTTCTTTAAAACCTTTTTTCTAAGCTTGTGTGCATCGTAGGTAAAATCTACGCATACTGTTAGAAAGATATTTTCCTGTAGGTGTGCAGAATCCCTTTATAAATTAAACTAGGCTAAAAAATAAGCTCAAAAATGAATTTAAAATTTTAAAAAATTAACATGGGCCTTTTGGGTTGTCATCCTGGTGACAAAATAACAACGAAATATAAACAGAAAATCAAAAGAAATAGAAGAAATTCTAATCACACGTTTTATTTACAGCGTGGGGTGAAAATAGAGAAATCTGAACATTAGATATTTTTGGTTGAGTTTTCGACCACGGGACGACCTTTCGTTCAAATTTAAAAGGAATTAAAGAATTTTGCCAGCTGTTTCAACTACACAAATTGGTTCTATGATATTCAATAGCATTATAAGGTTTACCAACAGGGTGCAGTGTAGATACATACTATTAATTCTCTTTTTGCATTTATGACAACAGCTAATTTGAACCAAGAAGCAACAAAAAGCTTTGAGAACTTTACTTTTTTCTATTGTTTAGGTGCAGTGGTAGAACATTATGGCTATGGTAGATGTGCTATACTATAGTATACAGTAATTTATAGTAAACCAAATTTCTTAATATGTGTCCTCGCCCATTGCAAACTTAAAGCACGAGCTTGCATTTTAGCACTACATTTATTTTAGTTTGCATTGATAGCATTTTATACTTATACGCCAACCTCGTATGGACGGGTACTCTGCTAGTTTAAGTATAATTTATATTACATGACATAAATCCCCTATATGACTCATTGCGTACATGGGAATTATAAAAATTATTTTCGTAACTCTTATTGTTATCTTTTGCAAAAAATATTCACCCTTTTTAGAATTTTTGTCACATGATAAAAAGAAAAACAGCTGTTCCTTACCGAGTTATCAGGTGCTTTTTCTTGCCCTGTCTTTTCACTTGGTTCTCCAGAGCTTTCTGTTGGCTTTACAGAATTTTCTTGAGTTCCTTTGGATATTTCTTCTCTCTTCTCAGGTGCTTCAGTGACCTTATTAGTTTCGTCAACAGCTGTAAACACTGTACGTATCAAAACAAAAACTATAACTAATTTCATATCAAAATTCATACCTCAATGCTTTTTTATCTTTGACTGCTGTACGAATAAATGTATTTAGAAATATTGAAGCTGGAACTGCTGTCAGGTCTAACCAACTGGTTATGAGTATGTTAGTTAATTGCTTTTACAGAGCATGATTAATGTTCAGACAAACTTTAATAGTTGTTTTTGCGTCATGCAATCAAATATTCTCGTTAAATAACTACAAATCATCTATGGTTTTCAATATCCCACAGATACACTTTTTAGTTTACATGCACCAACAGATATACTAAAAGACTGACCAGGTGATTCACAAAGTATATTCCTCCTATATCCTTCTTGTTGCTTGGGGGCTGAATGCTAAACCATAGATTTGGGAGGGCACAACGAGGACACCGACACCATCCTCCAGGAGGAATATGAAATACCTCCATAACACTTGGTAACTTGTGAGTAAAGTAACTAGACACTTTAGAAAGTAGAAGAAATGTATTTTTTGTATTTTTATTGTTGGTTGGCTAAAAAAATTTACTTTTTAGCGAATTTCTCTATAGGGAAGTATTAGCAAATTTCCCTATAGGGAAGTAGCTATTACCGTAGGTGGCACGGTAAGACCTAGACCCGGGACCGATTTACTTTTTCATTTTGATGTCCCCAGAGGCCAAAAACACCATTCGTTCAAATTTTTATATATGTATTTATATTTATTTCTATATATATACTTAAAGATTAAACATTAATAAACTTAGTACCCAAGTAAAATTATTTATTAAAATATTTACTGACTATAGTTTCGGCTCTAAGGCCATTTTCAAAGTCTTTGAAAATGGCCTTAGAGCCGAAACTATAGTCAGTAAATATTTTAATAAATAATTTTACTTGGGTACTAAGTTTATTAATGTTTAATCTTTATTTATATATAGTAGCCCTATTTTTCTATTTTTCATATATATAGACTTATATATATATATACGTCTGTGAACGCGATAACTTGAGTAATTTTTGTCCGATTTTGATGAAATTTGGTTTAAAGGTGTAAAGTGGGATAAACTTGAATGAGTTCGCGAACCAGCACGATCGGACCATGGGAACGGGGCTTTACCGGGGGTTTTATGGGGTAAAAATTGGTTTTTCTCACTTTTGACCCTCAAAACTCAAAATTTCCCGATTTCTCTTTAGACCTTTTTAAAGAGCTTAAAAAAACAAATGATTTAGTATATAAAAGTATTTTTGTTTGATTATTAGTAACGGAGAAAATTAAAAAAATTGTAAATTTAAAATTCCCATGTTATTCTTATGGAGAATATTGTCAAATGTTGTAGTTTGCTTGTTTATGGATATATTTTGATCAAACTTTTTATTAGTTTCCTTGTAGCAGCAAACCTAGGTACTCGTTAAACCTAATGTTATTAAAATATATTTAACTGAAAATCAATTCAGACAAATGGAAATTCGCTTAGTCGGCAGGTTTGCTGCAGCGGGGTATTTTATGTTGGGCGGGCATGTGCCCCTCTATGTAACCCCCCCCCCCCCCCCAGCGTGATCCCTATGTTTAAGACATGTCTCACCAAGCACTGAACCACCGGTCTCGCAGGACACATGTCAGCTTTGAACAGCATGGGTTGGTTTTGCAATATGCCTCGGACACGAAGGTTTTTGTAGACACAATGTCCACAACACCAGTGTGTACCCAGTCGGTAAAAAATGTACTTAATTACTTAATTTTAGTTTTGTGAGTTAAGCTTGTAGAAAGGTGCAGTATGACAGGCCAAAATGTTTGCTCAACTCTCACACATCCCACGACCTTGGCTTTGCCCCAGTCATTTAACTAAAGTCCGTGTTGATAAAAGTCGCCCAATGTCAATGCTGCACAAGGATTGATGTCAATCACTCCAAGGTATTAAAAAGTTACAGATACATTTGTAAAATCACATACAAACATACAGACAGAAAACTAGGGATTTTGGACCAATGATTATGTGGCTTTTTTCATTGCTTTAGGTTTAACCTAAGGAACAAATATACAAGAGCATTCCGGAGAGTTTGTATATACCGTGTCCGTGAACTTGAGTAATTTTGATTAAATTTGGCTGGAAGGTGTAGGGCGGGATAAACTTGAATGAGTTCGCCATCCAGCAAGATTGGATCATGGATCTTGGTGTTTCGAAATTTTCAAAAATTGGTTTTCACAAGTTTTAACCCTTTAAACATGGAAATGCCCCATTTTCATTATATCCATTGTTTAGAGCAACAGACAAATAAGTTGGAGATAGTTAAAAAAACTGTACATTTTATAATTCCCGTTTTAATCGTTTAATCGTTAATCGAAAAAAAACTGTTGTAGTTTGTTTATAGGTGTATGATGATCAACCTTGGCAAATTTATTTATCTTCTATATATCTAATTCCGTAAGCCCAAAATTTTACAATGAAATTGTGAGCGAACGGGAGGACGTAGAAAGCTGGGAGAGGTCTCATTTTAAAGGTCTCAGCATGAAATTTTGGGGAAAAATATTCATTTTTCTTAATTATGCACCAAAAGGTTATTACAGGATAAAATAAATCACATTTAAATAGCATGGGAATCCAGGTCATGTCCGATTTGTTTACTTTAAAACATGTGGTTTAGATTTATTTAAAGCATATGGTAATATCATTGACTATTGGCTACAAAAGTTGTATTAATAGTGTTAAAGGTAGTATGTAATATATGTATTGTATGTAACTATAGTGCATTTGAAAGTAAACATGCGTGCAAATGAAAATGAAACAGCATTTTGTGATTGGCTTCTACGCTTATATTAGGTAATGGAATCTTAGAGAGCAATAGGGCAACACCGGCAATTGACATTCCAGATAACTTTGTTCTCTCTGATTGTGCAATAGTTTATGGCAACTCAATAAATCCAGAAAATATTCAAAACTACTCCAATCAAATAATTGTATGCCCTTTAAATGAACATTGTGATAATTTAAATGAAGAAGTATTAAAAATCTACTACAGTAATTATGAAGTAGTTTCAGAAGACCCTACAGAGAGGTTGAACATACCAATTGAGTTTATAAATTCAATTACACCATCTGGAATGCCACTACACAAATTAGTTTTAAAAGTTGGTTCAATAGTGATGCTCATAAGAAATAGGGTCTGGATTAGTTAATGGAGTACGATTGGTTGTGTTGGGTATGTCTGAAAAAAGTGTAAAGTTAGTAGTAATTACTGGAGTAGGGAAAGGGAACATATTTTTCATGCCAAAAATAAAACTAATATCTACAGATCCTAATATGCCCTTTAAATTTACAAAGGATTCAATTCCCATTGCGATTATCTTTCACCATTACTATAAATAAAGCGCAAGGCCAAACCTTCCCAAAAGTTGGAATTTATTTAAAAAAAAAAAAAACAGTGTTTACCCATGGTCAACTTTATGTTGCTTTTAGCCGGGTAAAGCGGCCAGATGACGTTAAAATAGAAATAGAAACAAATAAAGACCAAGGAATGGACCAAAATGGATACTACACAACAAATGTTGTTTTCAGAGAGATTTTGTTACAGAATTAGTATTTTACAATTTGGAAGATGACATTATCTCTATGTGTTGTGTTTTTCTAAGTGAATTTGTCTATATTAAAAAAAAATGTATATATATTTAATTAATAGTGAAGATTATTGAAAATGTTCTTTTGCTGTATTATGATTAGAAAATTTATGTTACAAACCCACCACATGAAGAGTCCTTTTGAATTTTTATCCTAAACAGAGCAGACATAAAAATGAATTATGCAGGTATGTGATAACTGTTATACATTATTATAATATACAAACAATTTAAACGATAATTCAAGGTAGGGTACGGTAACCCATGAGACAAATAATTTGTACAAAATAATTATTAGAATATATTACATATACTGTATATAGGGGCTATTGCCCCTACAAGCCACTAGTTTCATTCTATACTACTAACATTTGGTCAAAAAAAACTTTTTACCTTCCCTGTAGCAGCAAACCTAAGTACTTGTTAGATCTTTTGTTATTTTTAAATGGCGAATAAATATGTCTTATTTAAAAACATATTTTAGAAAAAATTCAATCGGGCAAATAGAAATTTGCTTAGTCTGCAGGTTTGGTGCAGCGGGGTACTATTATTTGAAGTTATGATGCTTTCATAAGAAACTTCACATAATAATACAATCATGCTTTCTTTTGTAGAGAATGTAGTAAAATTGTTTAGTTTTTTATGTATACTTTGTTACATACTTTATTGGTTTGAATTTCATTATTTGTTAGTGTTGTGTTTATCATGATTTATACACTCTTCGGTGACATATTCATATAGACAAAGAGAATATTATTGAGTTGATTTAGCCTAACCCAAGAAATAGAAATGTTAATATTGAAGATAGAAGGAGAAAGGGTTTAGTGAGGGATTTAATGATATAAAACCAGATAATCGCCAAGTCTAGGCCAATTGAACAATTTATGTCGTTTTTGCTACCTCTATTTCATTAATAGTCAACAGACAAGTTCACCACAGAATTGGAACCACACCTTATGTTGAAGATCAAAATAACGGTTGCTACAGCCAAGTTTACTTTTATGAATCAGAAGAGGCAAGTAATGTACGCTGTTCAATAAGAGGACATGAAAATAGTGATCCAAATCTTAGGCAAGAGATCCAGAGATCCTCGGGGCAGAGATCTTAGGTTATCTAACCTATTTCAACAAATAGATCCATACACTCGAGCTTTCAAACTGTGGCACGGTTTTAGGTAAATTCCTCTTGAACAACGTGAGGATGGTTTACCACCGCAAACTATCTTTAAAAAAAGCTTCTATAGATCTTCTGATGAGCAATCTTTACGTGGGAAAATGTCTACTAAACCGAACAAAAGTACAAGTAACCAGATAGCTTAACATCACAATTGACTGCAGAGTACTCTCAGAAAGTAGCAAAGGAGGAAGTGCTCTAATTCTCGGCGCTTAGCTACACTTCCTTTCAAAATGCAAAAAAATCCAATTCCCATTGACATTAATTAGAAAGGCCCAAGGACACTCCCTTTCAAAAGTTGTAATTTACTGTACCATCCAAAAACCGTGTTCACATATGGTCAACAGTGTTGCTTTGAGCCAAGCAACAGTATTTGTTTGGATGTAAGAAAAGCTAACATTTCAAACGTTGATACGCTTACGAAAATCAACACAGGAGGCCTAAATAAAATCAAAATGTTAAAAATAACAATAATACCATTTATTTTTGTAAATATATTATAAATACAACCCTACAGTGCATATATTATGTCAGCCTATCTTAACAAACAGAGCATTTTGTAATAGAAAATATATAACAACATTTAAAATGTAAAACTATCCATAATATGATCAATTAACAATTATTGAAAGATGATTTGTCAGAAACAAACTACAAGTGGGAGAGTTCTAGTCGTATTTACATTTGCACACTTTGGTATCTGTCTTTAATTTACGGCAAAGAAGCCCATTGTGAAAACGATTACAGAAAAATATACCAAATCATTTTGACCAAGAGGAAAATTAAATCCAATAAATAGCACAGGGCCATGTTCAACTGGCACTTACAAGCTTAGTAAAAGGTACAAAAATATAAAAACCATTAATCAATATTTTTATGATCAAATCATACTGGATAAAACGCTATATATGCAAAGTTCCTTTTAGGAAGTGATTAAGAAATCACAACAAATTAATCTACAACATGCAAAGTAAATTGGCACTTGCAATCTCTGAAGTTCTGTTCAATCCCTTAAAATGTTAGCTTTTACAAAATATTTAATTTAAATATTATACATTTAAAAATAACTACTTTTTGTAAAAAGTGTTGACTATAGATCTGTTGCCAAATTTTTATTGACAAAATAGGGTACATAAATAAGGGATGATGAGGAAAATAAACAGTAAATTATTAATTCAAGGTATGTTTTGGTCATGAAGAATAACTGTAAATTATATCGAGAACTCACAATAACGTTTGCTATTGTTGATTTAGCCTTGTGATTATGATTTTAAAAACACAAGTATCAGAATTTCTTTATAATTCCATAATTAATAACATAATCCATACGATGAATGGAAATTTTAATTCAGACAGAACTACACTAACGTTATACTTAATTAGTTTTAATATATTGGCTACCGATGACTCGAGGCTCATAAATGAGGTGCACCAATTATATTTGTATAGCCCAGCTATATATGTACAAGAGTCTTTCAATTAGACCAATGCTTAACAAATTTGTTTGAACACCCATGCCAAAGCAGGACTGGTCCTTGTTTTTTAATTGAATCTAGAAACAACTTATCTCCACCAAAGACCTAGTAAATTATGTAATCAACACAGTTTCTTCTAGATCAATGTGGAATTTAATTTGAAACTAGAGACAGATTGAAAATAATAATCAATTTAGTAAAATAAGATAAATGAATCATCAGTCTATAGTCATGAAATGATTGGGCTAATTTATGAGCCATCAGTATGTGGTAGGAATACATCCGGTCTATTAGCAGCAATCATATTAAAGACAATTGATTATCAACCTGTTAAATTATGGTAAGTATTAAAACTACTTAATAGTAATTTCAAGGGCACGTAGTTGTATACAATTTGTGGCAAGAAACTTAATACTTTTGTTAACACTCCTTAAGTTGTAAACATTATTTTTATGAATTTCATATTTTAATTACTGTCTCATCATGTTTGGGCTTTACTGTAGGAATTTCACAATGTTGAGAATACAATTTTAAATTTATTATTTACCAATCTGATGTTTATATACAAAAAAATTTGAAATATTATTAAATAAAAATGTTAAAAGTATTTCATTTTTTCTCTTTGGTCTGTACACGTTTTTCCACATGTCTGTGTAGGTTTTTTGTGCATGACATCAACAGGACTCTGGTTCAAAACCGGCTCGAAGGACCATGTCTGATATGTGGTGGACTGATGTTCTTGAAATAATTATTTTAAATTAAAAATTTATATAAAATGAGACTCAATGCTAGATGGACAACAAAAATTAATTGTTTTAAATACTAAACTGTTCACAAAAAATAAAAATTTAAATAACATGTGGTTGGTAACATTATGTTAAACACAAGTGAGGAAAAACTTATGTACAGGCCAAAGGAGAAAAAAATCAAATGCTTTTAACAACAAACAATTTTTTTTTACCTATATATCTAATTTATAAGCTTGTATTTATAGTCATTAAATATTTGCAATTGCTTTTATTACCTATAAAAATCAATGTGTTGATGATAAATTTATGATTCAGACAACGTTTTATCAAGGTTTGTGCTATTAAGAGTATTTTTATTGATATAATTTGTTGATTTTTTCTCTGAATAACCAATAACAACAACAATTCAACACAAACTAATTCAACAGACCTAGCAGTATACTTACTACGGTGCCTGTCAATGGGGAAGCTAATGAATCCATAGATCATTAATGTTAGTAATACAAGTATCATTAACAATTTTTTTTTATTTAAGAAAGGTTTTATAAAATTTCATAGTAAAAGAAACCTTCCTTTGTTGACCCAACGTTTTTTATCAGGTTAGGCATTAAACATAATTGAAGTGTGGGATATTTCAGTGATCAAACAAATAAATAAAACAAACAAAACAAAATTTACCCGACACATAATATTCAATAAAACTTTGAAAAATACTTGGAAGGCAAGAAATATTAGCACTCCTTATTGGAAGTGATTCAAATTTTGACGACAAAATTAAAATATACTGTAGTATTTTTAACAAGAAATCAAAAATCCAATTAACTTGTAAAGGTATTTACAAATTTGAAGTTTCCTCAAACTTAACTGAGACATTTTTGAAGGAGTGATTATTAATTAATTTCAAAGATTGATTTTTTATTTACCGAAAAACATATTCAGAACAGACCTTCAGACATGCATTTTTGTAATATAAACCCTTTTCAAACATAAATAAATTCTCGTCTAGTGATTGAAATCCTAGTGTAAAATGCAAGGATTACCTTAAAGTCTACATTAAAACTAATAAAAAATAATTAGCCTTGTGTTGAAATCTCTCTTCCACCACAATTTGAGTTTTAAAACGTTTTTAGTGTAATAACACTTTCGATGGGCAAAAAAACCTACAAAAATATTGGTGTAAATCAATAGTTGAACTATTTCAAAACACTTCAGACAAAAGTGAAGTTAACTACGCTGTGGTCAATTTAGAAAACTGAAATCCTGTAGAAACATCAATAAATAAGCTATAAAGCTATTCTACAAGCTCATATGTACAAATATACAATTGAGATGAATGACTAACATTTTGTACTTCTACAAACAAAACATAATAAAATAAATTCTTTGTTTATAGTAAACACCTTTTCAACAAATTATAAATACAATATAAACAAACTTACAACTATGTACAAGTCTTTCGTACTTTCCAGACACTTAACGCAAAACAATTTTTTGTATCAACAATATATTATAAAACATTAAATATATATGAAAAAATACAAGGAAATTGTAAAAATCAAGGAGGTGTGCCGTGGTTTTCAATGTTCTCCATAACATGTTGCTATTTCAATAAAGATTTATTATTTCAAACCAAAAATTGTGATTACCATACAGGATATTAATCAGTTTTGAAACCTATATAAACTTAGACCTAGTAGGCCTAGAGCTGATTTTTAAATTTTTAAACTTTCTCCAAACAAAAGTTTTCTCCTATCCTTCTTTACAAAAATTTAAGAACTGTTTTGGAAAAATACGGTTTAAGGTAACATCCAATTAACATTGCAAAAGATTTCTAGAAATTTTCAGCTTAAGATGTTTTAGATATACAGTACTACCCATGGGGTTTACCAGTGAGCTGATCTAGTGGTAGAGCGCAGGACTTCGGTCCCTGAGGTCTCAGGTTCAAATTCCGCCAGATGACCGATGGATTTTATCTGAGTGATAATACCTCAACTCCTATACCTAGCCTGAAGTTACATGAAAAACGATCCGTGGCTAGTGCCTAGCACCCTAGGACGGAAAAAGAAAATATATATACGGTAAACCCAAGTTCTTTTGCTATATAAGTTTTCATTTATAAACAGACTAACAACTAATCTTTCATTGACAAGATTTTTCTTTCTCTTGGGTCATATTTTAAAAATTAAATTGTGTCTGGTATGGCACAAGTGTTTGATGGTTAATTTCTTAACTTGTTAAGATTTATGTAATCTTTGATAAAAAAAAAAACATTATAAAATACTTCGGACAACAGATAAATAAACAATTTTTTAAAACTTTTAAGTTCAGTTTTAGTTTCTCTTCAGTCAAATGGTTCTGTATTGCATTGATTACAGCTACAGCTGTTTCATGCAGACGTAAATTACTTATTTCAACAATCCAGAGACTATTCAAGCATCAGAACTTTTCCAAGTGATTGAGCTCATCAACTTGCCAGAGAAAATTACAGTCCAGGGGCTAATAGATAAGATACACAAAAAGTCACAAAACACTGCCTTCAATCATGAAATATTATATTATATCATAATGATGTGTTAGTATGAAATATTAGTGTTAAGATTTGAAATTTTTTACTGTGTATCTGTAAGCCTCTGGACTCTTAATTGTCTGAGGTAAGCTAGCTGAAATCTATCCTTTCAACAACATTCCTGATCAACCACTGAGCAGTTTATATTTTAGCCTAAAAGCATCTTAGACATCCACCAGGGACGTTTAAACCCATTGAGGTTTAACTCTGTGCGATTAAAACCTCCTTAATTTTCACAACCGTACCAGGATTAAGAAACAAGAGCGATACCCGCAGTTAATTGACCGTGGGGCAGAGGAGGGGAATGGTTCATTGGTCGTCATTGGAGGCGTTGTTGAGCATGGTCGACCGCAGCTGTACGAGCGGCAAACCTTGGTAGAGCCGCTTCATCCCGCGCGGCAACGCTCGACAAGAAGACAGGTTGATGGACGACAACATCGGACACCTGGTCAGGACGGCCTTCACAGGCTCCAGGCTTACTGACGAGCCACACAGGTCCAGCGTTCTGCAGAGAAGTAAAATCTCAATACATACAGAGGTAGAATACGACGTTAGTCTACTTGGTCGTAATTATTGATAGAATATGTTTACCGTTTAGTGTTTATCATATACTGACATTTATGTTATTAAACAATTATTTTCTCAGTTGTAGGTGTGAATCTTTTTTCAAGGTAATATTTTGGCTTTATAATTGATGCAATTTTACAAAAGTTTTCATTTTGCTCATACTACTTAAGTGATATTATTTCAAGTCAGTTACATAGTTATGTCTAATTAACAAAATGATCTTGTGCCTGTTCTAATGTCTAGTTGACCATACACAGTTGTCAATGGGCTGTGAACTAAGATTGACACACTGGTCCAAAACCCCTTATGCATAAAACTTTTACTTAAAACTTGACCACAGTTAGTGAAATACTGTCAAGAGGGCCTAGGTTTAAACGTATTTTGTTAGGTAACTACGTTTACCTAACTGAGGAAGTCTTTTCTAGCATGAGAAAAGACGAGAAAATCAATTTTTTACATAATAATAGACAAGAGCTAGAATATTTCACTGTCAACTGACAGCATTTTCAACCAAGGATAGAGTTGGAGAGAGAGAGAGAGAGAGAGAGAGAGTAGAGTATAGACAATAGACATCTTTCTCTTTCGAAATAATTCTTGAGGAGAAAGGAAGGAAACACAACTAACTCACCTGAATAAAGAAGTCGCAGGAGGTAAATAGAACACTTAAAAAATACACATTAGGCTGATATTTCCCCCCTTTCAGGGGCTTCTTCAGAGGTAGAAGGTAGAATGGCAAAAAACCAATGCAATAGCTCCATGCTATTGTTATTGAATATGGGAATTGGCCTATCAATTTGTCACAAATTCACGAGCTCCACCTAACTTAAACATAAAATAAACCCAAATTCCTTCCAAAATATTCCTTTCCCACACAACTAACTACAGTAGTACAGTAAAATCAATGGTGTAAATATGTGGATATACAGTTTATAATTTTTATACAAGTTAATTGTTGGCAAGCCTGTGAGACATTTAAAACCACTGAGCTATAATAATAACTGGAGTAACCACTCTGTGTTTTAAAAACGTACCACTGTTTTTGCTGGTTTTGTTTCAGAGTTTCGTGTTGTTAGGTTGGCCAGGTGATCTGTTGGTGGGACTTGTCAAATTAGAGGCAAGATCAAGATAGCGTCATCCTGTTGTTTTGTTGATAGTAAACCAAAATATGTCAACATTATGATTGCAACATAAGTTTACTAGCTGTACCCGCGGGCTTTGCCCCGTTTAACTTTATAAGTGAGCTCAATCATGTCCTGGTTGAAGTTCGTTCGCTACGCTCACTCACTTTCAGGTTAGAGCTTGTTCGCTGCGCTCACTTGCCTTCAGGTTAGCTCGTTCGCTATGCTAACTCGCCTCCAGATTAAAGTTCGTTCGCTACGCTCACTCACCTTTTGGTTGCAAATTAGCTGTTGTCATAAATGTAAAAGAAATAATAATGCTGCACCCTGTTAACTTTAACGCTATTGAACATCATAGAACAGAACCAACTTGTTTCATTGAAACAGCTGTTAAGATTCATTAATTCCATTTAAATATGAGTACTCATAAGGTTAACATGGGAAACTCCAGAGCCACTGGGGCGGAGCCCGAGAGTCCGATCAGAATAAAAAGCTAAGTTTTCCTATTTCATGCCTAAAGAATCAGTGTACCAAATTTCAGCCTCCTAGGTAAATGGGAAGTAAGAGAATTAGTGATGAGTAAGTGAGTCAGTCAGTGAGTCAGTGAGGGCTTTGCCTTTTATATAGATTCATTTATTTTACGAGCAAGAGCAACCCATTTTAACAAGATCGTAAACCGATGGCCGATCTTTAATCAAATGCCATAGGACTAAACCCAAGACTAAACTGATTTTCTCCAAACCAGGAAACTTGACTTGACTAGCCTATTTTCACCACATAGCTTGAAAAGAGGTAAATAAGTTAGTATTTATTTACTATCAAAAACAATTTATTATGTTTCAAAATAACTTTAAAAACACACGTTTTAACGTGCAATAACTTAAATAAGTTTTTGATATAAGTCCTTGAAATAACGGATAACCCCAAATAGGCCCAAATAGTATGGTTAGGTTAGAATGAATGGAATTTGACAGCATCCCACCAACCAATCACATGGCCAACCTACCAACACAAAACACCGAAAACAAACCAGCAAAAACAGTGGCATGTTTTTCTCTAATGTTTAACCAGAGAGTAGTGACTCCACTTATAATCTATATCTCAATGTTTAAAACAGTGCTAGAACTGTAACTGCCATTGTACCTTCTATCTCTGAAGAAGGCCCTGAAAGGGGTGAAATATCAGCTTAATGTGTATTTTTTAAGTGTTCTATTGACCTCCTGAGAATTCTTTATTCAGGTGAGTTAGTTGTGTATCCTTCCATTCTTCTCAATAATTATTCCAAAGCCAAGTTGCTTTTTTTCCTTTAAAAACTCTCTTTTGAAATAGTATTGGGTCTAGGAGGTATTTCCGTCATCCTCCAATGAAATCTGTGACTTTTCTATTACTATTATTTAAACTTTCGTAATATCATGGAACATTTTCGAGCTCATCCATCATATAAATTCCTGGTAAAATTAATGACTTTTCTGTGACTTATGTGACTGCGACTATGCACACAATCTGTACTAACAATCTAATTTGAGCTGTGATACAACAAATAATTATATAATGAACTCTTTGCATTGACTTTCTATAGTCGTTGTCGAACTAACACAGACCCAAGTTAAGTCGCTTTTCCTAGACTTGCTACTGTTCACCGGCCAATAGCTAGTCCCTTATTACTGCCGCTCGACTGATCTCGCACTATAGGGGAGTAGAAAGCTGGAATTAAAATAAAACAATGTGGTATTCTGTTTTTTTTTATTCTGCTATTTTTATACAAAATTTCAAATTGGTGAAAGGTGGATGTATATTTTTTATTCCCCAACTACTAACTGGTCAAAAGCATAAATGTTGACAAATATGTGTGAAATTTTGTAACAAATCAGCAGAAATTTTCTGAGATATCTTGCAATGTTTTATATTTATTTGTTCTATATGAAAATTACTTGTTGCAATATAGGGCACCCTTGAGTGTACTTCAATCGAGCGGCAGTAATAAAGGAGAGACCACCAAACCTGTGGACAATAGCCCCCTCAGAACTCAGGCCCATGTTAGCTTGTCCACATCTATAATACCTGAGTCTGCTGGTCTCGCCCTGCTCTGCTAGTGCCTGCACTGCAGCGTCCAGAGGCTCCGTGGCTGTACTCCACGCAAGGTCCACCTCCACCAGGCTGTGACTCCACTTCTTGACAATCAGCTCCAGACCAGAGTCGTTCAGCCGAGTCACATAGCAGCCTATGGGAAAATACACTTTAATACTCGTAGAGCTAAAAGCCAGGTAGCAGTCTGAGGAAACATACTTTACTCAATTACTCCAAAGAAAAAATACTTCCAACAAAATAGCTCAAGATTTTTGGGATTGAAAATTAGAAGCAATTTAAGTTAAACAACAAACAAGCTAAATCACCTTGTAATTAGCCAAGAAGTGATTATATAGCAGTAGCCGAACTACCGTGGTTTCAAAGCTCTTGGGGCTTCATTTCCAAGTTTATGAGGACACTAAGCATGTCCAATCCTCTCCAACACTGACGGTGTGAAGATTCGTTGTAGAAAACACAGAACACGAACAATAAAATTATAAAAAAGTGTGGCTACAATTTATAAACTAGTCCAACGACATGTGCGTGGAGTTGGCGAAAGTTTGGCCATGACATCGGGTCTTGTGTCCTGTGTGTGTGACATAGTCGTTCTCCTTCCTCCAGCTACTAAAGAAATAGTGGCCAATCTGTTTTTCAAAGTTTTAAATAGTTTTTGTACGTACGAGGCATGTTTTTTAAGTAAGTACCATTTTAAAATTTCTCCGTTCCAGCACTGTGATTGGTATTTTGGACATTTGCGCTGTATATGTGCATCTATTGGCAAGCCCTAGCCGGAAATTCGACAACAATCGGCCGTGTTTACATCCGGTTTCGAGCATTCAAAATGGTGCCGCCAATTGAGATTGCCGCCGACTGTGAAGTGCGTGTTGTAATGCTAAAGGTGTGAAAGCCATTGAAATTTTATGGACGTTGGTGGCCGTCTTTAGATGCCCTTACCCACTTGCATACCATTCCGTCACTCATAATGTTCTCGCCATACACCTCACTAATCTGTCGATAAATTTCAATGGCTTTCACACCTTTAGCACTTAAAAATCTAATTAAGCGCGCACTTCACAGTCGGCGGTAATCTCAATTGGCGGCACCATTTTTAATGCTCGAAACCGGATGTAAACACGGCCGATTGTTGTCGAATTTCCGGCTAGGGCTTGCCAATAGATGCACATATACAGCGCAAATGTCCAAAATGCCAATCGCAGCGCTGGAACGGGGAAATTTTAAATCGGTACTTACTTTAAAAACATGCCTCGTATGTGAGCTCTTTTTTCCATACATTGAGTGGAATATATTTAAAATGTTGTGTATGAGAGAATGTTCTACTTTCGTTTTTTGGCTAAAGCATTTATTTACCATTTTAATTGTACTTTACCTGATAGAAAGATGTGCTCCAGGTCCCATGCAGGCACCCTGACCAATGATGAGTCTGACACCTTGTTGCAGCCCCTCACGTCCAGTAACCTCAGCTTCTTGGAGTTCTTAATGATCCTCTGGAGGGCCTCATCGTCGATGAACGGCTGCGATGACAGACCCTCCACAACACCCGCAACACTCAGCTCCTCCAGATGGGGGAACCCTTGCGACGTCGCCTGCAATGGAAACTTAACTTTAGCAACTAAGAGTACAGGAGTATTTAAAAACTGTATCACGACCGTCTATACTTCTCGTGATAATAATACTTAGGAATGATCTAAATTGGTAACATTTTATTTGAACATGTCTTTTGTAAGAAGTCTCTAACACTAATAACAATATTTGTTTACATCTGATCATAATAATATAATATCGTAAATAAAACATATGTTTTATTTACAGTCTTGAAACATCCCCCTCCTTAAAGGTCGAGTCTCCTTGGAGGATGTACTTGACGTCCGTGTCTCGTCTTGTAACTTGAGTTGTCCTCTTGTGGTTTTGGACTTCTGGTACAGACACTTGTTGAATTTTGTTCTGTCACATTGTCTCGTGATGGTGTACTTTTCAAGTCATCGGGAAATGGTAGAAGATGGAAACGGTTTCTTCTTAGGTCTCTTGTATCAGTCCTGACAATATATGATCGTGGCTCAGTTGCTGTTTTTACAACCGTTCCAGGTTTTCCCACGTCAGATATCCAAACGCTGTCTCCAGATTTCAAACTTCCAAGAGATTTGGCACCATGCCTGGAGTCATAATTTCTCTTGTACTTTTCTCTATAATTCCTCTCCCTTTGTTTCAAGTCACTCAAATCTGGCTTTTCTGTTAAAAGTCCTGGCAAAACTGGTAGGTTGTCTCGTAAACGTCGTCCCATTAGTAGTTGTGCAGGGCTAAACCCGTTCGATATTGGAGTGTTACGGTATGATAAGAGTGCCAGGTAAGGGTCTTCTTTATTTTTCTTTAGGATGCATTTTGCTACCTTCACTGCAGCCTCTGCAGCTCCATTACTCTGATGGAAGTGAGGGCTACTTGTCTTTAACTTGAAATTGTAGTCTTTGGAAAACTGCTGGAATTCCGAACCTTGACGCATGGTGAATTGGGTTCCGCTGTCGGTTCTGATTTCTTCTGGAATTCCATGACGACTAAATACTGATTTACATTTTTCAATGACTTGATGACTTGTCAAAGAACGTAAGGTTGCAATTTCAAAGTATCGTGAGTAACAATCTGTTAACACGATGAACCATTGACCACTTAACTTGAAAAGATCCATTGCTGCAATCTGCCAAGGTCTTGAAGGGAACTCTGCTGGAATAAGTGGTTCGTTTTTATTTTTCCTGTGCTGAATACATTGTGGACAACTTTCAACCATCTTTGCAATCTCACGAGATATTCCTGGCCACCAAAGACTGTTGCTGGCTCGGAGTCTACATTTTGTTATTCCCAAGTGTCCTACATGGATTCGTTTTAGCATTTCTTCTCTCAATGCTTCTGGAACATATATTCTTGTTCCTCGTAATACAAGATCATCAGCAACAGAAAGTTCTTCCTTTACGTTGAAAAATGTCTTTAATTGATCTGGAATTTCAGATTTTTCTGGCCAACCATCAATGATTAAGTTCCGTAATTTCATACAAATTGGATCTTGTCTTTGACAATGTAGGATTTTCTGTATGTTTTCATCAGTAGTTGGAACATTGGAAATGACTTGTCTCACGTAGTAAGTGAGTTCCTCCTCTAAGTCATAGTTTTCAGTGTCCTTTAGAGGGTTACGTGAAAGACAGTCAGCTGTTATTAGGTGTTTTCCAGGAGTATACACAAGATTGTATGAGTAACGCATCATTCTTAGTCTTATTCTCTGTAGACGTGGAGTTAATTCATCTAAGTTTTTTGACGTCAAAATCTTCAAAAGTGGTTTATGATCTGTCTCGATTATTATGTCCTTACCAACTATGTAGTCTTTCAACTTGTCACATGCCCAGGCGATTCCCAGAGCTTCTCGTTCTATGTTGGAATATCTTCTTTCTGTATCAGTGAGAGAACGTGATATGTAGCTTACTGGTTTGAATGTGCCACTTTTTTCTCGTTGCAACAATACTCCGCCGATACCAAATGATGATGCAATCATTGTTTGAAGATTAGGGTCATAGAAAGCTAAGTGAGGAGCCGTAGTAAGAAGATTTTTGATAGTATCAAAAGCTTTTTGTTGTGGTTTGTCCCATATCCATTCATTATTTTTGTTGAGTAGCTCGTGAATAGGCTTCAAAATCTCAGACCTATTTGGAATATATCTTCCACTAAAATTGATCATTCCAAGATATCTTTGTACACCTTTCACATCAGTTGGAGGCTCCATCTCAGAAATAGCCTTAACTCTCTCCTGATCAAGAGAAATGCCATCAGCACTCAGTTCAAAGCCAAGGAACTTAATTTTTGGCTTTGAAAAGACTGTTTTCTCTTTATTCAAGGTAATGCCTTCCTTTTGAAGCTTTTCTAGAACCTCCACCAAAACCTTGTCATGCTCGGCTTGTGTGCTTCCCCATATTAGGATATCATCAATGTAAGCTTTTACATTTCTTTGATCACCAAGAGCAGCATGGATGCGTTTCTGGAAATACTCCGGAGCTGATGTAATGTCAAAGGGGAGGACCTTGAACTTAAATCGTCCCCAAGGTGTCAAAAAAGTGGTGAGATCTTGTGATTTTTCTTCCAAAGGTATTTTGATTACATCTGATCATAATAATATAATATCCTAAATAAAACATATGTTTTATTTACAGTCTTGAAACAAAAACTAAATATTTTCAATTGCTAACACTTAATTGAGAGGGAAGTCGCAGTTTGATATTTCCAAAGCAGTTGAAAAACTCTACAAGTATAGCTGATCAGCTGTAACCTAACTTGGACTGGTGCAAAAAATTCAACAAAATTGTAAAAAAAAATTTCTAAAAATGGTTTGTGTACAGGACTACTTGAACAGAATATTAATTTATGGTATTCATAGCAGGATAGCTTAGTGTGGCTGTGGTGCTTGCCAAGGAATCAAAAGGTTGCAAATCAGTAGGTCTTCAATAGCAACATAGGTCCAGCTAGATCATTGGGACCTCAATGAATGTCTAGGGAAACAGCTGATTGTAGTCAATAAATTGCTATACATATCATCTCACTCCATTCTACACATAACTTGAGTTTGTATTCAGGTGGTGTTGGTGTAAAAACACTATAATGCTAATGATTATGATAATGTTTGATTAGTAAGAGTTTTTTAAAGAGGAAATGAGAAAAGTTTGATGTTCCCAAAGCACTATTGAGATTAAACGGCCACGCAATTACACGGTTTGCAGGCTGAAGAGGACATGGTCCTAGAACAGTCTCAGTCCGGTGGGGGTTTCGGCTCCCTGGACTAAAACATTACCAAACTATCTAACGACTTTGCATACCCTGGTACATAGTTCCACAGACACCTGTATGATTGTGCAGGAGACCCAGCATCACATATTGAGAATAAATGATTCCTCAATACCACAAGTAGACCTAAATGGTTTTGAAGAATCAAGGAGAGACGATTTCTCAATATCAGTTGAAAGTTTCAAGGAATGTAGAATCAGAATAATTATACACAGCACTGTACCTGCTCGTTGAATGAGACTGGTGACAGAGCTAGCTGACTGTTGGTAAGCCTGAGTACCCTGAGTGTAGGACAGCCTTCCTGCAGCTTCTCTATGTGTATACAGGCAGTAGTCTGAGCAACAGTCCTCACATTGGCCAGGTCCAGCACCTGTAGGTTGGGACAGTGTGCCTGCGACAGAGCAAGAAAACATTAAACTGTAAATGTATTGTTATTCAAAAGATTATTATGATGAGTATCCATCCACAATGTGATATGTTGTATGAGATCACATATTACTTTCAACTAACTTTCTTTAAATACTACAACCCTTGCTTTGCTTGAAAAACCCAGACTTAAAGACAATATTCCTTGGTAATACCAGGGAGTGAGGTTCCTATGATCACATTTTAAACAACAGGTAAAATGATTAATTTTCAAGATTTAGGTTGTTTAGGTTTTAAATAGGCCTATTGAATATTTGCGCTTGGTTGGCAAGTAGGCTAGTACTGACCACTTTGATGCAGAATTGTTCAACATCATCTGTCTTTGCTACTCCCATTAGCCTAATAATATTAATGGTAAAGTTTCTCTGTCCTACCTTTACAGTTTGTTCTCGTTAGATCTGGATCGATAAATAAAATTCATCTGAGCTGCAATGCAAAGAGTAGCCAGTACAACTAACCATACCTAATTAAAAACCTGAAAATAGTCTTTCTGATCTCAAGGGTTCAAGAAAGGACGTTGTACAGATTGTGAGTACTCACCGCAACAGCCGCAATGATCTGAGGTACTCCAGCCAGTTTGTTGTTGGACAATATGAGATGTGTGAGTCTCTCTCCCATTGTCTGAGCCAGATGCAGCAGTGACGCCATACTGACTGCTGACCTGGGGTTGTTCTGCTCAGGCTACAACATTAGACACACCAGTCAAACTGTTGACCTAGACTCTCTGCTGGCTATAAACATAACTCGCTAAAATTGTAACACATCGATTGCAACTATCGATAATCTCAATCCGGTGATTTCTCTACAGTTGCCTTACAGACAAATCAGTGGTATTTTGACTAGATGCTGAACATTTTCAGAGGGGTTTGGTTAGGCTGAAACAAAATTAACAACCTTATCTTGCTCTAGATCACACGCTAACCTTTAAAACCCAGCGTAACCTTTTCAACGCCAACCTAGAGAAAACTGCCAGGAAATATAACTTAGTGCAAGAGTTAGTAACAGGGACATAGTGAGCGTCTAGTTGGTTCATCTAGAGAAGCGAACTAACAAGTTTACCATACATAAGGTTTACCTCCAAAAGCTTCCTGGTGACTTAATTATGGCAACTAGAGCACCAATTGTAACACTCACATTTATGCTGGAAAGATCAAGCCTCTCCAGGTGAGGACAGTTCGATACCAGGAACTTAATGTTGTCCATGCTGAGACCCTGCAGACCGGACAGTCCCAGACCTTGCAACCTCTGACACGACGACGCCATCTTGTCTAGCACACTAGGGATCCCCGTGAACGACCAGCCACCTGCAAAACATATTTCAAAACTGTATTCCAAACAGACAATAACCATCGTCGATAATTGGTCAGTTAAGTCAAGTACCTAACATTGCTGATTTAAGAAATTCTTGGTACAAATTTGTTAACTCCCTTTTAGTGAAGACTGTTGACTCTGTTTAAAAGATTGTTGGTCCTTTGAACACCAATTAACTTATAGCGATAATACCAGTGTTTTAGTTTCACTTGTAGGGATTTGGTTTAAGGACAAACTAAGATAGGAAAATCTTTTTTGGTTTTGAGTAGTCAGTGAGCATCGAGTTCTATTTACCCCATAAAAACTTACTTATAACAAGAAAAACAGAGAACGTGTCATTTGGTACTAAATGAGTGACTAGTACTCTGTACATTGTCACAGAAGAATAAGATATACCAAACACAACTAGTCTTATGAACAAAGGTAAGCACTATTTATTTGTGTTGATGACTCACTCTATTAATAAATTGATAATTTGTTCTAATTAGGTCTATATGGTGTGTACTAATGAGGTGCATTTGTTATTCCCTTTACAGAGTACCTATAAGTGAAAAAGTTCTTCTATAAAACGGTGTAATCTCACTTCTCTACTTAACACCACTCGGAATTCAATATGTGACCTGACCTGTGTATATAAGGGGTTGAAAAGCAATAAATAGGCATCACAAATGTGGCTTTTACATTGAAAATATTTAGTTGAAATAACCAAATAGGTACGCTCTACTTCTCACTTATCCAGTATCTTTGTCCATTGACTAATAGACAAAGCGTTAGAAGACTAAGGTTAAACCCTAATGACTGAGGCTATTCTAGGGACCTTTTTGGCCTTGAATTGGTATTTTCAACAGATGCTGAGTATATTTGAGAAGATGAGCTTAGTTTTACAATTCACCAACCAGTCACAGTTTTGATAGTGAAAGTGGTTTGGAGTTATCAGAAATCAGAAACGTTTTATTGTCCTTCAACATTTACAACAAATGCAATAGACAAAAGTCAAGAAAATTCAGCTATTACATAAACAGCCTATTTTTAGGCAAAACAAAACAAGCCTAACAACAAGTCAAAATAGGCTATACTAATACATATGCTTACAAATAAAAAATAATGTGGAAATGTGAGGACATTAAAAGTTAACTTCATCAACCTTAAAATATTCTTCTAAGTCATAATAAGGATTTAAAAGTAACCAAACCTGAGCTCTTTTTTTAAATGAATTAAGGTACAATTCTTTGGCATTGATGCTAAGCTTATTAAATAATCTTAATGAAATAACATGGTAACTATTTTTACATTTACTTAACCTACAATAAGGCACGTCTAATAGGAACTGATTACGTGTGTTGTGTGAATGGATATTAAACCTGTAAACATGGGAACTAGTATTTTTCCCATACCCAAAGTAAACACATAAATATGTACAGATTAATCACAGTCAATATTCTACTTCTTATGAACAATGGCTTGCAATGCTCTTCAATTGGAGCTTTGTTTATTATTCTAACTACCTTCTTTTGGAGTATTAACACTTCACTTATGTGACTACTGTTTCCCCAAAGAATCAAGCCGTAGCTAATTATGGATTGGAAAAATGCAAAGTTATGTGGTGCAAGTAAGAGAATACTGTTAGCAGATTACTACAGTGGTTGTCTAGTGTGTTAAACCCATGTTTACTCACCCAAGTTCAACTCTTGGACCTGCGCCAGCCGGTTCTCGCAAAGCCACTGGAAGGTTCGGTCGTTCTTGACTCGGTCGCGACACCAGGTCGAGGCTAGGTCTATATGGTACCAGAGGTGAGGTGAGACTGCGACGTCGCGCCATTGTTTACACACTCGGGACATTCTGTCACAACAACAACGTTTACAAGATCACAAGGAGATGGTGTTTTTTTTTTAAGGATGCAGAATTACAGCTGGATAGTCTCAATATGAAAAATGCCTTAGGAATACATAAATTGCAAAAAAAGTACAAAGTCAATAACTCACAACTTACGGAACATTTTAAAGAGAATAGTTTGGCTTCTTTTTCACGGGTTCCATAAAAATGGAAAAAAATTAAAAAAATTAATTATATTACACTAAATGAGGGACCACTGGTCTAAAAGTTAGGATTGTTGGACTTTTCCAACAATCACCAATTAGCAACTTTACAATGCTGTGACTCTGTGGATTGAAGCCTACCAAGCTGTAAGCTCACTTATCTAAGAAAGAAAAATAATCAAAGGTCTTTCAGGCTTGAACTTTCTATCACATAGGAACACCTTCCACAAATATCCATGGAAAAATTCTTCCGCTGACATTATTTGTAAGTGTCAATTCAATTCAACATGACTTTCATCTTCTCTAGATTGAAGCTTATTGCCAGACCAGGAGTAATCTACTACTACAAGCATGAGTGAGTGAGTGGTCATGGAGAAAACACAGTACATACCCACACACACACTCTCCTTTGATATATAGGCCCTATAGATTGTTTTTTTCGTTCAATTTTTAAATTGAAAACAAACAACAAAGATTTTAAAAAATCACTGTCTTGTACGCAAATGTGCCTTGAGAAAAAATTCATGGGATCAAAGAATAATTTGCATGCCATATAAAATATATCTACACAAATAACTAACAAATTAAGGTTTTTGAACAGGTTAATTCTGAAAGGGATGATATACGTTCAAGTTTATTTTCTCAGATAGGACTAGATATTTTTTATTTCATCGTGAAATTTCAGATTTAATTAATTAATTTATATGAAAATGTGTCCATTTGACAACGAGAGGTCAAATGAAGTGAAATTGTAAAACAAAACAAAAATTAAGAGTGAAATTAAGTTATTTTTTTTTTTTAGTAAGAGTAATGTCTTAACAGACTTAAACCCATGGCTACCTTTTTTACATATTGGTTTCCTAAATATGCCTATTTGTGTTAGGCCTAATTATATTGGCAAATAAACAACTATTATGCTTTTTGAGCCTGGGGAGCTTAGACTTGTCTAATACTCTGTTGATTGAGGCCTATATACTTATTTTATTGACAATTTATACTAATTGCTTACCTTACAAGAAATGGAACACAGCCTTCAATCTTCGTCACCATGTAAAATATTTTGCTAAGCACAACTTTTGGCATCCTCTCGTCACCCCAAGGTCCCTGCTCAGCAGGCTCTACGTACTCATCCACCTCATCACTCTGCTTAGTTCTTCGTTTTCTCGTTTTCTGAGGTACTGGTGTGAGCGATTTCTTAATGCGAATCTTAATCCCATTCTGGTCCGGTGAAATTTGACTCTGGTACGTCGCAATGGTAGAGGGTGACTTTTTCTGACGCGGTTTCTTCTCCACCGACTTCCGTTTCCGCCCCCTGGTTTCTTGTTTTACTTTCTTTTCCTCTGTCCCTTGTTCGGCCGGGACATCGGTAGTCTCCGGCGAACACACGGTTTCACTACTCACACAATCACTACTCACGGTCCTTTCACTGGTTCCCGGTTCGACCCCTTCTTGACTCTCTCCTGTCCTTACGGAGTCACCGGTGCCAGCCGGACTCCACTCTCCGTTCTTTTCACCGCACTCAGCCATTATCACACCATTGTCTAAAGCACTCGGTATCACGTTCTCTACGGAATGTCCCGGACTCCTAAAGTCCACCTGAGGTTGAGCCATATGACTCTGTACTGGGCTTTGCAGTTGAGGTATACGAGGACTGGACTGGTAACCCTGATGCATCATCGCGGGACTGTCGTTGACGCAACTGGGAAGATTGGGAATGGGAAGAGGGGACATGTGGTCCATGATGGATCTACTAGGCGTAGAGGACATGGGTAAGGTATGACTGGAGGCCATGGGGGACATGGGTAAAGGGGAGCACGTGGACATGGTCATGGCAGCCGTGGACATGGGCAGGGAGTGACTCGACCCCATGGGAGACATGGAGAGTGGCGACGGAGACGACATCGGAAGTACCTGGTTGGACATGGATAAGTTTGTGCTCGGCGACATCGGCATACAGGCATTCTGAGGCATAGAAAGTCCTGAATTTCCTCCCATAGGCATAACAGAAGCTGAACCCATGGACATTCCGACGTTCGGTTGAATCGACATCCCACAGCCCATTGGTGATCCCATTGGTAAACTAGCATTTGGCATCGGTAAACTAGGACCTGCAGACATCTGCAGACCTTGCCCCGAAGACATGTGCATTCCCCCACCCATCATACTAGAAGAGGACATGTTCATCCCGGGCCCTGTCATGTTCATTCCTGATGGGACGCTTGACATGTTCATGCCGTGGCCTACATGGTTGGACATGTGGTTCATGCTCATGCCATGGCCAGACATCAGCCCTCCACCCATCAGACTCATTGACATCGGAAGGCTTGAGTTGGATTGAATGTTTTGTATTCCGTTATCATAGCAATACTGAGATGATAAACTCGACTGATCGTGACGAGGAGGATCCAACAGAAAGTCTTTGAGACAATCGTGTTCAGTGTCTGAAGCCGAAAGCGGAGCAAACAACGCCTCGTGAAAATCCCCATTAGGTTCATCCATCTTGAGGGGTTTAATGCACTTTAGTACTTAGAATATTTTAAGAAGCTGGTCTACATTTTAAACGGTTCATATAGAAGATGTTTAAAAACATCCCACAGAAGTGATACAATTTAAGTGTTCAAATTGCAGATTATCTTCATGAAGCCTTGCACTTCTTCACAGTTTTTCTAGATGTGAAACTATTTCAGTAGAATGCATTTGAAAACCTAAAACAAAAATCATAGCATTAGACAATAACTTATATATTTTTTTAAAGCGAACCCATTACCATTCTTAACCAATAATTAAATATGATATAATTGATTGTTAAATAAGTTTTTGAACTGTAAAATAAAGCGACTAATTTAATATTATTAGTTAATGGAAGGGAGCTAACAGTAACTAGATGTATCAACGACTATCAACTATTCCTTAAAAAGTAGCCTACATAGGTGATAACTAATTGACTAATTGGCGATAAATTCATCTTTTCATTTAGCATTTCAGTATAAATTATATAACATTTCAATTTAACCTTCCTAAAGATAAGAAAATGTATATTAATACATGGACACAGAATATTTCTTATTTTAGAATTGTGTTACTCTTTCATCATGGAGGGGTTCCCCCGACAATTAGGCCACCAAATGTTTGTTTTATTAACTATTTTTACTTGCAATCTAGGTTAGACAATGTTTTTTTCTCTGACCTTAACATTTGTTGGACTCTCTGTAACTAAACAACACCTTAGTCACTTATTTAAACCAACTTACATCTTCACCACTGAATATTTATGTTCACTAACTCTAACTTAATTAGGACTTAAGTTAAGCTTAATTTACATTTAAATAAACTATGCTAGCTTTAATTTTAGTTTGTAAGTTTTTAGTTTTAGTTTTTAAGAAATTTTTTTACAGAACAAAATTGTCATGGGCTATTATTTATAAAACTAAATTAACTGTAGACTTCCTCTTATCCGGACACCTTTTAACCGGACATCCGTTTAACCCGGACTACACTCAGATACAGAGCCGGTTTAACCCATATACGCGAACTACGCGGCCGCATATGGCGCCACAAAAAAGTACGGAACAATTTTTTTTTATGTGAAACAACGTAATTTTGTTTATTTTTGCTGAGAGTTTAAGTATTCAAAGCACCACAATAAAGGCATTTATTCTGTTTGTACCAACAGCACTTGAAAATGTGTCTATTGCACAGCACTACAACTCAAGGACTCAATGCCATTTATTTGCAGTTTCGATTTGAAGTGAGCCAGAGGTGCCCATCCCCCCCAAACCCAGTGGCGCAACCCCCCCCCCCCATTTATGCTGCTCTTTATTTCAACCTACCCTCCCCCCTCCAATTTACCTGGCAATTTCCCCTTTACCACATAAAACGAGCATTTAAAGTATTTAGTAAACTTGAGGTAGAGAAAATCAAACTTGCTGATAATCAAAATTAAATGTTTATTAGGAAACGTCATTTAACAATACAAAGTTATATCTAATTAATGGACGAATTATAAGTTTTTCAATTTACAATTATTAGAATCTGTATTGTCAGCCAACACGCGCTCAGTATTAAAGGCAACGTCTTCAAAACGTTCAACACTATACTCAGTGAATTACTCTACTCCAACACAGTACTGTAACTGTACAATATATTTAGGTGGTGTAAATTATTGGGCTTAAGAATTCAAATAACTTTAATTGCACGAATAGTAAAAAGTATCTTGTTTCAAAATTAGGTCACTAAATAGGGCAGACTTACGAGGCGTTGTTTGCCACTCCCAGGCTGCCTTCTACGTTCTACAATAATCGCCGGGCAAAATACCCACAATACAAGCACCACAAAAGGTTTTGTGACGAGGTATGGTAATCTTATAACTCATTTTAATAGCCCCAGGTTTGCGTTTTATGACTAATAATGGTAGTGTTTTGGCGGTTCTTTAACTCCACCATCGTTAGGCTTACAAAAGGATCCACTTTTGGAGGTTTCTTCAGAATATGTTACAAACATTAAACAAAAACACGAAACGATAACAGATAGGCATATCAATTCAAGGGGGTACATTGCCGCGGGCAGAACTGGACGTAAAGTGAATCAGGTTATGGCGGGCCGACTCTGGATTGTCGTCTGTGCTATCTACAACGATCACGTTATCTACAGCTTATATTGGACTAATTGTAGTGTAGTGACGGAGGAGCAGGAGAGTGTTGAAAATATAAAGGGATTCATAATTGAGTATTCCACTCAAAATTATTGACAACAATAACCTAATATTAATATTAATATGCTGGATATAAATGATGGTCTCAAAATTCTACATTACTGCGTGAAAGGAAATTTATTAATTACTTTGGAAGAGTTTGAAATATCTAAATACATAATACTAGGGACAGCACACAAATGTTTAATGAAAACATTCGATTAAATATGAATCCAATTATATTTTCAACACTCTTCTCAGTCACTTTCACTACAATAGTCCAATATCAGCTGTTGAAAACGCAGACGACAATCCAGAGACCACGTCGCCACGTCGGTCCATCATAACCTTATCCTGATTCAGTTTACTTCCAGTCTTGCCGAAGGCAATGTACACGCTTGAATTGATGGCCTATCTCCTATCTGTAATCATTTTGCGTTAAATTATCGTAACTTACTCTGACTACACCTCCAGAAGTGGATATTTTTGTAAACCTGACGATCGTTGAGTTAAACAACCGCTAAAACATATGTAGCAAGTAAAATTTGACCCTACCGTACATGTTAAGGATTGTCTAACAAGATGCGTTTTTACCATTCTTAGAAGCAATCTTAATTACGAATGGCAAAATGTTCTTGGTGTTGATAGTGAACTACCGTATTTAGAAAAACTTTTTTCGGGCTGCTTATACAAAATTATTCATTCATTATGACAGCTAGCAAAAAAATATCCCCCCCAAAATCCCCTTAAAAAAGCCCCCCCCCCAAAAAATTCCCCCCCCTCTGGGCACCCCTGAAGTGAGCTGACGCTCGGCAGTCGGCAGCGTACAGCGCCAGTGCAACACCTGTGGGTTTAATTTCACGACTCATGCATGCTCGAGATAAGGAAGCGCGCCACTTGTCACAACAAGAAACTTCCCACTCCTTTCACTCCCTTCTGCTTGTGATCCTAGAGCAGAGCATTACGTTGTATTGCACTCTTTTAGTTGTATACGTAGGCCTATAACGTATCGGTATCGTATTGGCATTGTTTTGATGATTCATGATTGTTGATAAGTGAATGATTACGAGTGTTTGAAGTTTAATTTATAATTAGCGTATTAAATAAGAAGAAAGTATAAACTGAATGAATGAGGAAAACATCTTGTGAGCCGACACTAAGAATAAATGGCAGAAAAAAGTGGCGCTGATTCGGGTGTTCGCTTAACTCTGAAAAATTCCTAGAACCGGCCCTGCTCAGATAAGAGGAAGTGTACTGTATTCACTTAGACTAACCAACACAAGTAGACTTCTTATCCAATTGTAAAATCTGAAGCTCGTTTTCGATGACTAACTTAGCTCATGTTGGTATCACTGAACGCTAATGTAGAAAAAATGTTGTTTCTATTATTTTACGGTTAGTTCTATGATTTGTGCTTTAGCCTACTTTTTGGTTGTAGCCTATAGCTTACTCGCTCCGACCCCAGGCTTCACTTTCCTAAAGTGAGGCTTGAGGTTGGAAGAAGGTCTTTTTCTTATTTCGGCCCGCAGTTGAACAATGGCCTCCCTAAAGATATTAAGAATTCAAAATCTTATAACTCATTCAGGGCCGCAATAAAAAAAAATATAAAATTTATATTGTAAATTTATTCTGTTGACATTTTTTGTATATTCTTATGTAAATATATTGGGATAGGCCTAGTTTAGATTTAGTGACTTGAGTTAGTTTGAAAAACATGTAATATGGAACTCGCTTGCAAATAAAGGCCTTTTTATTTATTTTTTTATGTAAAGGCCTAACCAGGTGATGAACTATACTGTTTATGATTAGATTGTTTCGTTTTATTAAACAATGTTTTAAAAAACTGAAGAAACAAAATGTAAAAAAACCAGCCCCTTGCGGTACCAGAAGCAGTTAGGCCTAGCATTTAAATATATTGTGTTCAACTGATCAATAAGTTAAGGATGATAAATCTACTAAGGGAGTGTGTTTAATTTATGGTTATATTGTACGGAAGTGTAATTTTGATATACCTTTTGTGAAATAAACTAATTATATTACAATTTGTTTTTTTATGTTTTTTATAAGCAAAGTAACTTAACTTACATTTATGTTTTAAGTAGAATACAAAATGAACTGACAAAATAAATAAATAGGCTATTTAACCCTTTCAGTGCTATGGAAAGATAGATCGTTGTTCACGACTCATCCAAAAAGCGCTAGGCGACGATATATCGTGCCGGCGCGACTTTCGATCATGTGAGTTTAAATGAGCATATCGGTTGACTCGGTTATAGTTTCGAAACAGTGATGGTTTCTTACGATTCCTCATATGATCGAGGCCCGATATAACTTATCGTTCCTTAGCACTTTTCAGATTAAATATTTTATTTTTAGGCTACCGGTACGGATTTTTTTCTCGCACACTAGACTTTGCCCACGTGGCAAGCCTAACACTTTTCGGATGAAATAAGTAAATAACTCTAGCATTTTTTAGAAAATTACAAAAAATTATTCTAGCATCGAAAGGGTTAAAACAATGGATATAATGAATAGGTAAGTTTATGTCTTATAATTATCATTAAAAGTCTGCAGGCCTAAAGTAGGCCTACATATACCTATTTTCATAAACAGTTGGTACACCTATGAAACATTACTCATACACCTACAGTAGACTCCCTCTTATCCGGACTCCTCGGGACCGAGGCCAGTCCGGATAACGGATTTTCCGGTTAAACCGACGTCCCCAAAAACTCGTTAAAACGGACTATTTACTGTGATATTCTACTTAAACTTAGGAGAGCATTGTATTAAGACACGTGATGACTGGTCTCAAATCTTTCCCACGAGAACAGACGTTTCAGTACCGCCCACTTCCTGCCGATCTAGTCCGGTTAAATCAATGTGCTAATACAAATTTTCCGGTTAAAGAGATGTCAATTCCGCCGAGTGTAGTCCGGTTAAACCGATGTCCGGTTAAAACGTGTCCGGATAAGAGGGAGTCTACTGTAGGCCTATATGGTTACTAGTGGGATATTTTTAATCACACATGTGTTAGCGATTTATTTATCTTTTGGCTATTAAAAGCAGACACAAATCATTGCCCCAGTTTACAGTAGGCCTAGGCTCGAATAATTTAAAATAAAAGGTTTACCACATTTACTGGATCAATTATATTTTGGCCGACTTCATACAAGGCATTAAGTAAGTTTAGCAACCATGTAGGCCTAATCAGTTGTCGACGATACTTAAGTTACCTGATCCCAAATAGCATAATTAAGTTAACTTAAACTTTAAGTCATTAGTTAGGCCTACAGTAACTTAAACTGCTTAAGATTTGTTTATGATCTGAGACGTAATGAGCGCATCACTCCTTTTTATGTTGATTCTAAATTACTAAAACTACTTATGTGAACTAAGATCAATAAAAATTCTTTTGATAACCTATTCAATATTAAAAACAAATTTTCCAAAATATTTTTTAACAACTTTAAATTTGTAGCTGAAGAAAGTGTAGGAAACTCGAACGTTCTGTTTCAGTTACTTTGCGTATGCCTCATCATAGAACGGCAGTTTACAACAGAGCGTTTGTTGTTTCTGCTTGTCGCCTTTGGAATGATCTCCTTCTAGCCATTGAAACCCTTGATAGTAGTCCCCGGTTTGTGGCAGCACCAAAAATATGTTTTCTGGATGTATGGCCATGGTTGGTATGTCCTAGGCGTGCGCTTGGTTGTTCACTGACGTGTGCATGTCGGTGTGCATGCGAGTTTTTGCAAAAGTGTGTGTTTTGTGTGTGTGAGAGGTGTTTATGTAAAGTGGTAAATATAAAAGTAATCTATGTTATCTATCTATCTATCTTTTTAAAGTTTATTGTTTCTTTTTACATTAAATATTGTAGGCTATATAGACTGTAGTATTGGTTTTGTACAGTAAATGTTTAGGTTTTTATCCACAGGTTAAGTGTAAGAGAGGGCCATGTGTCCCTAACTTTGCCTGTTTAAATAGGGTAAAATCATTTTAATTTCAATTCATTCATTTTATTAACTGTCAATTAGGCATGAAAAAAAAATTAAAAAAAAGACTAATATAATATAAATACCGTACCTCTTCACAGCTCTGTAGTTTCTGTAGATTACAGCTGTTTCGGCATTAAAATGCCATCCTCAGATACACATACATCCACCTGAATTGGCGTCGTTAAACTGTACACATACACGAACACGATAAAAACATAAAAACACGTAAAACAAAAGACAGGCCTGTCGCGAACATGATTGCTACGAGTACGGAAGCTGACTGGACAACAGCTAGTTCGTTCCAGCTGTGGCGGTATTATCTGCTGGACTTTGATCCCTTGTCTGTGGCTTGCTCCGTTTGATAATGTTATTAAAAATGGTGTGGGATTTAAATTGTAATTGATCATTTAGTATGGGCTCAGTGCTGCTTTTTATTTTATGAGCTTTATAAATCTCATATTCTTCAAGGGTATCTAATCTATTTCCATTAATACAGGCGTGTTGTCCAAATCAAGTAGGTCGTGATTGTTATCTACCAGGTGTTGCGCGAACGTGGATTTTTGTTTGTCAGTTTTTCCGTTAGGGCGATGTTCTTTGTACCTAATGCTAAAGGATCGTCCTGTTTTTCCAATGTATGTACTCGGGCAACTAGCACATTTGATTTTATATAGGCCTACACCTGATTGGTCAGCTTTATTTTTATTTATCTTAGGTTTTAACTTATTAATAACTTTATTGCTAGTTCTGAAAGCTAGTTTGATCCCATGCTTTTCCAACTCATTCTTTAGGCTGTGATGTAGGTGGTGAGAATAATCTACGCAGACGAATTTTTTGTTTTGCGGGGTTAAGTTCTGATTTTGATTTTGTTTATTTTTGTATTTCTTTACTAAGTTGTCAACCATTTGAATATCATACCCATTAGATACGGCGATTTGTTTGATGATTTTCAGTTCTCTATTGTAGTTTTGCTCTGTCATTGGGACATGTAATAGGCGATATGCCATGCTATTGTAGGGGTGGTAAGACGTGCTGTGAATGGTTTGGTTTGACGTGGTAGGCTTTCTATATATACTAAAATCTAATCTGTTATCCATCTTTTCTATTGTAATGTCCAGGAAATTGTTCAGTTTCCATGGTAAATTTCAAATTAGGCGTTATATTGTTGAGGAACTTGTGTAGAAGGTAGAGCTGTCTTGTGTTACCCTTGAAAATAAGAATTGTGTCATCAACATAACGGTGATATTCCGTTATCTTGTTTTTTTGTTTGTTCAGGTCTGAAAATATATATTTATTTTCAATATGGTTCAGATATACGTTGGCGAGTAAACTTGATAAGGGGGAGCCCATTGCCAGGCCTGTCTTTTGTTTTACGTGTTTTTATGTTTTTATCGTGTTCGTGTATGTGTAGGCCTACAGTTTAACGACGCCAATTCAGGTGGATGTATGTGTATCTGAGGATGGCATTTTAATGCCGAAACAGCTGTAATCTACAGAAACTACAGAGCTGTGACGAGGTATTTATATTATATTAGTCATCAATTCAGCTCAGGGGCTAAACCATGTCTATTGAAAAAAAAGAACTTAAGCTACCTACCTAAGTTTACTTAGTCAAAGCAAAAATAAAAATGAAGGCTAAACTTAGTCGAAAAAAATATTTAATGCATCAGTGATATTTTAAGCTTAGCAAAGCTAAGAGGCTTTAAAGCCTTTTCACTCGAGGCCACTATTTGTCTGCCACAGCTTAAATAGGTAACTTAAGTTATCGTATTGTCTTAAATTGGGGCCTTCAGACACAGCCACTGCAGTTGTCTGTCAGGACACAGTGGCCAAGCAGTGTCTCCTCGCACAAGTTACAGAGGGTCTAATTTGAAAAGTACCCAGAAATTTAAATAAGTTAGTAACACGAGAAGGAGATGTTCATTGCTCATCAGCATTTTATCAACTAGTCTTACGGTGGCTAATGGTGAGAGTGGCTTGTAATTTGCCTACCATCAACTGTAGTTGTCCGGCTGGTAACTGAAAGTGGCCTCATGTGAAAGGGCCCTTAAGTTAGTGAGCAAAAAATGATCTACTTAACTTATTTAAGTTTAGGCCTACATTTCATAGCCGAATTTAAGGATTACTGATTATACGTTAGGCTCCGGATAAAATACCGGTAATGCCAATAATTGACAACAACTTTAATCTCTAAAAGGCCTAAATTAACTTATTATTGTTAACTTAACCTATGAAGTTAGCCTAACCGAAACCCAAACCTACTGGGATTGAATCCCTCATTATGAATTTGAAGATGTGTTTAAAACAGCATTTAGGCTAACTTATTATGGCAGAGAAACATTGAAGTGTCTATTTTCATCTCACATAAAAAACAACATAGGAAATATGGAAATTAGGCCATTACAGAAACCTGAATAACTTACTTACCAATTTATTAACTTATTACCAAAAACACTTTACATTTCCTCGTTAAAACTGTTACAATAATGAACAACTACAGTAAACGGATTCAACAGGCTGAGTGGGCTGAGCAAACCTATTCATAGGCCTATTAGGTTATCTATTAGAATGCCTAGCCCTAGGGTAGAATGTATAAGATGATTCAAATAAAGAAATTACAAAGCGTTTAAGTACAAGAACGTTACATAGTAGTATTGTAGGTGATATGAATCACAAATAAATAACGCTTAATAAGGATAATCATCATTGAAATATAAAAAAAATCGAACATAACCCAAATGCAAAAACAAACTGGCCCACTAACTTAGGTGCCAAGACCACGGATCCCGATAAGGAAATCAGTAATCCTACAGTTTTCTGGATAAAAAAACTTGTCGTAAGAACCTCCTAATAACACGAAACACAGGCATTAGCACTTCACTAGACACAAAAGTAAATCACAACTGATAACGAAACAACTATTTACCATTGGGCCTTTATGCTAGGAGTCCAGAGCAGTGTAAGTAGGCTCTCTCTGTCATCGTGTACTTCAGCTGAAAACACGCAAAAATGGTCCAGTAGCACACCGAATCACAAATGGCAATTAGTATACCTTCTAAATAACACAGTTTTTATGATCCATGTATTAATTAAGCTTTGTGACACGAAAAAAATGTTGACTTCTCTCATTTCAAAATATTTACGATAGTGCCACTGACCTTCGATCAACAACACTGCCACAGGATGCATCTGGCGGCTTTTAGTTGCATTACTGAAGGGTCCATATTTTCAGCTGTCCAAAACATAATTGCCACAATACCATTAATTATCTAAACAAGTTATACTGAATACTATGTATGTATAAGATAAATAGAGAATAAGATATAATTTTTACAATTAAATGTTGAAGATTCGAGCTATTTAAATTTAAGGGTTGAATAAAATATTATCAAACTATAAGTAATCATAGTTTAAGTCATAATCAAGTCATTGATTATGTATACAGTAAGTACTATATCAAATTCAGTCCCGTCCTTCAAATAACTTAGGATTCCTCATGTACGCTTTTATTAATATTAAGTCAAGTTATTTATCTCCTTCAGAACATTTTTAATCTGAAGTGTATAACAGTATAATTATTAATGCGCGAAAACTCCTAGTAAAATAAGGTCAAAAGAAAAAGTACACTTTTAAAAAGAAAGTTTTTAAGAGCTCTCTCAGCCTATTAAAAGTGTATACAGTCAGCCACTGAAGAATTTTATTTTTCAGACTTTGATGGCTAACAATAGCACTTCTTTGCGAAAGTTTATTTAGCCATTTCAGTCCCAGGACTTCATAATAAGATTTAGTTTTATCTTCCTGGATAGGCTTCCACGGTAACTTAATGTAGAATCGTGGTCTTCTGTGTGCGAAGTCAAGTCGCCCTGAAGATGGCACTCTGTATCGAGGCCGAAACGTCGGTGAGTTTTGGTGTTAGTGGTTCATCATTTTTTACACGGTCGTCACCAGAAGACCACAATTCAAATATTTAGTTTTTTCTAGTCTAACATAAAGGGATGTCAATTTTCCCTTTAAGTATTAAAATAATGTGTATTTATTCCAACGGAAACCCCATTACATTGCATTGATTCATTACAAAAATAAACAATAATAATAAAACACACTACCACAAGGATGCATCTATGGCGGCTTTTATACTCATATCCACCATATTGATTAAGCATACTCCCTTAGATATCATACTTAAGAGTGTGGGATTTCAAGTTCTTAAAACTATAACAAAATGTTTTAAATAAATAAACTAACAACAGTCAAATTCTTAAAATCTACAAAAATGGGTCTACACAAGTGCTCATTGGAATTTGCATTTGCCATGATCCTGATCGGCTTCTTCGCTGTATTAAAAGAGCATGCTATGACATGATCATGATGACTTCCCAGACAGCACACTTTATCCCAGGGACATCCCATAGTAGTCCCATATGTCCTGAGAATGTCTCGGGATATGTACGCTATCCTCAGGATATCCCGCAAAATCCCGGGACGAGTAGGAAATCCACAGGATATCCTACAATATACCGTAATGTCCCGGGATTTGTAAGCTAACCTCAGGATATCCTGTGAAGTCCCGGGATATGTACGAATGCCATAGGATATCCCAGAATGTCCCATGACATCCCGGGACATGTACAAAATCCACTGGATATCCTCTAATGTCCCGTAATGTCCCGGTAACAAACTGAAGAAAAAAAAATACTACCACTGATGAAATGTATATCTAAATTTAAATGTTCAACAAGGCCAATATATAATTTGTTTTTTTCACTAGTGCTTTCAGAAACTTTTGGTTTCCATCTTCAGGCTGTGTTTACACTAGTACAAAAAGTAAATGTTTACTTAATAAATTAATTTTAAACAAAGTTAAAACAGATGATTTAAAGGATATTGGAAAAATAAAAAATAATATTAGAAAAATTAATCTTTTGAATTTCGGATATGTTACAGTGTTGTTCTTGATGTAATTATTTTCAGTAATTCCGAATTTATAATTGGCCCGTCTTCATTATTTAACAAATAATTTTGGTCTGTTTTTTTTTCTAAAAATAAGATTCCCACGCATTAAGATGTTGAGGTTTTATAATTTATTTTAAAAGTTTAAGGTTTCCCAGATTGAAAATATGTCTTGTTAATACTATGGCTAGCAAAGGTTGACTTTACTTTACTGGCATATTACTACCACTGAGTTCAGGAAAACTAGAGTTCTATCATAGTTGTGTGAAATGTGAATTTAATTCTAACTTTAGATTAATAAAACAACCAAAAACTAATTTTAATCATATAACAATCAATTATAACAGTGCTAATCTAATGGTGATTAAATAATCTATATTCAAATACCAGTATCCTCTCCAACTACCAGAAAAACAATTCAACTACAGTACTTGAGGCCTAAACAGATTAACAGATTCATATTATATAGCATATACTGTAGTATCAAAAATATTTTAAGTATTGCGACCATTGCAACTGTCGGCTACTCTTTAACCACTTGAAAACGCCCATAATCATCAAGCGCAGATAGCTCAGGAAGTAAGGTAAGAGGCTCATGAGGCGAAGGTACCAGGTTCGAAAACCGTCTGGGCCAAAAACTTTTTTCTCGTTTTTTTCTTCTAAATTTGTGTTTATTAACTATTTAATCAATTTACTAAACTTATAATTAAGCTTTTCATACTAAATCTATATTATTTTGTGTTTTATATGTTCAGGCCCAGACCACACTTTATCCCAGGGACATCCCATAGTAGTCCCATATGTCCTGAGAATGTCCTGAGGACTACCCTGGGATGACCTCGGATGTCCCACGGATATGCGTGTGAGCTTATCCATAGGACATCCCCGGGCGGGGACATTACGCATTCCTGTGGATATCCTGCGATATCCCAGGTTGACCATAGGACCACTATGGGATATCTTGCATATCCTGTCGCAATATCCGTGGGATGTCCTGAGGAGAAAGTGTGCTGTCTGGGTTATGTCCAAAAAGATTATCCCATTCCCATCCTTAAGTGCTGATTTGAAAAGTGCAAAAGATAAGAATTTTCTTTTTAGTCAAAAAGGAACTAAATTATTCTGTTTTCCGACAGTTGCTTTAAGGCAGAAGAAGACCACCGACCCCTGCTACATTTGTCTTCGTTGCTAAGACATATCTTCAGAAGTTTGAAAGCATTAATTTGGACCCCTATGCCTATAACCCCCAACTTATGGTGAATTCTAAATGAGCAAGTTAAGTTGTAGAATCCTCCTTGAATTATCGCTCTAAGTTGGAACAATGCATTATAATTTTGAAGGTGAATGGTTCTTGACCCCATCTCTTTTCAGAGAGCATGGAACCCTCTGAAGTTGCGTCTTGGACGACTTAGCCACTCCTATACCATTTGCTTTCCATTTGCGATTATTATTAATGTTTTCTCAACAGGGAGTTGACTAAAAAGTTTAAGTTTGCTTTGAACAAATTACGGAAATTTAATAAAAGAAACGTCTTATAACACTTAAAATAAATTATACTTAACAAATTTCCCCAAAGGGAAGTAGCTTTTTTTGTAGGTGGCACGATCAATATGAATTTTTCATTTTGATATCTCTATAGAGGCCAAAAACACTATTCGCTTGAACTGTTATATGTATGTGTGTAGTTAACTCGGCAGAGGTCGCACTGAATTAAAATCCTGAGGAGGCACAAACGGCCTTTTAGACCGGGTGTACAATTAAAAAACATTCGATCAGTATACAGGAATCTAAAATAACTAGTAATTTAGTAATTTTATTACCAGGGCTGATTCAGTAAAATGGGCCTGGGTCTGTCGGGCCCATTTGAGTGAATAAGGGATTTTTGGTTTGTTGGTGTGGGAAGGAGGGTGTGCTAGTAGGAGAAACATTTTCCACAAGGAAGAGGTTAGAGCCCCTAGAGGGGACATTATCTCTGGGCCCTGCAAGCCCTCGTGTTGCCTGCAAACCACAAGCTTGATTATTTTAATTTGACTTCTGTCCCACACACAGCACTGAGAGTCAGAGGATACATAGGCAGGCAATAATCGACTCCTAAATAAATGTTCTCAGTATTTAATTAAACCGAACATTTTCAGTACAAATTCTCTTGAGCCATGGGATCCATACCGTACAGTAAATAATTTCAGATAAGATCAAAGATAAGGCTGACTTAAGCAGAGGTTATGCATTGGCTCCCATGTGGATCCATCGGTCAAAACTAATGAGATTCTTGTTACAATCAAACAATGTTTTAGTTCAAACAAGTCCAACCATAGTGTAGTGTAATAGGGGATCAAATATTGTGAAGAGAAAGTGTTTGGCAATGTTGTGCGAGTAGGCTGGAAGTGTTGTTTACTTGTTTTGCTGGCCTATAGAAGGCCGCTGCTTTAAGTACACCAGTGCACTTGATTTGATCTGGGGGATCACTGGGATCACTTTTGTGTGGTGTATCGGGGGTAGAGGGTCCAGGTAAGATTCTTAAGGGGCTTAAAGCCTTTCTCCAAATTGGGGTTTCGGTTTTATCCTAAACAATCATCACTATTCCAGTCAACTCTTCCTTTTTAATTGTCACTTATCTTTGCATTCTTTTTATGTTTTTTGTAAGAGAGTGTTGTTGAGTTTTATTTCCTGAGCTACGTCACCCAAAGTAACTGTGGGTAAACCTCCAGTCGGCCATGGTTACCTACCGTTACAATGGTAACTCTCACAAACACGTTGTTTTAATTAAATTTACCTAATTGAATTAAAAGGAGAGTAACACTTAAGATTGCGAGGCCATTGACTTTACTTCTCTCAAAATGTTCGTTCTCTGCTTAGTTAAGTTAGGTCTCTTACACCAAGCTCTGTCTGGTGACAGGTGAGTTGTAAATCAGACCGGTTTCTAACAATCTATCCACAATGCTTAGGAGAGACCACTATAAATTATTTTGAATGATTTTACATGGTCCTTTTAACACTTTTATGACTATTTCATTTTTTAATTCCGATGGAAGATTATATATTTTTTTAATTCGTCAAAAAATTTTGTGATAGTACCTCCTTGCACCAATTATTATGCCAAATACTGATAGGCTATAGAATCTAGATTATATTTGTTTCTTAAATAAGTTTCACATTTACTATACATTTTCCTCTTTTCTTCATATGATAGGTCATATTCCCAATTAAAATCTAAGTCTATCCTTGAGTGAAAATTTAAAAACGTAGCCTACGTTTTCAGGAAAAGCACTTTGCAAATTTTTCCCCCTTTTTTCAAAACTTTTATTTTTTTTTTATTTCATTAACATTTGAAGTTTCATAAAATGTCCATAATAACGCAATATCTTTAGTAGTTTTTTTTTTTTTTTTAAGAGCATCTTTAGTGGAAAAACACAAAATCCTGTCACGACCATAACGGACGTTTAAATGAATATTAAGAATGGTTAGTATTATTTTTATAACTATGTTTTGCTATAAACTAATTTACTTTTATGACCATTATACAATAAAAAGGTCACTAAGCTTTTGGTATATTTGGTCTTACCAGAAAAAAATTAAAAAACTCAAAAAATTAAAAAAAAAACCAATACAATCTTTTTAAGTTTGTATAACTACGAAAAAACTTACCTGAGACCCAAAAAATCATTATGTTTGTATAGAGGTGTGCATCTTTTGTGTATAAAACATTGAAATATGACTATATTTTAATTTTTGAAATTGTTATGATAGAAATCATAAACGTGATGGTCAGGGACAAGCGGTACTGTCGTGAATTGTCTGGAATAATCTAAATCTTTCTAAACAATCCTTCAATTATACTGTTAGTTATAATAAAAATATGTGTTTCAATTGAACTAAACTGTTCAATTTACAATTATATTAAAGTTATTGTCACGACCAAACACACTATAATCCACAAGGCTGGATTGGTCGTGAAAAAACCCGCGATAGTCGTGAAATTACGTGTTATTTGGCCCTGTTCTGGTGGTAGCCCTGCACCTCATGTTCGAGGATACAAAGTGGACTTCTAGGTTAATCTAGCAATTGAAATATCTTATAAACAAAAATTAACACCATGTCTACTTCATTGAATGACTACGTACGGTCATGGACACACCAAAATTACAAAAAACACAATCTTTCCTTTATTAATCTTGTAATTCCTCCTTTCAACTCGAAACGACCGGCACTACAATCCTGACGTACACCCCGAACTAGTCTCTCAAACCAACTGACTCCATCGACGCCAGGCTTGCCACTGTCATGCTCCAAAGTTGAAAATCTTTCCCAAATGGTCGTGACGCCAAATCGAGGGACAGACTTATTTTGTCATGGTAGTCAGTTTGCAATGACAATAAAATTATAATATGCTCCTTTTTTGTAAGTTTAATAACCATTGATGACATAAAAATATGGCTTTATATATTTCGGCATGAATAATGCAGTCTAAAAACAGTGTGAAAGTTGGAAAATGTACCCTAGGGACACGCCATGGTCGTGAATTTCGAGACTTTAAAAATACAAAAAAAATACCTAGAACCTATTAAAAACCAAATAAATGTGTGTAACATGTTGCCCCCGTCCCAACAAATATTAAAACACATAATAATAAACTACAAATCCAGTATCTACGAAGTAAAAGGCCAGGGACATGAAAACGTACGTTTTTAAATTTTCACTCCCTTATCGTCTCAAAAATCCTTTCGGGCTTCGCCAGTGGATTCAGTGGCTCTGGAATTTCCCATGTTAACCTTATGAGTATTCATATTTTCAAAAGGAAAAGAATTTCGACAGCTATTTCAGCAAGACAATTGGTGCTAATAGCGTTAAAAAGTTATGAGGTTTACCAACAGGGTGCAGCACTATTATTTTTTGCATAACAACTTGTGAACTAGTCTAGTAGCAACAGAGAAAGCTGTGATATAAGAGTGAGAACTGTCAAAGCTGGATTGTTTACAGTTATGTTTGTTTTAGTTTAATAATTGGTGACAAACATTCAACAGAGATTCTTCGATACTTGCTGTGTGTTTGATAATAATGCAATGGAATACTCTGTAACAATAGACTATAGACAATACAAATTATTAAAAATATATCGATAATGGACATGATCTATTTTTATGTCCTCTAATTTTAATGCTCCGAAAAGCATACCTACACTGCCCATACACAGCAGAGTTTGTTTATACACAGCAGAGTATTAAAATGGAAAGATGAGCCTGCTGGAATGTGTTGTTCTGGTGGACAAGTTTCTTTACCTGTATTAGAAGAGCCGATACAGCTATAAAAAAACTATACTTGGAGAAGCTGGAGAGCCGCGGCATTTTCAGTTTCAAGATTTTATGTTATAAGATTTTTTAGTCGGTGATTAAAAAAATGGTTTTCATTTAGTTTAATTGTAATTTAATCGCTGTAGAATATTTAGTAGTAACATGATTTTTTATCTGTGTGTGACACAATGAATAATGATAATATCTTATTTTTGTGATTGTTGGCGAAGCCACTACGGATAATTATTGTAATGATTGTATTACTCTGTTTATTTCTTATGCTGTATAAGGTTATTCCAAAAGTAAGGTCCGATTCACTGTAACTAGTTGAAGTGGGCACCAAGGACAAAACACGCATACACACCGATTCCCGTAATGCCTTGCATGTCAAGCGCCGCCATTGGTGTTATTTTTGTTGCTATGTGCTGTTTATAGTGTCAGTTCACAATGTTTAAGACAATTGATCGGTTCGCCGATTGTAAAGTAAGGGCAGTGATACGGTATTTGTCTGCAAGAAACGTTTCAGCGGCAGAAATTCATCAGCAGAATGAAATTTACAGTCCTAACATAATGAGTGACAGTAAAGTGCGCAAGTGGGTGCGAGCTTTTAATGAAGGACGGGAAAATGTACACGATGAATCACAATCTGGCTGACCATTAGTGATATCAGATGCGTCAGAAGATTTAGTTGATGCGGTTGACCAAAAATTTGTGAAGATCGACGATTCACTATTTCAGATCTCAAATTGTTTTCCACTTTTCTCACTTTTTTCGCCACCTAAAGGAGTCTCATGGCGGCAATCGCTTTACCACAGTTGATGAAGTTAAAGAAGCAGTTAAAAACTGGTTATCTTCGCAAGCGACCGATTTCTACGACTTAAGCATTCAAAAGCTTGTTGAACGGTGTGACAAATGTTTGAATAGTTATGGAAATTATGTAGAAAAATAGACAAATAGGAAAGGAATGTAAATAAAACAATTGTTTTGAAAAAAAAACATTAATTTGTTTATCTTAACCGGACTTTACTTTTGGAATAACCCTCGTATTTATAGTTATACCATCGCAGGCATAGCCGGGGGTACACACTAGTGACAGATATATATTAACTTTTGGGTTACTTAGTAAAATTAAAACATAAGTTTTCAAATTGACCAGCTTTGAAACTTTTAATATGTTTACTATAGATAAGAATCTACCAGATCTACCAGTATGCCAGAAGGTGTCAATTGTAGATATTTTTCAAGCTGTACATGTTTCGAGCTTCAATACACGGTTAATCTTCACCAGCATTCTTGTATGTAAAATTTATCACATTGAGAGATAACTGTCACTATTTACAGGAAACGCACACATATATATAGAAATAAACATTACAAGTTTTTGCTTGCAAGTATTTACACAGGTTTGCGTAGCGTACACGCTCGATTAAGTAAACCTCGACCGGACAACATTTGTAGGCCTACTTACATCTCTCGATGTGATAAACTTTACTTACAAGAATGCTGCTGAAGATGAGACGTGTATTAAAGTCTGAAACATGTACATCATGAACAATATATACAATTGACACCTTCTGGCATAAGTAAGTAGATTCTCATCGAAAGTAAAAATAAAACATATGTGTGCCTTACAACTTCTATCACTTTTAAAACTAATTGAATTGCAGTTCTTTTAGGCTCTAAAACTCATTTGGTAAGATATGACAGCAGATAAAATATGAATCTCATAATTTTATTTAAGTTAATACCACTGATAACAATGTATCACAAAATGAAACTGAAAGAAACAATAACTGGTTCAACAGATTTAAATTGTACTTATTACAGAAAATCGAGGTTAAATTTATTTTTAAATAGGAACTATAACAATATATTATCTGTACAAAATAGCATCAACAAAATAAATTCTAAAATAAATCAACAGTATTTCTTATTACTTTCAATTAGTGATTTCATATCAAGCTTTGATTTTAAATACATATAGACAATATTCTAGGAAGTATAGTATAAATATATATCTAATTAAATACTTATACCTTGGCATATTTCGATTTTTTTAAATGGAATGATACAAGACAAAATATGTAATAAAATCAACAGTGTAGTGTAGCTACTAACGTAAAACATATTGAAATAAAGTGGAAAAATATATATTAAAAATAGAGATAAAAAAAATTAAAGATTTTTATAAAATCTCGGCAAAATGTTAAAGCTCTTCTCACACTCTGTAAAGCTTACAAAATATGAGTCACAAATTTTACTCACAGTCCTGGTATAATATCGATGTATTCATAAACATAAAATAAATTTCAAACATAGTCACTGAATGTTTAATGAATCTAATGCCATTATATGGAAATGATTACCTAGATGATTCAATCCATGCAATAAATTAATTTTTTTTAAATATAACTTAAATCTGCATAACAATGATATAATTGAATACATTAAAAAACACCTTAATTATTACTCAGAGATATGCGTTATTGCTGGAACAAATCAAAGTAAGAAATTAATCATACAAAATTTAACTGAACAAATACAATTTACAATTCTTCTATAACAAAGTTCAACGCAACAAATCTATACATTATATTTACATATGCAAAAATACCATGTTGTGTTTTAACATTAGATGAGCATTTTGAATACTAAACATGTTTAAAATGCTATGGGGTAAGACATTTACTTTGGGTTGAAGCTTTGCTTGGAACTCTAATTCTAATGGTTTCTGATGTAATTGTGAATAATAATTTAATCAATTCTGCAATATCTTACAATCTGTACAGGCATCTATAAAAATATAGATTGAATGCAAATTCCTCAATCAATAAATAAACTAATAAATCTTTTTTCAATTTGAAATTATGTAGAAAACATAATTTGTATAAATTTTATGCAATTATTTGTAACTTAACCTTTTAAAATTTGAATGGTTTATACTCACACACTCACACAGTAGCCTGGTAGAAAAAGTAATTGAAGACAATGACCATTTAAAACCATTAACTGCATTTCTTCATTTGAATAGGAAGGGCTTTGGAATTCTCGTTTTGAACTATCCTTGATGTACTGAACTATCTCTATTGAAATATCTTTAAAAATTTAAACTATCGGTATAATACATTTACAACGAATCCTCCCAGATTCAAAACTTTTGCAAATACATCAGGTAGAATTTCAACGCTAAACTCGTAGACTTGTCACATTGTAAAATTTAGTTTCCTACATCTATCTGAGACGTTTCACAGTCTATAACTCCTCGGAAGATCATGGTGCTCAAGCTCGCAGATCTGCAAGTTTGAGTTGATGTCAGTGACAGTGGTCGCTCAGATCGGAGATGAAAACCGGTTTCTTCCAGCCGAAGAGGAAATAACCACTTCCTGCTCCAAGGGTGACTGCCAGACACAACCAGACGTTGAACGTCATAAAGATCAACATGAGCAAGTAGCTGATGATAAACTGTAAGACGTGCAGAATTGTCTGTAGGAGATGGTCCCTGCTGAGCATTGACGGCCTACAACAACCAGAGTTAGGTTAGTTAGGTGTGGGACAGTGAGAGTCAAGAAAGGCGAGGGAAAGTGACAATAAGGTTACAAGTGAGACAACTAGAGTTAGGTATGGTGAAGGACAGAGATAGTTAAGTTAGGTGTAGGACACCAAAAGTTAGGTTAGGTGTGTGACAGCAAAAGTTAGGTTAGGTGTGGGATAGTGAGAGTCAAGAAAGGCGAGGGAAAGTGACAATAAGGTTTCAAGTGGGACAACTAGAGTTAGGTATGGTGAAGGACAGAGATAGTTAAGTTAGGTGTAGGACAGAAAAAGTTAGGTTAGGTGTGTGACAGCAAAAGTTAGGTTAGGTGTGGGATAGTGAGAGTCAAGAAAGGCGAGGGAAAGTGACAATAAGGTTTCAAGTGGGACAACTAGAGTTAGGTATGGTGAAGGACAAAGATAGTTAAGTTAGGTGTAGGACAGCAAAAGTTAGATTAGGTGTGGGACAGTCAGAGTCAAGTAAGGCAAAGGACAGTTACAATAAGGTTATGAGTGGTACAACTAGAGTTAGGTTATGTGAAGGACAGAAGCAGTTAGGTAGGTGTAGGACAGCAAGAGTTATGTTTAGTGTAGGACACCAACAGTTAGGTTAGGTGTGGGACAGCAAAAGTTAGGCTGGGTGTGAGTGTCAAGTAAAGCGAGGGACAGTGACAATATGGTTAGGGTCTGACTTAAGGGAGGTACAAATGAGGCAACGATGACATCATAGTTAAGTTCAAAATTCCTCCGTTAACAACGTTGTAGTAGAGAACACAGCGCGTAATTTTTACTTCACTATTAAGCCTAGTTAATTAATTAAGAAAAATTATAAAATTAATCTTAACATTTTTTAATTATTAAATTAAACTGTCATAACCTAACCAAACCAACCAAACTTGCTGATATGAAAAAAAACTTGTTGACAAAAAGTTAGTGCAACCAGCGGGATTCGAACCCGGCACCTTCGGGTTGTCAGCATGACACGCTATCCACTACACCAAGGAGGCCGATGATAGAATCCCGTATCGTTGCGGTAATGATGTTCCCTCAAGAGGAGATCTGACAGCTGACGTCATCGAAGGCTCTTCTGTACCTCCCTTGAGTAAATACCATATGGTTATGAGTGGGACAACTAGAGAAGGTCAGGTGAAGGACAGACAGTTAGGTTTAGTGTAGGACACCAACAGTTAGGTTAGGTGTGAGACAGGGAGAGTCAAGTAAGGCGAGGGACAGTTACAATAAGGTTATGAGTGGGACAACTAGAGTTAGGTTATGTGAAGGACAGAAGCAGTTAGGTAGGTGTAGGACAGCAAGAGTTATGTTTAGTGTAGGACACCAACAGTTAGGTTAGGTGTGGGACAGCAAAAGTTAGGCTGGGTATGAGTGTCAAGTAAAGCGAGGGACAGTGACAATATGGTTTGGGTCTGACTTAAGGGAGGTACAAATGAGGCAACGATGCCATCATAGTTTAGTTCAAAATTTCTCCGTTAACAACGTTGTAGTAGAGAACACAGGGCGTAATTTTTACAGCGCGTAGGTGTAGGACAGCAAGAGTTATGTTTAGTGTAGGACACCAACAGTTAGGTTAGGTGTGAGAGTCAAGTAAGGCGAGGGACAGTTACAATAAGGTTATGAGTGGGACAACTAGAGTTAGGTAAGGTGAAGGATAGCAAAAGTTAGATAAGGTGTGGGACGGAACAAATTTAGTTTGGTGTAGGAAGACAACAGTTTGGTTACAAGTAGGACAGCAAGAATTACAATAGGTGTGGGACAGTGAGTGTTGAATTAGGAGAAACATATAACTACACAGTAACATAGGTTAACTATAAAACTAAAATACTAAAACACTGCTAGAATTTACTAAAGAAATTGTCTTACAAAACCACAGCATGCAAAACAATTGTAATTACAATATTGAATGCATTGACCCTAGGAATGTCAATTGTAGATATTTCACACCTATGAACTTTTATACTTCGCTAGGCAGATTTGTAGATGACAATATCCATTATGACAGAATGGAAGTATACCCTCCCAATGTAGAATTGCAGTATGTTAAGTGGCTTTTGATTTTCCGCAATTCTCCTACATGGGTTATTTCACACCCTTTCACTTCAGTTTTTTTTTCTGTTGGTGATTTAAGTAATTTTTAACGCTAATCACATTGAAGTGTATTTTATTTAAGTGAGTATTTACCATTGAAATTGCATTCAAAGCTTCAAATTGACAATTACTAACTTAAACATTTTTAATATAACATTCAAAAATTTGTTCTGTTATTGACCGCAGCCTCAGTAAAAACGGCAAAGCTTATAGGTTTCACTGTAGCTTTGATGCTTTGATGACTCAACAGCTAAATAAGTGAGGGCTGCCTTTTTATCCTGTCGTTTAGCATTTTGCGCATTTCTGTGATTGGATTTTGTTGTGGTGCGCCAATGTCATTGGAATGGTAAAAGAATAAAGAACACAATTGATGATGGACGATAAAAACTGTTAGCACTGTAAAGTGGATTCGACAATAGTGGACTTTATAATTTTACGTGAATGAATTGTAAGAAAATAAATGAAATTACTGTTACTTAAAAACTATTAACTATGATGAAATATGTGGAGGGGTATGCCTCACATGTCCTATGAAATGAATGCTATCCAAAACAATGTTACTCGACTCAACAATGCATTTTGATCAATCCCACAGTCACAGACCGTTTATGACCATATTGTCCCTTATTAGAAGTCGACTAATGGCCTTAGCACAACTAATGTTTGATCAATGTGATCGTAAACAACTCTAAATGTTAGACAGCATTTGAATCACGACAATTGTAAAGTAACTACTTTCTATTAACATGAATATAACGATACACAATATATGAATGATGAAATATACACAATCACTCTCTTCAACAGATTTCTTGACTAGAATCTTTATACATGGAAACACATACACGGCACAACCAGGGGTTTACCAGTTTCCTGCAGTAAAATGTGACTTTCAGTGACCTTTTGGTGTGAATCGTTTTTATCTTTGCATACTAATGGATACATTCGTCTCATATAACAGATTCAAAAGCATTATCCATTATTTTGAATTTGAAAGTAATTATCATTAGTAAAAAATGATTTAACAAGTTGATTCGGCGTTAAAATTTGCCAAACTAATTAAATTAGTTTTAAAGCCAGTAGGGTTTTAAAGATTTAAATATATTCTTATTTTGTGTGTATGACAAAAAAGCTGAGGTAAATTATTTTTCCTGCGGATGGTTCCAAACATATAGTTATGTTAATTAATAACATACGCTAATTAACTGATATGATGAGTAAAGGCATGTTACCAGGTTGTGACATTGTAAGAGGTGCTGCTTCTTTGTATAAGGAATAACAATATAACAAGCTATCTTATGTTCAAACACTAACACTACTTAGAATCAACACTCGTGCACATAACATCCAAACAAAACATCCATTCAGGTTCTAGTGTCAATGGGTCTAAAATAAATAATAGAACAACAAACCAACACAAAACAAAACAAATCAAAAATCAAAGTAAAAATAAGTCAGTATATGCACAACAGTATATACAGTACAAGAGTATAGACAGAAACTTGCAAAGAGAAAAAGAAAAAAAGAACGCATGCACTGCAGAATTTGACTTACGGCTGTCTGTGAATAACTTCCCCCACAATACTGAAAGAAAATCATGGTAATAAGATTTTATTTAATTACATAAAATTCTATAACTTTTACTCTAACTCCCAAAGTGATATTTAATTTGATAGTTGAATAGTTGGCTGAGAATCGGATACAAAGAGAATCGATTTCTCACTGGCTCAAATCCAGCAAGAAAGTTATAAGAATAAAGTTTTTAAGATTTGTAATTCCGCAGAAAATAACATCACCAGATCCATCGGAGTGTTGAGATTCAGTTTAGAAACAATGAAACCCAAATTGGACACGTGTTGATGGTAATTTTATAGAGACAAAATCATGAATTATGATAAAATACCAATGGCAGTTTCAAATTTCAATTGACAAATAAAATTTAAAAGTACATTTTATTTAGTTTCTCAAATAAACATGAATGTTTTTAAAGATATCCAACATTCTATAAAAAAAAAAAAAAAAAAAAAAACTGGTTTGGTTTAAAATTCCTTGTTTTATTTATTTGTTTTCTATATTTATATTGTAAATATATTTAGTTAAATAACAATTAAAAAATTAATTGATAAAGTACAATACAAAACAAATACTGAAGTAAATATATATTTACTACAATCACATATTGACCAAAAAGAGCAGTTCTGTTATTTTAGTGTTGTGATTAAATTGGATGTAAAAAAGTGTACTTTTAACAGTTAAAACATACTTTAAGGCTTGGAAAATATTAATAACTTAGTTTAAATTAAAATTCTTTTATTACAATCGGGAATTAATTAAAGAAAATAATATTATTTTATAGCTAATTTTAGTTGTAATAATTAAATACTCTGTCATTATATCCAAAATTTGAATTAGAGATTATTTAATAACCTCTACAACACCGATATAAAACATGTAGTCAACAAATTAATGTTGTCTCTTAAGAACAAGAATATCTTTATTTTACTTCCCTAGCAAACCATTATTGTATACAGATGGTGTTTTGATTTAGTCAGTAGCAAACTATGTTTTACTGTATTTTAAAAGTTTGTAGTTAGATCTGCTGCTGGAACCCGCAGTTTTTTTTTAGCTTAAAAAGTTGATACTCACTGTACGGAGGGATTCTCGTCTGTTCCGGTGCCTTTGTTTGCTGGAGTCTCAACAGATCTATACTGCAATGCGTTGTACTGCTTCCAAAACAAGTACTCCCTGCGCAGAAAGAGTTTTTGTGTGGTAGTCATTGTAAATATCATGAACCATTAAAACCTTTATAGTTGTTTGGAAACACCCTCTATATAATTATATTGACCATGCAAAAGGTATATAATAAAATCGAGAAGAAACTCGGTGTAAAGCTAAGCACGCACTGGGTCGGGACGACACGGACGGTCAGTACTGACACCCGATCACTGGCACTGGATCAGTCGGTCCTGGATGGAGGGCCGATACGGACATTTCTCACTTTTTTAGTAGGATGCACGCACTGGATCAGTTGGTACAGAACAGACGGACGATAGATACCTCCATAGTTTATGCCTAGCATTTGTGGTGAAAACTATGTTATGAAAAGACAAAAAACCTGTACGGTCCAAACCGAAACATGTGCGCGCACCGTAGACGACACCGAATCGGTGGATGACACATCGGTACAGCATGTTCTAGAAATCTTTTTCCGGAGTTTCTTTCAGACGGCGGAAGGTGGGGTTGTTCCTGTTCTGACCGTGACGGCCTAGTGCATGCACACATAGGTAAATCAATGCTAAACATTTTTGAAAAATCCCGTACGTACTGTTAGTCGTCTGAACCGTCCCGACCAAGTGAGTCTTAGCTTAAAGGATAACTTCTCAATCAGAACGCTATTTGTTGCTTTACTAATGGGATGTTAATAAATAAACATTAAAAATTCAAGGGCAATCAGAAAATTTGTACTTATCTAGTGTTATGATATATTGACGTAAAACATACTTGACAATGGCTCCAGACTTCCAGGAAATGAATATTTCTATTGGAACCAAGTTTTATTTTCATAAAGTAAAAAATTGGCTTCCTCAATCAGACTGTTACACCTTGGTCTTTAGGAGCTGACCAAACTGTTTTACATTGAACAAACAAAAATGCTGGCAGATATTTAGGATTTGTTGCAAAAATCTTAGGAAAAAGCTACAAACCCTCTCAACTTTGATAGTTCAATATCTGCGTTTACTTTATTCTTGATTTGCAACTATAACTCCTTCTCATAAAAATCTGTACTGTGCAAGTTTGCATTTTCTTCTTTGCCAAAGAAAATAAACACAACTGGTGTGTACTAACCTGAAGTACTTAAGTCCTTCGTAAAGTGCGGCCAGGAGGAAGATACCGATCATGGAGAGACCGAGTGTAAGAGGCGATGTCGTTTTCCAGAAGGAGAACAGGATCGTCTCTTCGTAGCCAAAGTGGAAGTACATCTGGGAAAACAGTTAACGTTAGCCACCATTATCAAATCATGTTTTTACCAGAAAGTATTAAATTTTTCTTCATACTGAAGCAAAAACAGCTGTACTATATTTGCAAAAATACATATATATGTACATTTATCTAGATATATATTTACAATAAATATATATGCACCAATACTTAAGTAGCGTTTTTACTCTGTAGGAAGTAAAAATCATTTTTAGTCTCTAGGGAGCAAAAATCAGCTGTTGTTAACAGTTGGAAATTTCGATTGTGGCGATCGTATCGATCGGAATTATTTATCTATTGATTTATTAGGTAAGGTTTTAGCCTATTGTTGTCGATCGGTCGACATATCGATGGTATAATATACTGTAACACAATAGTAATTGTGTTACTATTAATAGTAATAGTGTTAATTAATTAATAGTGTTAGTGTTGTGTTCGAGCCTCGGCTTCGGCTCGATTGTAAAACTTAACCTAGGGTCAAAAAGAGCCACTTTAGGCCCTAGTAATGAAATATACTATTTTCCTACCCACTGCATGGTAATGATCACATTTACACACCTGTAAACAGTACGTAAAATAGCTCATTTCTGCTTTATTAATTCCTGCTCACCAAATCAGCTGATTTCACTGTTGGAGGTTCTATAAAACAATAACATCTGCTGATGCGATTCCAACAGAAAAATCCAACAGAACCTAAATGACAGCTTTTTACAACCTAAAAGTTAGTCTATCATTGCTGCTTTTAAAGTGTCTACAGTTCTCGATATACTTTGCGCTTTCAAAACACAAATAGCTATTTTAAATTATAATTATTGTGTTTATGGTATGGTTTTTAAAAGTCTGATTGAATTACCACTTACATTTTAAACAATGTGGGTCATAAAGGATCAGGTTAGGAAAAATTTAAGTCATAAAGTATTTGAGTTATTATTTTTTCTCAAGCATTTGTATGGTAGAAGAAATTAACTAAAATTGGTTCTGAACAGATGAACTAAATATCAGACTTAAAAAATACTTTTATTTTATGAATTAATGACATCTTTTTGCTACTGATTAGCAACAGTACTTTGTTAGCCAGGAATTTTAATTAAAAGGTCATTATCAAGAACAGGAGTCCTGTGGCCTGTTCCAAATATCAAATGGAAACTGACTTTTCTCTTGATTGAATCAGCGAACTATTTATTACCAGGCCAGCACTACCTCACTCATAGTACTAGCAGTCGTATATTTGGTGTAGTAATTGAATTCATATAGTTTGTATGCTCTTACAAGTGTTTTAAACAATATCATCCTGATTCGGGTCTTTTCAAAAGAGCTCTTCTATTGTGCGCTGCAGCGGTTCGGTTGGTTTAGATTATGAGGCAATATCTATATATAAAGCCAAAAGTACCCATGAACTTTTGAGAAAACTACAAGTCACACCTCCATAAACAATATACTTAAAATGTTCGTCATGACGAGAAACCTTGCGCTAAACTATCCATTATTTCATAAATTGCCCTTTAAGGTCGTAATTCCTTTCTAAAGGGAACTTTCCATATACCTTATGTTAAAATACCTCAGCTGTACTTATTTATTTGTATTAATGTATTCTGTTTTGTTTATTTCAGCCCAACCTAACCAATCAATAATGTTATTAATAACTAAGAAAGTCAAACGGGGTGAACCCCGTGGGTAACAGCTAGTTTTGGTAACTAAAAGTTTTAGTTGTATGTTGTGTGTTAGGGAGACAAACTTACGAAGACTTCAAAATGTATTGAGGTTTCACGAGTTTAGGAAAAAAAAGAGTTGAAAATGTTACTTTGTTTTTCACTATCTGATTAGTTACCCTGCTAAATACAATAGTATACAATCAATTTAGTAATACAGGTCAGTTTATTAGTAGATTTTTCTCAATTTGTACACGTAAATACTAGATGGAATAATAAACTTTTAATTAGAAAGAATTCCCTCCAGGTCAGTGGTAAGAACTCAGGTTGAGTAAAAACTTTTGCTAAGGTACAAAGAAACAAGAACAGTAGCAAAACATTAGCATCACTTATCAGCAATAAATATAGAGAGATTCACACTTTGTATGCGAGAGGAGTCTAAATAGTTTTTAAAAATTACAAATATTGCTAAAAGTCTAATATTGTATACTACTTGGCTCTCAATAATGTCCATGAACCAATTGAGTTAAGATTCATATTGAGAGGTCACTCGATGAGGATTAGAGGTCTTGTCTTACTATGAGTGAATTTATATCAGAATTCATTGTCCTACTTCTGGATATTGATTTATATTAATAGAATGTATATGTTCCATAGTAGATAACTCTAAAAACCTTTTGACACCTTAGTTACAAATTGAGCTCCACAAAAATGATCAACCTAGTAGTTTCATCAGTGGATCTTCCAAACTAGGGCAAGTGGAAGAAGGTAGCAAAGCCTGACAAATCACAATTTACTTAAATTACTTCCACGGAATAAACAATAATTTTACTACTGCGATGTCCCTTAGGCTGAGTTTGACTGTCTTCCTTGCTAATTGTGTTTTTAAAAATGTTGGGTGGTATTAGTGTTTGCTATTATTCCTGTTAAACAACACCTTTTTAAGTAAGTAACGGTTATACAGTACATTGAAACGATATAAACTATAATTTACTATTTCATTTAGGTAATTTGTGCAACTGAAATTGTACAAAGGTAACTTTCAATTCAGTTCAGTTAATCTGTAAAGTCATCATTGGTATTTATAATATGGTGCAACAATAAACCGTGATTAAACACCAGTGAATTTTCGTTAAACACATCTCTTACTAGTATCTGTGATTTTAAAGATAACAATTAGACTACTAATTGCTTTATCAATTATCAATTATCAATTATCAATTAATTGATAATTGATAATTGATAAAGCAATTAGTAGTCTAAGATAACAATTAGACTACTAATTGCTTTATCAATTATCAATTATCAATTAATTGATAATTGATAATTGATAATTGATAAAGCAATTAGTAGTCTAATTGTTATCTTTGTGTACATTAGCTAACAATGATTGTAGAGCCAAACAATCGTAGTTGGGTATTAGTTTCATTGAGTGAAACGTGAAACTGAACTGAACTGTTTCTAGTTAATATGTCTAAGAACCTGGATTGCAACAATTTCTCATCGGATTGTTGCAATTTCTTATCGGATTGTAGCGATTTCTCATCGGATTGTAGCAATTTCTTATTGGATTGTTGCAATTTCTTATCGGATTGTAGCAATTTCTAATCGGGTTGTAGCAGTTTCTTATCGGATTGTAGCACTTTCTTATTGTTGGTTGTTTTTAAAACATAATTTTACAAAATAATCACTCCTTTCACACTTTGTGTGTCATGTGTTTGTAAGCCCCACTGCTGAGTGTAAACTCTTCAGTTCTGGAAAACCCCCAGGAAACAACTAATCAGGTCCAGGAAAAGTTAATGACAAATCAACAACACGTTTGACATAACAGTTTGAAATGTTTCCGAGCTTGATCTTAAAACTTTCTTTTCTCGTAAGTTTTAAAAATGTATGAACACAACGGTTCAGGAAATTTGACTACAATATCAATTGGGTTTAGTAAATAACCTGCTAATAGTAACTATTATTAGAACAAAATTTCTTAACCCTTTTCAAACCTCACAATGTTATGCATATTAAAAATAACTACTTAAAAAAAACCAAAATTACATCATTTTTAAAGATAAAAATTGCTCTAAATTTTAGATCAGTTATAACAAGGAACTCACCTTCATCATTTTGGCAAGGTGACTTTATTATTCAACCTTAACAATAAAAAAATAAACCAAAGAAATCACAGATTTGGGATGGATTGTAGTGAACAGTCTGTGATTTGCGGCCAAGTAGACAGTTATATAGATCGACGGCACAAGTACAAGCAGAGCTGATAAACGTTACAGTTCATGAAAACAAGATTAGATTTTAGAAGAGGCACTTGAGTTTTACAGAACAATAGTCTATTTATACTTATTGATATCTAAAAGGTAAAGTGTTTAGTTATATACTTGATTATGGATATCTTTTGGTATGTATATTTGATTTGTATGCACTTTAGCATGTTTAGTGGTTTCTAAGTTGTTATTTGATGAAAAGAACTTTTTTTTTACACACATAAAATAAGGTAAATATTATAGGTTTTTGGGTTAACATTTACATTAGTTACGCAAGTGGGTAGTTTGACAGGAAGCATAGGAAACAGTAATACCACACAATATTTTGTAAAAACAGAATTGGCAACAAACACAATAAAACTCGGCCTGAGGGACCTCGCAGTAGTAATAGTGTCGTTTATTCCGTGGAGGTAATTAAAGTAAATTGTAATAGGTCAGGCTTTGCTAATCTTACTACGTCTGGCCTGTTTTAGTTTAGAAGAGTCTGATAAAATTAATAGGTTAACTATTTATCTTTAACTAAACTTAAAATTGTTGTATGCTAAAGTATTTGACCATTTTCTTAGAAATACCAACCCCTAAGATATCCCTGTAATATAAAAATTTATCTGCCGAGACAAGATCTTTGATCCTAATTGTCCAATGACCTTTCCATGTGGATCCAAACTCAATTGGTTCATTGACATTTGACAGCCAAGTAATATTGGAGAAAACTTTAGAGTATTGTCAATTGCTGCAGATAACATTGTACAGCACTTCTAGCATGTTTATCCTTACATGATTATATAATGCATGGATAATACTCTCCTGATATTTATCAGTAGACAATTTACTGGTATTTGTACTTCCCATCTTCATTATCAATAGAGTACTATACATCGTTTACAATATTTAGGCAGTTTTGGGGGAAGAAGTCTATCCCCTCCACTTGACCCTTACTTTCAAAATAATAGCTCAACAGCTGATTAAGAAACATACAGCACATTGAATACAAAAAAGTGGAGGGGGAACTTCCGCAATAATATTGTGAACGAAGTATAATACCAATACCACATTCAGATTAATTAATTTACAATCATAAGC